GAATGTTTCTTTGTAAACATGTCGCTTACCACATAAAGAGCGAATCAAGATAGATTCTGCGATGTAGGTACCTGATATGATACGTAATGTACCTTATCAGCTTGGTGTGCTACGGGTCGCTTTATACGCGGCCCGTAAGATGACACGAGTAGACCAGTCGTTGCGGGTTTCCTATTAAGGCTCGTCTGGGATCTCGATTAATAACGAGCTCACTGTCCTACCTTAATAAGGTGTTCTCAACACCACTAACCCTCGGATTAATCGCATATTGCCCCAAGATAAAGACTTCGGCATCACAGAGCTAGGGACTGATCCAAGCTTATATTTTCATAAATAATATGAAAAAAATTGTCTGAACATGGCTGACTACCTACCTAAGGTAAGACTAGGCATGCGTTATTTTCGTTAATCAAGAAGTCGAATGGGCTCGTACAAAAGCTTATACCTTTTGATGACGACCCGTTTGCAGATCAACCTTTCAAAAGTAAGAAATTACCTAGACGTCACCTAGACATCCCATCAACAGACCCTAGTTAACGAAGTAAATGGGTCGATTTTGTTATGTTGCATGGAAGCTGAGAGCTAAGACTCGGGGCCATGAGTCGTCTGGAACAAAGCTACCTGGACGTTCTACCCCTCGCAACGAATAAGTTGGAATACGGCAATTAACCCTCTAATGGGGCGGGGGATGACCACCCTATACCTGTGCCAGTTAATTTTCCGGGTATACTTCTGACACTAGACTATTTCTCATAAGTGGAACATGCTTATACCGTTGGAGCGACGTTAGAATAAGTGATCCCCGCCTACCAACAGCGTGTACAAAGACCGATAAGACTGAGTTTCAGTCATAGACTGATAGGGGAGGCGTTAGGAGGCTTGCAGAGAGAAGGACTAAATTGGTATGGTGGTGTGAGAGACTATCCGATTTGACAGCATGCACAACAGCAAACAAATGTAAGAGAACATCGACCCGAAGTAGCTGCGTAGCTAAGCTAATTCTTCGTATGAGTGCTTAGCTCTCTCGAAAGGAAGTTTACGGTAAAGCTGTTCGAAGCTATGCGAAATCTATCCGACAAGAATGAGATATTTCCTAGCAGACAGGAGGCTGTGCAGTTGTATAGCCTCAATCGATAAGCGAGCCGATAGGCTAAGAAAAGCGAGTTCGTCCCATCTTCTTCGAATTCGGGTTTCGAAGGTACCACAGTGAACAAGAGCGTTTCATGCGTAACGAAAAAGCCATCTCGTGCTGCGTATCCTGCATAGTTGCATTCTAGGTTACCTAGTATGTATAAGCTTGGAATATTTAGTGCTGTAACGTTGGAACTTGTTTCGTTATCCACTAGAAGATCCCAGAGATGTGGCAGACGAAGCACTATTGGTCTAGAGCTTTCCATCTTGCCGAAACGTGGTATGCCTGACCGGTGTGAGATTAACCCATGGAACTAGGGTAGCATTGCAGATGTCAGCCGGCGAACCGATTGAAATGGCCTAGAATCAAAAATCGAAATCGCTGTCTGTGGGGGTGCCACGACAAGAGGTCGGGGGGCTTTACAGGCTCGGCCCGTTTCACATCATTCGTCATTAGTTCGGGAGCGGTAGTCTAAGAGTGCAGGAAACTAGTCATATTCAGACGCGGATCGAGAGCATTCCGCAAGCGCTATTTCTAGACCATTAGTAGGTCTGATTAGACCATGTAATGGCCTTTCATTTCTCGCTTAAGGTGACTCGTTTTGCATGCGCTGTGTTTTCGTTTCCTAGGTAGCTTTGCTAGTTATCTCACACAAACCTCGTCCGTGAGACCCGCGCTAGGCATCCATCATATCAAGTGGTGTAGGAAATGGTCCCCAAGACGTCCAAGCATGGCATTGATTCGTAGATGGCGAAAAAATATTTCCGCTTACAGTATATATTATATTGTAATATACTTCTCTCGGCTTTCTTGGCCTGGTCATGTGTCATAATTCGAGGCAGTGAGGATCTGGCGATCCTTCACGATGGGATCTTCAACTTCCATACGGTCGGGCTGAATTATGAGATGGTGCATGATCCTGTGGGCGTAAATGTATGCGTGATGTATATACGCAGGAACTATTAGAAATTTCAGCTAGCTTAGCTAAGAGATCTCGTATCTGATTTAATGCGGTAGATATGAGAGGCGGGATGTGGATTGTGGAATGTTATAAATGGAAGTTTTGGTAGTTAATGTGAGTAAAATAAAAACTAACTTAAACGATGCTGCCCAAGATCTGCATGTACATGATTAGCGGGTTATTTGTCTTACCTAATACGAAACCAGTTAGACTGCCAACTTTGAGATAAAGTTTAGAAGGGTTGCAGCGGGGTAAGGACCGCTTAGTACGATCGTACAAGGGTCTAATCTTAAGTTAAGAACACGGACCATGTACTAGGTACATACATATGTCCATCTATATGCATTTATACCGTGGAGTATGTTAGGCTTCATGTACAGGTATGTCTAAATGCAAGTTCTAACACTAAGAAGCCTATTGTTTAGGAGGTAGTTTATACATCTCATGTCTCAGTGTATAGAATAAAAGCAGGAGCATTTAACTATTATTATTATTATTATTTAAAAAAAGGTTTATTGCCTATAGTTACCTAATATGAAACTTCCTAAACAGGTTCGAGCTTAGTCTTGTTAAGATAGTTAACCCTTCCCTTAGAGTTTATAAGCTTAAACTAGCCCCGATGTTAGTTTAACTGGCTAATACAACAACTCCTTATTACGTACGTAGAAATTGTAAGTATAAAGATTCCTCAACGCACGTGGTTAAATCATATCGACAGGTACCTAATTCATTCACACCAGTCGGTTTAAAGGCGTCTTGAATCTTATACAATACGACAATCATGATGCTTGTATGACTAATGGTCTTGTGACTATTGTCTCGGTTTACAAATCCTGAAGTAAGAGAATATGTGGGCAGCCGTTCAGCCAGATGCGCCTTAGATGCAACTTTGCCAGGCCAAGCTTTAAAACGCAGCAGTGGCTGGGATCTAGTTTGCGTGATCGACCACGACCTTACCTTCTTAATATAAGGTGCGTAAACGGGAAGAAAATAAATGGCGTCCTAAGGCTACACTATATTATAACAGGTTAAAGGTCTTTGAAAGCTGAGATAGCGCGTCAAAGTGGCTTGACGCCTTAAATTAGGGTATACGGTATGGATATTCTGTACTACACTTTGTTTAATATCAGATCATGTATGGAATTATTCTAAGAATAGGTAAGCATAGTAATAAGCAGAGCAATGGAGAGCGTGGATCTTCGTATCCACTTACACACATTATATGCAGTTTACAGTACATACTATTGCGCTGGCAACTCAGCTCCAGAGTAATCAAGCACAGTGACGCGAGCCAATGGTAGAAAATGGAGTTTTGTCTTCGTAGTCCGAATCCTGGGGTTTTTCTTCGCAGATCGATACTCAATAAAACCCCCACATATCGGAAGGTTACATCACGTCATTTGATCAATTATAACTACATAATACCTAGGCCTTATGGGTGACGATATATTAGTAGCACAAACCTTGTTAGATTTATTTGCTACGTTTTTACTAGATTTTTATGAGATGTATTATATATCAAGCGATCTGATTATAAATCTAACACTATATGTAAGTAAGCAGGCAAGTAAGTACTTAACTTAAGGTATAATTGAGCCAGTTGAAATTGCCAATCAGTACCAGAGGGGGTCTCGCTTATTTCTAAGACATTAGGTATTGATCTACACCCCGCGCTTAGATCCACCGCGGTAAGATCCTTTTTAGCACACCAAAGAGAATTCGTGTATTGAAAGTGATGACTGTTAGGAATATGTAGAAATAACTAATGCTACCCAGGTGACATGGAATAAGGTAACAATCGGTGGCAACTAAGCTCACGAGACTCTAGCAAACAATTACTTCCGACTTCATGTGGGGAACGATAACTCAAAAGCTTTATATCTCGGTACTTTCTGCATGCAGGGTTGTAAGATTATTTACTCCTTAGTTTAGTTAGTTTTATTCCACGGTCTTGTGGACTATAGTTAATATTATTCTGGGGGTAGCTGGACTAAAGTACTTACATTTCCTTATATTTTACGTATTATTTACAAGTACTTGGGTGGTTTTTCTTTTTCGGACTGGAATAACTAATAGAATAAGAAAAAGGTTAATTTTATTACACGATATCACAGACTATAGTTAGTCTTATTCCATGGTGGGGGGGACCAGAATAATTAACTAAATTTACAACTCTATCTGCATGTCTTGTCACTGATCCCTGATTTTATAAACAACCATCAAATCACAGTTGAAAACGATACAAGTCATAGCTATCTAGACTAGCAAAATAATTGCTGTAATAGAAAATGGCGGTGTGGAGGTACTGGACACAATGTTTAAATTGCAAGTTCAAGTTTCTTTCTATCAAAATGTAGATCTTGAACAAAATATTTATCGTTGTCGTGCATCATAATGATACATAGTACGCCTCTGAGGGGATCAAAGGAAAATAGTTTGATGCTCACTGTCACAGCAAACTCCCCCTCCACAATCATCGTAATCGTCCCATCATAACGCCGCCTGTCTTTCAAAAACAAACCACCATCCAAATGCTACATAGTATTTCGAGGTGATAGCTTAACTTTTCCTATCAATCATCCAAGATCCCGTGTGTGCCATACTCCTGATGAGAAAAGAATAGGTGATTCCGACCCGGACACTACCCGCCTCAAAGCGCCAATGCCCACTTTCATATACTAAATTTGGCAGTACTACCGAATGTATAAATAAAAATGCAATAGATGACAAGAGAATAGAGACGTCATTATAATTAGCTGATCTTGAAACATTTATCTCACTGCGTGTGTTGTATCGTCTTGGCCTGTGCGTTACATCGTAATATCGTTTGATAACATGCGCTCTGATGCCGCGTTTGCGCTAGTGGTACTGGTGCTAGAACGTATTTAAAGCCGAAACCTTATAGCTTTAGGCAATAAAGGGCATATCACCCTTTCTATGACTGATAACTTCGAGTGTAGAGCCAAGGTTTTGGCCGAGATAACCGATCATAGCCTTGGTAACTTCGGGGATATCGGAATAGTCAGTATAGACCACGTCTCGGAACCTGGAGTAGACCTCCTCCAATTTACGGAGCTCCCTGGCTAGTATTTCAAGCTCGAGCCATTTTCCATCCTCGCCATTGAGCTGATACACGCCAAAGCTAACTCCCACATTATTTCCTAAGTTGTTTTGGGTCATACCCATGCTGCCAGCATCGAAATACGAATTAGAAGCAGCCTTGTAGAATGACGTGATTTTACTAATCACGGTGACAAGCAACATGGTAGCGGTATGTGTACCGGATCGACTCATGCACTTATTGCAAGAGAGCATGGCCGCACATCCTTCAACAGCTCTTCGATTAAGAGACAGAATAAAGTCAAAGGGTGGCACCGCTGGAGCAGAAGCATTATGCAATGCTTGAAGGGATTGTAGGCAGGCTGTAAAGCAGGTACAGGAACCTCCGTTCATGGTGGACGATGGTGATCTATGACGTGGACCAACTGGTCTCATCGTGGGTGTATTTGTTGGACTGGGGAAATAATTAGAAGACATGCTCGTCGGAGTCTGCACCTGGTTGTATGAGATCATATCTTGTGTGACTGGATCGGTCCACGCTATCGGTGTTGACATAGATAAATCGAATGACTGAGATCGCATCTGAGTACCGGCCATAGGACCGGTCGTGACGGGAATATCGCTGAAAGTGGCGCATGAAAGGTCTGTAGGCGGAGTCCAAGGCATTGTGGATGAATACAATTCAGGCGGAGCTGACATCGGGTCATGTTCACCCATGGTTCTATCTTCAACTCCGAGTAAAGAAAGACCTGCTGATATTGAAGGATTTCGACTAATGTTACCATCAACACTGGTAGGCGGTGTGGCCCATCCCGGCTCGAAACTGAAAATGTGTTCAGATGGAGTTTGGTGTGCTGTAGAATATGACATATTCTTGTCTTCTATTAGACTGTGATGCATTTGCTGCATGTCCTGAGGGGCATTCGCATGGGCGCCTCCGCTATGATCAGACTTAGGCTTGCCTGCCCGGCTCGAAGGCGAGTATCGACACTCGATACCACAGGCTAGGCAACGGGAACATATGGGCCGAGCCTTCGAGCACTTGACCTTTGCCAAAAAGCATCCATCGCATGAGGCTCGGAGCCGAGGTTGGCGAGCTTTAGTGGAGGCCATCGCGGTGCCGAGATGTATCGATGTCGGAATAAGCGGGTAGTTTCCTAGCCAGGAATTGGGTTTTGAGGTGGAACGAGAGTGTAACAGAATTTGGAAACAACACGAGGATAGGTGCAATAATGGTAGTATTATAAAATGGAAGTATGTATGATAGCTCTCATATGGGGTAGCACAGAGCTTACAATGAATGGTACGAGTTGGAGACGGAGCAAGAAGTGAAGTAGGGAACTGAACCGGTTCGATACTGATGGGTAGATACGACGTATATTAAACCCGCTACCAGACGAACGGAAAGGTAAAAGCAACGGAAATATCAGCCTGAGTGGTCTAGAAGGGCGTCTATGAAAGATATATAAGATATATGCGGAGACATAAGACAGACGAAAGGGAGTCTGCTTAGAGCGTACAGGGTCCCGATTAAAAAGGCTCAGGGGAGTGACTAAAACCTGATTTGGTGTTAGGGAAAGGTAGTAAGAGATAGACCCACATGGGATACGTAGGCTGTCAGAACCGGTTGGTGTCAGAGGCCCAATAGAGACAGGCGGCGCTTGTGGGCATGGGGATAGCTATGGTTCGAGGAGGAGCCTGGTTTACAGGGCCGTCTAGATGCAGCGAAATGCTGCCAGTATAGATGGGGATAAAAATACGGACTAACAAGTGACCGGTCTGAGCAGAGTTATAGAGAGCTCTTACATGTACGAATAGGAAGGTAAAGTAAGGTAAGGTAGGGTGGCTGTCAACTGGTAACTGGTAGAGTAGAGGTAGACAGGTACTATCCTATTCCTAGTAATGCTGAGGCAATCCGTAAAGCATAATAGATAGAATTCATAGTGCTTCTGTAATATCTTCTTATGGAGATGAGCATACCCCCAGAGATCGTCGGATCGTACAGCCGGCTACGTAGATTATTGCTAAAGATCCATCAGGCAGATTCTACTTAAAAGAAAATGAACAATGTCAATAGCTTGGGGGGAGCATGGTCGTTCATTGGTCCCGATGCAATGGCTGAACTCGGCTCGCAGTCGACACGCATTGTGTAACGGCGTCAACCCCACGATTGTACCTTGGTAAATTTATGATAAGGATTCCATGAAGATTTAGCTAGTAGGTGAATCTAGCGAGAAATACGCTAAGTGTATGTCTTAACACGCAGCTTGACGTAGGGGTACTGTGCCAGCATCACTGTAGGGCGGCCGTGGGAAGTAATGCTCACAGCGGCGGCAGTGTCAGTACTGTAATAAGAAAGCCGCAGCGCTGTACACATGTTAGTTACCTGCAGATGGTCGATACAACACCCGAAGATGGGTACCATGGACAGGGTATCGACGATAAATGCTTGGCTGGCTGGATGGCCAAGTGAGGCTATAGGTAGAGCTGTCCGACCCGGAACGGGATAGAGTGGAAGTAGAGGGGGGAGAAACTTATGCAGGTGTATTTCGGTGTACCATGGGTTTGTATGGCCCAATGTAAAGATGTCAACATTAAGAAGACGGGTCCCTGAGCTATCTTGCAGTAATGGGGGGAGATGAGGCTCGGGCCCGAAGGAAACAGTCTCACAGCAGATAAAAAAAGAGGTAGGAATCCGATACTGGCAATTCAAACTCGAAGGATGCAGAGTCTCGATCTAAAGGGAAGAAAGTAATTGTTTAATAGCTCCAAATTAGGGTTAACTATCTGTATATAGTATCAAAGACGCGACTGATTGACTTGATTATGTTTACGTTTAGTTCCTTTTTTTTTGGTTCATCGGAATTTTTGAGAAGAACTTTACATGTGATTACATAAAATATTATGAGAAGAGGGGTAAAAAGAGGGTAAGAGGGTAAGAGGGGGCTTAAGTTTCGTCTGAATAAGGGAATAGGTAATGATATTTCTTATTCGGATACGGAAGGCGTAGTCGGAATTCAGATGAGGTATGTAATGGACTTATGGTTATACACATTCATAATATACATTAGTTAGTACCTGAGTCGTACCTGCTTAAGGTACCTAGATACTTCGTACTTACCTAACTTATGTAAAATTCAATAATGAATGGTCCGTGCTTGCTTTAAGACCGCAGGACCGTTAACTTCAAAGCTGCCAAGATGGAAAATCATTGGAAAGCGATTCACGATCCAACTTCTTTTCTTTGTCAACTCCATAATCTCTTGGCAAAGCCTCACCGTACCCCACCCCACATATTCCTCTCATATCCTCATATTCTCATAATAACATCCATACATCGCTACCTAATTATATTTATCTGTATATCCTTCATTTTCATCGTATCTACTTGATACTTCTTTACTAACCATCCGTATCTTCCGGTACGATTTCCCTTATTAACTTCGATGGATCGTGTATACGTTTGAAGTTGCGTGGCAACTCATTATTCAGCCTCAGCCCTACCAATCCTTCAGTGCCACTCAGTACCTAACACACTCAGAAGTTATCGATCTTCAGTCCTAGTGACGAAAGCTCTATAGGACTTACTTGCCTCTTTACCTAGTTATAGTCTAACCTACTTAGTAGCATCAGCAGCCACCGGAGAATCGGTATCATTCATTCTCCGGATTTACTATCGCAACTCACTAATAAGTGTCAAGTTGTGTGCCATACTAAGCGACCATGGCGTTTTCAAACTTATGATTGGCTCCGTTATCTATCCCACGAGTCGTTCTACAATGATTCACAAAATCTCTACATGTCTTTACAAGTTCCACCCCGCTGATAAGAGTTTCATCATTGCTAGAGTAGTCCCATCTGGTATGGGGGGTGCTCGTCGTTCCCTTGAGCTTCTCGGACCTCCGTCGCGCATCAGACGACCCGATCAAGCTCATAATTATCTCTAGCGAATTGTCTACGAAGAAGCGGTCGAGGTAGGGTGCTTCCGTCATCTTCTCGGGGTGTTTAATCGGGTAGGTCTGCCTTGAGTAACAGATCTGGGTAGCATTCGTCCATGCTTTGAAACCCGTGGGTTGTTTATCCGATTCTTTAACCCTTATCTCATTAGGTTTCATGCCTTAGGTACCTAGGCTAGCTAGAGCAGGTTTACGAATATGCTGTTACTTGGCGGTCATGGAAAAGCTTTTTTTTTCTTCATCGGAGTCGTAACTGAGTGAATTTACATTCAGCCAATTAGCTTGATCCAGCGATCTAAATTGGTTTAGATTGCGCCTCCAGGGTCTACGCTAGACGCGATGCGTGGAGAGAGCCACTAATAAATTATTAGGGCTTTACTGAGACAGTCCAGTGGCTGATTTGGGTTGTTCCTGTAGAGTTTTCCGAGATTTGATCAGGTACATCCTAGGAAGCGGTTATAGTTGGGCTCTTTGTGGCTTGCCATTCAGCTGCTTCTTGTCCAGTAATTTTTTTTCTGTCTGTCATAGCTCGAGTCTTGTCATAGCTTGAGTAACAGTGGTTCCCGAAGCCACTTTATCCCTAGCTGCATTCTAACGCAATGCTTGGCCAGGAACGTGGCTTTTCAGCTACTCACTCACTCATTATGCCGATTCGCTTTAACAATTTCGTCGATAAAGTTATCCCGTCGTCTTAATCGATACATCCTCAGAGGATCGCTTAGAAGTTTACAATGAGCAATTCAAATATCGGATTCTGTGACGTTGCATCAAATACCACCTCACTTAGCTACTTCAGAGACAGCTAAAGCCGAGTGACTCCTAAAGATGCTACACTTTTCACTTCGGACAACCGTGTTCGGACAAGAAACTACTATCAGACAGAGAATAAGCTATCCTGCTATGAAGGAAATGCAACCTTTGGATTTTATTCAAACTGTTCTTGGTGATTCAACAACAGTAGCATCAAATTCGTATGAACGCAGGGCACGTGGCAAATCCAATGTCGTCCACACCATTTAGAAGAGAAAACATCTAAATACTCTAATCCTAGCTTAGAGGTTGTTCATTTGTAGTACAACTAGATCGAGAAGATACAGCAACTCAAAGGGGACTAGCGACGCACCCCGTCTCGATGACTTTAGCGCGACGCGGGATATCCTTGTCTAACTGTACATGAAGCTTCCAACCAAATTCGATTGCAACATTATACTGCCGTGTTGCCTTTACGGTTTGAAGAATAGACGCTTCAGCCAAGAAACTTCAAGATGTGGCTATGTGCTAATTACGTCTTTGATTTTACGCGTTTTTCAATCATACTCTATAGGTACCTAGGTACCTAGCTATCAAGTTCGCGGCGCCTGGTTTGCCTTTGGCCTTTATGACCATCGTTTCCCCAATCGCGGCTAACTTCCCCACCCAAGCAAGATACTTTACTTAATGTAGGGCTTATTGGATATCTTAACTCTTCTCGATCTGGCACATTAACAATAACAACTTGAACCTACAGGTGATCATTTAAAATATTAGTAAAAACCAGATGAGTCTACCGGGATCAAGAAACTTTCTTAACATTGGCACAGTCGAACTGATTACTTAGGTATCTGACTAGGTTCATCACCGCTCATCGCAATATGGGACTCGAATCCTACACGAACTATTTAATATGAGATGGATGTTATATCAGCGCCAATGATATCACTCTCGATAAATATTCCGTATGCCTTCGATGAGTTCGGATAAGTGATGCTGTTGTGCATGCTTGGACAGCATGGCTGCTGCAGTGGACTATTTGAAGTCGTGATCTACTATTTAGTCGCATCGCATAGACTACAGCTAAGCATCAAAGTCACTAGCATTTACCCAACGGTTGGATATCATGCCTTAGCAGTCCAAGATTATAGCATTAAATCTGCTGTCCCGACATCGCCTTAGTGATTAGCAAGGCCCGGATCAGGGACCTATCCTTGAATATAGCCTTTTGAATCTCGAAGTTAATCTATAAATCAAGCTTTTGCCTCCTATTCCAGGTGCCCCTGATGAGCTAGGGGGAGAGCCGTATTAAAGCGTACATCTGTGAGGCAGTCTCCGATCCAGTCTCTCGCACGGTTCTGGTTCCTTGATAGAGGTCGAAATCATTATAAGCTCTCACAGGAGAGGAAAGGCTGATAGCTCAACCAAGTTTCGACCACCTATCATCGGTAGGGCACTTCCTTGCTGACGGTGAGTTTCTTCAGCGATATGACGGGCTTCGATCTCGGCTCGGCTATGTGGCCGGGTATAGCACTGTACATGCGGATAGTACGAATGGGAGAAGATGCCGGAAGCTCGACGCTCCGGTGATTTTCGAGTCAACATGACAACAGTGTTGAACCTTGTTGTGTCCTGACTAACTAAACTAAGCTATCCCATGCCTCTGGGAATTACTCAAGTTTCTTTCTAGGCTAATGCACTTTTCACAGGATGATGAACGTCCATTCACAACGTACCCTCGGGGTATGCTAGGCCGTATGCGGAATATGAGAAAGTTAGCTTTGGAAGACCCTTTCTTTCTGTAAGGCTCGTAGGTATCCTTTGGTCGCGCAGCATCCCAACCTCGGACGAATCTGCAAGACGAGCCAGTATATTTCGTCGCCTTGAAAGTACGAGATTTCGTGGTACCCCGTGTCGGCTCAGGTAAGACGTGTAATTAATTTTTGGTAGCATCACAGACAAGCACAACTTGCTCGATGCCGCACGAGAACCAATCGTGTTCAATAAGCCGGTTATGCCGTTGCATGTCAGCCTGTGAGATCAGGACCCGATATGCTTTCTACCCGGAGCTTGTTGTTTGCTTTGTTTTTCCCACCCTTCTCTCCGAACTTTGCAAATCATTCTTGGTTTAGAGTGATGACTAGTCTGCCACATCCCTTTGAGCTTTTGAAAATAATTAAATGACTAAGCAGATCTACACCGGGAAAGGGAGTATGTAATAGATACGGTCAGCAGGGGGAACGTACCGCATATCATTTCATGCATGGATCTGTTGAAAGAATCAGGGCGGGCGCATAAGAGGCTCAACAATAGCATATATGCTTTTCGCCCTATTTCCTATCCTGGGCACATTTAGGGATATCTCTCAGTCACTATGACAATATGATTATCTGGCCAGGTTGTGGTGATACTAAACAGGCAACTGATGAATGCAACTAACGAGCTTGTCTTCCTCGTTTCGACGTCCTTGACGTCAGTTTTTAGACAAAGGAAAGACACGGCAGAAGGGTTCCGGTTTCACAAGCTTCGCTGAAATGAGAAAAGGAAAAAAAGAGTATCCAATAGTAATCAAAATTCTCCGACAAAGACCTTCAAATGCCGAGGCCCTGGAAAACTGGAAAACTGGAAAAAGGAAAAGACAAGATGCTTAATCTAAATTCTAAAATACCTAAGGTAAGTAGGTACATACCTATGATGATGAACACACACCCCTCAAGGAATATAATTCCCCCTCCAGACTATTTGCTCGTTCCTCTCGCCGTCCGTCGGCTCGGTATTTGTGTCACTAGCTCGCGAGCCTATTTGCTGTCGTGACACGTGGATCTCCTTTATCGCCTTGATGGCCTAACCTACGAGTGGCTGATGGTAGACATCCCACGCGTGGGGCGAGACTAGTAGCTGTTATGATTTACGAAAAAAAAAAAAAAAAATAAAAAAAAAATATTATTCTGTGTACTCAACTTTGCCCTGAAAGCAGGCGAGAGAAAGTAGCTTTGCCATGCATGCGTGAGCGGCATCGAAACGTGGTGTTTCTCCTCCGCGCATGGCGCCCGCTGCTGTACCGCCTCAGCGTTCTTGTCTTCTCTTGCGTGTGTCCTGAGCTACGTCGGATCGCCTCGTCTCTGGGAGAGGGGAGTGGGTTATTTACCTGCCTGTTAGCAGGAGGGAGGCGGAAACGATGCGGTGGACGCAATGGAGACAACCTGCCGTGCTACTGGAAGTTGAACTCTCTTTCTTCGTTATCTCCACGACGAATGCAAGCAAGCAAACATTCATGCTTGCTGAGCGGTTGGTGAAGAGCGCGAAGCGCGAGACGCGGGCATAATCTTTTTTATCTTCTGGCGTCATAGGGGGGGGCGCCCCTATTCGGCCCATTATTCTGCGCTGCAGATGCTTGACATATGTGGACGAGTCGACTGGATTGTTACCATGACATTGCTTCCTTCCAGTCAATGCTGCTGACGACGACTGATGGAAGGATTTTGGTCTGGATCGTAGAGTACGTACGCTGGTTTTATAGAAGTGATATATATATAATATATATAAGCGAACAGATCAGTTGCAGGTCATATCTAGCCTGCAGTCCTGACTTCCTCTTACTCCCCCCTTTTTCTCTCTTTCTTTTCCCTCCTCATAGTCGATCCTGTATCTAAGTCAGGTCGCACACCCATACTGGCTATCTGCCCTGCGTTACGGGTACCCGAAGGGGGATCCAAGTCCAACATGGATTAGGGTCGACGCCGTGCATCCCATGACATGTCCCTCGTTGGGCTCGTCAATATGCGGCCGTCCGACATGCCGTGCGCTTTGTGTTGTGTTATAGATAGGTCTGCGACAACGATAGGCTCTGCGATCATGAGACGCTGCGCCACGAACGTCGCAGTTGAGAAGGTTCTCTCTCTGATCGAAACAGAAGAAAACCGGAAATAAATCCATTTCGCCCGGACGCGAAAGCGAGGCGAGGCGAGGCGAGGACGGCATGGGAAATCGGCGATGATGGATATATACCTAGATAGATAGCCATGCCATGCGAGGCTTCTAGAAGATGGCGATGCCCCCCCTCGCCCCCTTTCCCCCCCGACGCCGGGAATATCGAAGGCTCGGCGTGCAGCGATTCGCCGCGGGCTTTGATGTGAATCTGGCTGTAAGGGGAAAACAGTCGGATTACTCAAAATGGGTTGGAAAGATTTCTGCGAGCGATGTTTGACTGGCTGCGCATTTGTATGTGTGTGTGTGTGTGCTCTCTCCTGCTGGAGGTGATCGTGAAGGGTTCAGTTTCATTGGAATCGTGTAATGTTTCTCTTATGAGCCTCAATATGCTAATTGAAGCGCAACTCTTACAATGTCTTACAGTCTTACAAGTATTAGTCCTCATTATATTACAAACTACAGTATAGACGGAAGCTTTTTCTTTTTTTATTCCTAGGTACCTAGAGAAGGCGTGGGTAAGGTGAGAATCTCTCGTGGGGTTGAAGAGGATCAACAGGGGAGGGTTGACGCTTTGGTTACTACATAACGTCGTCTCTAATGTGGTGATGCTGACGAGCTGACAAGATGGAGAGACTGCGCTGAAAAGTGAAACAAAGTACAATGGGGTGAGACTTGTCTTATGCCTAATCGAACCATGTTGATCTTAAGTGTCTAACGATATCAATGCGGTGAGACTGTTACAATTGAAGCACAATTTAAGAAATCATCAGTATGAAACAAGTTGGAATCAAAGAGTGTAAAGAATCTATATATATAAAGCTTCTTTAAATGCCAGGACTGGTGTGCCAAAATCCTCGTCTAAAGAGGGGCTAATTGAATACATCGTAATAGGCTTAGCAGTAATATGTATCAACGATCCGCTCCTGCAACAAATTTCTATGAATAGGTCCTAATATTCATTCCTCACATCTGCACACTCGCAGCGCCGATTCCCTATAGTGATTCTGATTCGAATGAGCCGACGACATTATAAGCCCGAATCATCGCAAGCCCGTACCCAAACATGATGAAGGAAAAAAAAAGAAAGTGACCGTAGCCCTCCGGGATAACATATATACACTTTCAAGGTTATGGTCTTACACGCATAATAGACAATATTGAAATAGATATGTCAGGCGTGTTCGCTCTAGCGGTGGATGCCTTCCTTCATGAAACCGCCGAGCTGCTTCGCAAGGTCGCCGTGCATCATCGAGAAGTGGTTCCCGGGCATGTGATAGAACTTAGTTTTCTCGATGTCGAGGTACTCATCCCACCGGTTAGGACCGAAGTCTGTTCGGTTGTCAAGTAGGAAGAGAGCGTGGCCGGTGGGATACGGATCTGGACGCGGGTCGGTAGGGAGATGGCAGACGCCGTCCTCGCACCAAATAGCTGTTACCTTGGGGCACTTCTCCTTAGGAATAGGCTCTGCCGTGTAGTTGGACAAAGCAGTGACGGAGGCAGCGAAATGTGGTAAAAGCCACTCGGGAATCTTCTTAGTTTCCGTGTCATCGCCTTCACCAAGGAGACCAATTGAGGCGAACCACGCATGTAGACCAGCAGGCAGAGGCTCGATGTGTGATAGGGCAAGGCGAGTCGATAAGAATTAGGTGAGATACTTCGTCGTTAGCCTTGGTCAACTGGTTCACAATCTCGTAGGCAATCACACCGCCAGCAGACCAACCAGCAACAGCGTAAGGTCCCTGTGGTTGGCGACGCTTCATCTCCTCGATGAACTTGGTCGCCATCCCGTACACTCCGCACTTATACTCCTCAGGAGTCCTCATGAAGGGTGAAAACATACCCCAAACAGCGACATCTTGACCAAGCTCCGATATTTCTGTGTAGGATGTGGCGCTACCACTGCCGTCGGGAATAATGAACAACTGCCGGGCAGCTGTTCGGTGGTTGCCTTGAAGTAAGACGGATGTGGCCTTTCGGTGAGGGTAAGCATCATTGACTAATACAGACTTTGTTACCGCAGTGTCAGCTTTGGTTACAGCCTTAGACTCTGCCTTGACCTTAGCAGCTTTCGGTGCAGCAGGCTTTGGGGCAGGTGCAGCACGCTTGGGCTTGTCCTCAATTCCAAGTGTTCGCTCGATATCCTTTAGAGAAGGATTGTGGCCCAGGAGGTCAGCCGGAATGCTAAGGCCGGTCTTCTCACGAAGTATACCCAAGATAGACAAGCTCATAAGGGAGTCCATACCAAGCGCAGCCAAGTCAGGAGCAGCGACAATCTCTTCGACTTCAACACCCATCTCGGCACAGATGGTCTCCCGCACGATCTGCTGAAGCTCACTGTTATTTCCAGAACCACCAGATGTAGTCTCACCCTTTACTGAGCCCTTGTCACTCTCGCCGGGAGTAGTGACTTCAGAGTCCGACTCGATGTCATCGTCGCTGTCGGAGGTACCGCTTGAGCCGCTCGACTCGGGGACAACAATGGCGGTGGAAGATTCGAACTGGGATAGGAACTTCTTAAAAGCACCAATAGTGCTATGGTCATTGAAGGCATGTGAATCAATGTTCAATTCAAGATCCTCACGGAGTCGGCCACTGATAGTGAGGCCCATCAACGAGTCAACACCAAGGTCAGAGAAAGCGATATTGTCTGCCAGCTCATCGTGACCAACACCAGTCTCCTTAGAGATAATATCAAGGACTTGAGACGTAACGGAGGTCTGAGCGAGCTTTTTGTTCACGGCTGGTAAGTTAGAAGTAGTAACCTGCTTCTTCTCCTTGACAGGAGCCTTAGTAGCCGCAGGCTTGGGAGCGGGTGCTGCGCGGGAAGAAGCGGCAGCGGCAGCGCCTTGGGGAGGCAGGACAAGGTTGAGAACCTTGCGGGGAATAGCCTGGAAGCGGATGTCACCGCCGACACCGATGAGCTTGTCGCCATCGAATATGTAAGCATCACCAGCCATCATCTTCGTACCCTTAACGTTTTGCATGCGTATATAGCTCTGGTATGTCTTCGAGCCATCTAGACGCTCAGCAAAGCGTATGCTACCCCAACCGTGAGAAATGTACACCTGCTCCCGGGAGTCAACAGCATCAGTACCGTTGACAATAAAGCCAGAAATGTGGCAGACAGAGTCAATCCAGTACGGCGCAGTGTGGAAAGTTCCATATTCGGGGCCTGCTTGGAAAACAATTTTAGCAGTCGCCTCGCAAGTCTCGCTATCTAAGATAACGGATTCCATGCCTCGGTATTGCTGGTCGTAGTCGACTAGGGCTGAGAATAGTTTGTAAGCAATACCACGACCGACCTTCGAGGCATCACCACGCTGCTCAGCAGCCTTGAGTCCGTCGATACGTGCCTTGATCAAATAGCTAACACGCTCGAACTCATCCAGCCATTGTTGGTTGTCACCGAAGAAAACTTTGCAGACAGCATGCTCAGTCTTTTGAGCGCCCTCGCCAGTTGTAAATGAGATATCCGCCACATTCTCGGCCGCGTTAATCTTAACATGCATGCGCAAAATTTGGCTGTCTAACTTGCCATTGAAGATGAGAGTCTTGGGCACTTCCATGTTGGCGACATTCATACCAATATCCTTAGTGTCAGGTCGTAGAAGCTTGTAGCCGTACTCGCAAATAGTCATAGCCATATCTCCATAAAGAGTTGATGGCGTAAGGGTAGTACCATTAACACGATGGCCCTCACAGATCTTTCGCATGTTCTTCTCCACCAAGTCCGATTCGGTCTCGAGGATAGCAATATCGCCGTTAACTTCCTCCTTAGTGATCTTCTGGACGGTAGTTGTCGATAGCTTCGGCTTGCTGGGCTCAATGGCCTTAGGAGCAGCCAAGGCACCTCGGTTCTTTGTGAGAGACCAATCGCCAGTATACTGGAGCCAGTAGTTCTTTAGGTCGAAGGAATAGGCTGGCAGGTCAAGTAGGCGAACTGAATTATCGAAATCTCTGTGATATTCATTCCAGTCAATGTTTAAACCTGCTGAGTGAAGTGTAGTTAAGGTGGAGCTCAGAGTCTTGTAGGTCGCTTCATTGCGACGCAATGATGGCACAGCAATTGTGCTTGCACCAAATGCAGCCTTAACCATATTAGCACAGACGGGATGCGGGCCGACCTCAATCCAAACGGTCTTCTCATCGATAACACCCGATTGTTGAGCAGAGACAAGGCCGCCGAGGAAGTTAACAGCCTCCCGAGCATGGTCACGAAGGTAAGCTGGGTTAATAGGCTCACCATCGAGGAGCTTTCCGTGCAGAGGGGAAATGACTGGAATTTTGGGTTGTTCGAAATGAACCGAACGTGCCAACTTCTCAAAGTCATCCAAAATCGGCTCCACTTGAGCCGAATGGAAGGCAAAGGGTACCTTGAGCTGTGTGCACTTGAAGCCGGCGCCACCAAGCTGTTCAGCGATCTCGGCCACCTCCGAAGACGTTCCGCTAAGGACAGTTTCCCTAGGACCATTAATACAAGCAATGTTAGTCGATGATGCACGGTCACCAAGTGCCTCCGTAACAGTTTCGACGGAGCCTTGGACAGCCAACATTGCGTGAGTACCTGCTGTGCATTTTTCAACAAGTAGTTGAGCGCGAGCACCAACAAGATAAATAGTATCACTGGCGGACAAAACACCTGCAACGTGGAGGGCGGCGTATTCTCCCAAACTGTGGCCGAGGACAGCACTAGGGTGAATATCCCAGGAAGCCCAAAGCTTAGCCAAGGCCATCTCGAAAGAAGCCAGGCCGAGTTGGACGACAACAGGGGATAGCTTTTGAATCTCAGACTCGCTACCATCTATAAGAGGGAGGAATGATGGGAAGCCATGGATGCGAGCGAGTTGGTCGTATTCGTTGATAGCTCGGCGGAAGATGGAGATGTGAGTAATGTGAATAGAGATCCCTTCCGAGGCCAGCGTAGTGAGAACCTTGGCCAGTAAACAAAAATGCCACCTTAGGTTGCTCCGGGGAAACAGGTACGAAGTTGTACTTGAGGCGCTCCTTGATCGCTTCTTGGGCCTCGACCAAACTAGTGGCAGTTACATTCATGCGCCAGTAGTGCTGGATCTTGCGAGCAGTCGTAGTATAAGCTACGTGCGAGACAGAAGTAGAGGGGTTCTCCTCCATCCATTGAACCAGGTTTTCGGCGTTTCGGATCATAGCGGACTTCGACTTTGCAGTGACGGTGATTACATGGTGAGTACGAGGGTCTACGGTAGCCGTCTTGTAGCGGGGTCCGTCCTCGAGCAATAGACCAGTGTTGCCACCGGCTGCGCTGAAGTTGTTAACAAAGACACGCCTGGGTTTTCCATCCTTCCTTACGAAGGGTGTCTTGTGGAAAGCGATATTTACACCGCGTTCGCCAAGGTCTGGTGGGAAAGTCTTGTTGATCTCCTTCTTGATCCCGATATGAGGCGGGATCGCATTCTTTTTTAGCATCATCAATACCTTGATGAGCGCGGTGACTCCGGAGGCAGCTTCACCGTGGCCGATATTGGCTTTCACGGCACCGAGATATAGAGGCCTATCCACACTTCTGTGTCGGTTAGCGGGAGCAAAAACATCCGTGACAGATACCATTTCTGTGCCATCGCCAGCCTGAGTTCCGGTGCCGTGCATTTCAACGTAGTCAACATCAAGCGGATCCACGCCAGCTTCGTCTAGAATAGACGAGGATAGGATAGACTGTGTCGGGCCATGGGGATGCGTTATCGAGATGGCATCCGCTGAATGGTTTGTCTGGCTCCCAAAATAACAGCAAGGATATTGTCTTTATCCGCCAACGCATCGTCAAGTCGCTTGACGATTACCGACGCACAACCGTCGGCTCGACAATACCCATCGGCATCGTTGTCGAATGTGTTGCAATTGTGTTCCTTGCTTAAGAACTGTCCTCGGGAGAGACCAGAGAAAATATCAGAGTTTGTCATGCAGGAGAGACCACCAACGATAGCAGTGTCGCATTCCCGGGCTCTTAAGGAAGTGCAAGCGACTTGGAGTGCGGCAGCACTAGATGAACACGCCGTGTCGATGTTCAAACTAGGACCACTAAAGCCGAAATGGTAGTTGATCCTACCAGGCCCAAAAGCACGGACACCGCCTGTGATATAGTATGTATCGACTTCCTGGGCGGCATTGATCTCACGCCAATCATCTGACGTTTGACCATAGAAGGTTCCAATACGGTCTAATCTCGTAGAAGGCGTCCGGTTCGGCACGTAGCCAGACATCTCGAGGGCCTCATATGCAGTTGTCAGGGCCATGCGCTGCATTGGGTCCGTTTGCAGAGCCTCCCGAGGCGACATGTTGAAAAACCGCGGGTCAAAGAAACCCGGGTTTTCAATCCAGTTCCCGTAAGGGGTGTGACTAGTATTTATTGCTTTTCCGGTAGGGTCATAATGAGTTTCGACCGGGAACCGATCAGCTGGGACGACACGATGGGCATCTATACCCTTCTCCAGGAGCTCCCATAAGGCTTCATGACTGGCCGAGTCTGGGAAGCGACCGGCCATACCGACGATCGCTAATTTACAGTTGCCCGTAGATCCGTGGTTACCAATTGAGGCCACCGTAGTCTCGCGAGAAACTTGAGGAGGCGGTCGAAGCACGACCTCAGACTTCGTCTGCGACCTCAGGACATTGGCTAGCGTGCTTGCAGCTTGAGTCGGACCATATGGAATAACCAGAATTCGCGATCCCTTAAACCCCCGGGCCTCATTGGCGTTTCCGCTCAACGCCTTGTGGAATAGTAACGGTTCGTTCAATATCTCGTAAACCACGGCTATGAGAAGAGCTTTGGTATCTGTTTCAGGGAATGGCTCCCCAGTCACGGTAGACATAACAACGCTTCGGGGTTTTGATCCAGCGAGTGCTGTAGTGACAGCTTCATCATCGAGTCGAAGCATCTCTTTGATATTTACTAGCCCATGCAAATGCTTCGCATGGTATGGGCCATAAACTGGTATAGCTGTTGGCCTCGACTCAAACAAATCTTTGCTGAACAAAGACCTCAAAGTTTCTGGCGGGCCAGATACCGCGATGTTATTCGCGGATACGGCGCTAACATAGGCTTGCGCAGCTTGAGAGATTCCCTTGAAAACTATTAGATTTAAGGGAGTGTAGCGAATATCGTGAAAACCTTACCTCCGATCTATGAAATTCTGCGAGGATGGACGTTGCCTCCGCTTCTTTGGCGCCAGGCAACACATAAGTCCAGCTTTCTGACTCTTCCGTAGAAGGGCTAATCCTCTCTGCTAGCGACGCTACATGGGATCCTGTCCTGAATGCCAATAGGACGACTTGAACAGCAATTGGGAGGAGCGTTGAAAGCGAATAGCTCGACGCAATAGCGGTTGCCGCAAACAGCCCCGTGCAGAGCCCGGAGAGTTTGGTGTTTCTGTGGTCGGTTACATCCTCGTGCTCTTTTTCAGAGCGACTATTCAATAGCGTTAGTAAAAACTCGTAGCCAACAAGAACTCACTAGTTGCCATACTCGATGTAGTGCGCCAGTTGGGCTATGCATAGTAAAGCAGAGTCTATGCCGGGGAACTTCAACCTCTGCTGGCGGTATCTTTCGTTGAGTTGCTGTAGCGTTCTGAACACCGGGATCCGTCGGCGGCCCTCCCGGGGTAGACGGTCCACCTCATCCCTTAGAGCATCGCCGGCTAATCGGAGGAATTCTTTCGATAGGACGCTCGGGTTCCCTCCGTCTATAAAATTCGGCTAGGAAGCCATGTGTGTCGAGGGACTGGTCCCCGAAGAGTAGAAAAGCCATCTGGTCCGCCATCGTGTCTGTGATGGGTGAGGCTGGTGTTGTTTGTTGGTTAAGATATTCCAAGCCGAGGGCGGCGGTCGAGGTGTCTTTCACTTATATATATCAGATCAACACAGAACCACTTGGATAAACCTAGCCTGAACTAAATATAACACCAGGGCAGTGCCTAGTCCCATGTGTGATATCTACCACAACACCCCAGGCGTTACGACTGGAGACTAAGGAAGGGGGGTGTAGAGGGAAACTGTGGACTCACACCCTGGTCTTCTTACAATATCTCCAAGCAGTCCGGCATCATTCGATTTCTCGGTGACCGAAGGTTCATGGGAGATAAGCATTATATTTCCATTTTGGGAGGGAGTAATTGGGTGAGGGTTGCTACCCAGCTTAAGTGGATATTCCATGTCTTGTCCGAAGGTACGGGTCGCGGTAGGAGGCAAAGCGCGTCAATCTCGACCTTTATTTTGGGCTGAATAGTTCCAGAGCCGATAATATTCCCAACTCCTAGCTACTGCATGCCTGGTAGGTAGGTGACCTCACTGCGGACCCGTATTGGTCGGGGAGGTATGGTTTCTTCTGCCCTGACTAACTCGAAGCTCCCTCCTCCTTCATGTGCGCTACTAAGAAACCCTAGAGAACCTGACACAATAGGTATAGCTTCTTCGAAACTATGGGCGGCAAGGCTTGTGTATTCTTTTCTTCCGGGTTGCCAATGAATTACTGTTAATCTTACTTGGGCGCCAGACGGTGGGTCGTTTGTTGTTGACCGTTGGGGATGTCCGCCGAAAAGTGCAGCACTAGTAAGCTTTTGATGCACGTCAGGACGGAAGAGAATGAGAAAACTGTGCTATATGAGCCGTATTCAGTAAGTCCCAGCCACGAAAATAAAAAATAAAACAAATTGAAAACGGATTATTATAATAGGGCAAAGTGAGACCAAGCCCAATCAGCATAGAGAGAGATCATCGTGTCTCACTGAAGAATGGCTTATAGTACTTGCGCCACTGCCGGTTCGTGTAAGTGTAATTGATATTGATATATGGCAATCGACGATTCTCACACGCGCCGGATTGAGAACCAGCACTACTTACTGCCATCTTAATGCTACTATGTCTTTATAGTATACTCATTAAGGTGCTATGTATTAACACAATCGTGTTAACTAGCATCGCACTATGGGCAACGTAAAAGAGCCGCATCTAGACCTTTCTCGATGAAGTTTAGCTCAAGCTGAACATCTTAAGCATCTTCAGCAATTCATAATTTGCCTAGAAGCTAGTGTATATACGCCCGCCACTGATGAACAGGTAGGTACCGAGTACGACCGAGATTATGGTATGGTTATCCATGTCTTGCGATGACAGGGAGTAGATAATGTGTGCAATGTCTCTCGCCACTGTCTCGGGATTCCAGCTCTCAATGGAACTTAAGAGCTCATGATACTCTGGCATGTGCATGTGCATGGGACTCTCTCTTCAGCCAGCTATCTTTCGATATTCATTGCCCATAGTTTACTTAGACGGGGACTTGCAGCGGTATGCCGGCACCCACGGACTAAGCTTTGCTGCATTGGGAAATAGTACAAGGGTATCAGCATTTTATATATTAGGGAATGCCAGAATTTAAAATTCTAGACCTGGCGTTGTCCGTGATGGCTAGAAAGTATTTGACATGTTGGTTGCGTCGTTTGTAAAGTTGAAGTAGGAAGGATGAGTAAAATCCAAGTCACGTCCTTCGCATTCGACGATATGTATACACTAGGTACATAACAGATACCTAGAATCCCGATCTATCATGTTATCTAGTTACTTGCATATTAATAACGAAATATCGCATTTAAGCGGATATTCAAAATCTCTTATGAGAATTATTCAGTTCGTCATTTTTACATTTTCATTAATTCGTAGATCTTTCATTTAACTTGCTAGTCAAGGTTCTACCTAGCATAAAATAGAGCGTATTACTACGATTTCCCTTGTATTCAATTTACAACTTAACATGCCTCACAGCCAAAGTTCTAATGCAAATGATGCGTTTAATTTCATATAAATATGAGAATTAGTAAACATTGAATTAAATAAAATTTTGCCGCTAGTTAACCTTAGTATCTGAGTACTTCTATACCCCTGGCTAAAGGAATGACTTCTATCAATTAAAGCCTTATGTAAGGAAGTAATCCGTACATCTATTAAGTAAGGTTAAGTATCATCGCATATCTAATGCCACGTGGGATAAGGCCTATATCAATGTAAATAGGTACTTTTTACGTTCTTTGTAAGATTCATAACATTATTCCTCTTTTTTTTTTTTTTTTTTTTTTTTTTCAACCACATACTACATGCTACATGCTACATGCATATATTTTCCTACACCCCGTAATCCTTGCCAAAGTCCCCTTTAAAATCGCTTACTCGTATCGCGATTCTCATTCTCTATCTCGAAAAGTTATACCCTAGAATGTTCTGTGATGCGCGTAAATCCGGACTTCAGGGTAGTAGTCTAAGCATCTTTTTGTTCCTTAAGGATTTATAGCTAGTAACAATATTCGTTATCAAAAACTGTCAGCTTAGATATCGTCATCGAGGCCAACTAGATTTATTCCATTCATCCGGAGGCGAGACGAGTCTTCTCCCGAACTATTCTCTTACCTATAGGCCATACTCATAAATGGGACATGGCAAACATGATTGGAGTTTGAAGCACCGATCTGGTCTGGCCACCCACACTGGATGATGACTATCGGACCTCCGGACTGTTATCGTGCAAGATCAAGCCAAACGTGCTGAGCCAAATTTATCATGCAAGCTGATTGCCTAACAAAGCTCTATCAATCAGACCTGTGTGATACAGTCCACCTTGTTATTGTATTATTCTGCTAGTGCAATATGGAACTCGATGCTTTCTCACTACATAGAAAACTGCAGCCCGTTAGCCTGGTTCTTTTCAAAGGCTTGAAACAAGCTGATGAGCAGATCAACCTGCATGAAGCCACGCGATTAACTATATCGGATATACCCCCAACTACTCAGGTCCAATCTAACGAATCACATATTCTCGCCCTAACTGTATAGAATGACTCGAGGCCATAGATCCCCTAGCCATCCATTTTTTGGCCATTCAACCTAACCTTTTTGTAATTGGTCCCATTACGATTAAGATTATTAGACCCTAAGGAATTAGGAAAACTTCCGTTAGCGTGACCTTGTCGGCAATCATCACTCTAAATTGGTAAATATAACAATACTGTATACTAGTTCATCTTAAATAGTATAGTGAAAACAGCCCGGTAGCTTACATAGGAGGTAGGTAACTTATCATAACAAGTTAGTAGTTACTACTAGTTATTGATAAACTAGAAACTTCCTTTCAGGGGTATAGCTTAATCGACCTCAGACCAAGTGACACAGTCGGTAAACATCCGTAACTTAATCGGATTAAATGCCTATCGTAGCAATATCATTTGCTCGTGATCCTACAAGCTCTCAGAGACGCTATAGTCTACCCTGATTCCAGCCACGTCCCCAGGATCATTAGTAATCTTGCTGATTTGATGCGCAGGGTTAGGTATTACGCAGAGTTAATCGAACCTCGTATCGGCGTCCTAGATGGCGTTCCTCCATCTTCCTCGCCACCTTTATGCCCGCCTCGGACTCGGATCAAGGGAACCCCAGTTTAGGAAATGCTGCTAACATAGAAAAAGCTGAAAACCCTCCTATTTCCGTGAGTCCTACCCTAGCCCCCTTTTTTTCCAGTGCCGAAGTCTGCATCTCGTCTTATGGGGTGGGCCAGGCAAAATAAAATGCTGACGGAAGTTAAGCATAAGCTGAGAAGATATCTTGTGTAACTCCACGAAACCCAGACCGCACCTCCACACGACCCCGAGTAAGTAAGTAAGTAGGTACATACATACGTACGCTTTCTCCAAGCTAAGATCCTTCCCGTGGGGCTGAAACCACCACGCCGGTTAAGAGTCAGGCATAGGGCTGACAACACCACAGTTCCACCAATCGTAACTACTAGTTCGTAGATATGATTACCAACGCATCCCTTGGCCATCGGGAATGCTCGAGAGTCTTGTTTATTCAAGATAACAAGAGCGGGATAAACAACGACACCAGGGGTCATTGCAACAGTAGGATCCCTTGCTAGATACCCAGACAAGGCATAAATGCCATGAACGCCATATTTGAGTCCGTATATACGACCTTCCTGCGCCGTAGTTCCGATATCCCGCTCGAAATAGACGATATTTATCAGCATCTCGAAAGAAGGCAATCCCGAAGTACTATGCGATAGCGATGCTTAGAGACGAATCTGGGACTCTTTACGTCATTCACAGACGATCACGATTATGTTGCCTTTTCAAATCGGATTTCACTAGTTGTGGTATAAGCCTAAACGACGAACAGGTGAGCTTTGACTAATCTCCCCCGTGCTACGACTATTAACAGTAATACCCCTTCATAACAAGCAAAACATGAAACTTCAAACACCAACTAATTCGTGTTTTCTCCAACGTATGACAACCGTGGTCTGCTTCAAATTGACCTTTTAGCTCGACTCGGTATACAGAGAACTGAGCAGCATATATTAGCACTATATCTCCCACGGATCTAGATCTCGCCATACGTACCCGGTGTAAGTAGTAGGGGGCACCGTGACAAAGCCATCCGTATTCGCCCAATCTTCGTTCCCTGCCGCATTTCCCGTGGTGGGGATACCCATGGCATCGCAGGCGTCGAGGTGGTCCTGCGGGATCGTATAGTTGCGGAGCTTGTCGGGAGCCTCGATGAGAGTGATGGTCAGGCCCATCTCGACGTGCCACTCGACGTGGCAGTGGAACAAGAAGACCCCGGGGTTTTCGGCCTTGATGCGGAATACTGCATACGACTTAGGGTTGATGGCCACCGTGTCTCGCCGAGGTGGTATGTCGTTGATGGTAGCGTTAGCGCTCCAGTTCCCCGCCTGGCTCTCGGGGCGCGCGAGGACTTGGAACTGGTGCCCGTGCAGGTGAAAGGGGTGAATGGCGTCGTTGTTGTTATTTACGACGATTTCCAGGATTTCGCCGTACTCGACTACGAAAGGGTTGACTTGGCCGTACGCAACAGTCTCTGTGTTGTTTTCTCCTAGTGAAGCTGCGGTGTATAGCGCGGGCACCTTCTGCGCGATATAGGTCGTGTCATTAAAGCAAGCCCTAGGGTAGTCATTGGCGTCGAAGCAATAGTCAAAGTTAAGCACTAACTGCTTGTCAACCGGCTCATAGACGCTCTCGTTATCATGAGGTTGGAAAGTTGTATCGTCGAAAGGTTCGAATTTCTGGACGGTAGCTGTACCGCTCGTGTCCTTGTCTGAATCTGTGACCAACATTCCTGTGACATTGTATGGGTATTGAAGAGGTCTTGGCGGATTTTTATCTGCGAAGTCTTGGTTCACGTCTAATGCAACTAAGTATGGATAATTCCGATCTGCATCTTCGGGGATGGTTATTAGAGCGTCAAACCGCTGTGCGGCAGAGATTCGCAGTTGTTGCGCACTTTGCCTTTGCACGTACGATGCGTCAATCGCAATAACATCCATGTCCAGTGAGTCAAAAGAGAGGAAGGTAGAGAACATTGCAGACCAATTAATTATTCGGAAACGATACGTCTTTCCAGCCTCAACAGATACATGACCATCACCACCATCATTGACAAGGGTGCTATTCGGAAGCGGTGGCGCAAATTGTGTATTATTAGGGTTTATCATCGCCTCCATCAGTGTTGGAGTCTGGTCCCGGTACCTATGTTATTGATATGTGAGCAACCTAAAGGGGCCCTTTACCATTGCATACATTTGAGCTCACCAGTCAGAAAGTGTGAGGATGACTTCTTCGTCGTAATCATCTTGATAAGGATCGTCTGGGTCGTGAATAATGAGTGGGCCACGAAAACCGTCAGGGTACTGTCCCATGCTATGAGAATGATCTGCCATGATATTGTCAATATAGGGGGCGGTCGAGCTGTCAAGATCCTTCCTCTACTTACACCAGTATGTACCAGGAGCATCTGCCTATGCATATTGGTTATTAGTCTAATCATGCCCTTCCAATAGTATACCTCGCCTAAACACTACTCACATAAAACCGATACCTGACAGAATGATCTGGAGGTAGAGGGCATTGGTTTGTACCAACGGCGCCATCCATCGAGTTCGTATTTATTTGGTTGATGCCATGGAAATGGAGGCCAGTAGTCTCATTTCCCAATTTGTTATTCAGGTCAATACTAACGAAGTCACCAACATCTGCCTCAATAGTCGGACAGGGCCAAACATCGTTTATCCCTATGACTGGCCTCCCAAATCCATCCGGGCTAGCGAATACCCAAGTTACGTTCCAGTCGTATTTCACCGTCTTTGCCGACGACCCTGTGGCCTGGGCCAACGCGATGATCAAGGGAAGGCATCCCCTATGCATCGCATTCGATAGGAACTCTTGTTGGCAGGCGTGAGTCTTCGAGGTACGAAGCTAGGGTTATAAACAGGCAAGAATTTAAGATAGCCAAGATCGAAACGCTTGAAGAGCAAATGTGTCGGATGCGGGCCTCCATCGTCTCTTTTAATGGTAACTTGATGGCAATATTGATAATCAGTTCCCATTATTTGAAGACGCTTAGACCTCCTTATGGGACGCAACGGGAGTTATCGCGTACACTCGGTGCGATCCAACATCCGAATAGCTTAAACTTGCGAACTCACGAGAGCCATACTGACGTAGACTAGGAGTATTCGGCCGTTTGCGAGGTCAAGTATATTTCCATAAGGGTAGAAGGGCTGACGTATGGATGTTGGACCTCAGCTATACGACCCTTCCGAAGCACCATTATTAGCCCGGATGTCCGTTGCAAATGAAGTTGGCTGTCAAGATCATTGCCATCGAGGCGTGTATTGCATACAGAAGAAACGGCTTTTGGCATATGTCACTATTTACGCTCGGATCGCGCTATTAGACTTGGTAGACTTATGAGCGGCGTGTTTCAGAAGCCACACTCTGGGGAAACAGAGGCTGTAGGACAACTCAAAAGTATTAGGGGCTAACGTTCATGAACACCTCAATGTGGGTGTAGAATACGAATTCCAGTAAAGAGTAATTTTAACGGAGGGTGTAAATATCCAGCAGCATTCTTAAAATCAATTACGAGATGTAAGAAAATATGGTGTGATCGTACCGATTTCAATTTATAACCAGCTGCCTGCCTTGAGTTCATGAGTTTCAACCCCCTTCCGTTCCACACCTTCGCATAGCTAAGTGCAGGCAGAGGTGCTGTCAGAACACTTAGACATTACAAGCCTTATACTAACAATGTGACTTAACCATCTCATCCGTGGGGAGATACCGCCTAGTGTCCCCCACGGGAACTTAATATTACCCACAGACGCGACTATCCTCAACCTAGAGCATATCTCACGGGTATAGAGGGACGTCCTCTTAATTTGCGAAGATTCAATAAATATACCAACTTAATTTCCTATTATAATAAAACGCTCCAGAATCAGGGGTAATCAGGATCCGGATAATTCGCCCACCGCCTCTCAGCCGAGCCAAACGCCGTCAACGACTCCGCACCCGGCTCCAACTCAAGGACAACAATCTCATTCTCAACATCGGGTCTGATGAGTGTTCCCGGGAGATACAGCGACTGCTGCGGCCCGACGATCCAATACCTCCCAAGGTTGAACCCGTTCACCCAGACGTTACCCTTGACGCCGTTGGGTACTTCTAAGAAAGTATCTAATGCTGCTGGGTTGGTGTTATTGCCACCGTCTACCTTGAAGCTGCCGCGGAAGAACACGGGTGGAGATCCGGTTGCTATCGCGCTGGAGCTGGGCTTGGTTTCAGTGGGGGGTGCATCGAGAGGTAACGAGTACACGTCCCAGCCGCTTACCACTTCAGATCCAATCGTCACGTTGCCTTTGATACCCTTGTACGGGTCCTCAAGAGCTACGAATGTGCCGGACTCTCGGGACCAGTAGTCAACCCTACCGAGGTTCTCGACTAACAGCTGCAGCGTATCGCCCGGTTGGAGCGACAAGTTAACCTGCGCCGGCTGACTGTACGTACTGTCGATAACCCCCCGTTTCGTTCCATTCACATAAACAATAACCCTATCCCTCGCCCGATCTCCAGGCTGCAGGCTCCCTTCAAAGCTAGCAGTGACTTTATGCTCGTAGAGGACGAATCCATAGTCCTGCCCTAGCTCCTCCATCGTCAGCGGCGAGACGCTCGTCGTCTTAGTTCCCAACATATCGAACAATGGGACCACAGGGGAGAGAGTAATGTTCCCAATCTCAAGGAGGGGGATATTCTCCGGCGGTTCGGGAATACTTCCCTCCGGCACGAACTTCTGGATCGCGTCGCGAAACGTAAAATACATGTCCGTCGTCGACCGCTCTCGTCCAACGGCGACCCGTAATCGTAGCTCGTGATGAATACCGCCGTGAAGTTTCTTCCATATCGCACCGTTGCTAAATCCAAAGTTCGTCCCGCCATGGAACATGTACAGACTTATCGAGTTATTTGCTCCAAGCACGAAGTCGAGGTCATCCACGTACTGTTGGATCTGTGACGGTTTCCCAACCGCAGTGTTATGAGGACTTTCCGATCCCCAGAAGTCGGGGCCAGAGGTATAGTACTCCCCGTCGAGCAGAGGGCCGAGCTCGGTAGGATCGCTGACATATTTATCCCGCGCCGCGAATCCTGATCTCGGGTCCCCGTCGATCGCGGCTAGTACACCCGGGACCTCGCCGCCTTTAAGAGTCCAATCCACCCCACCATCATTCGTGTAGAGAGGGACTTCGAAATTTTCGAGAAGAATATCTCTCAGTCCTTGCGTATAAGTGTGGTCTTCTCCATATGACCCATACTCATTCTCAACCTGGACCATTAACAAGGGGCCACCTCGTGTCACTTGTAAGTCCTTCAAATCACCCGCAAGACGCTTCAAATAACTTTCCGCCGCCTCCATAAACGCTTCATTAGAAGACCGAACCCGCATCCCCGGAACCTGGGTAAGCCACGCGGGGAATCCTCCCCATTCCCTCTCGCCGCAAATATAAGGCCCAGGTCTGAGCACCACATTCAACCCTTCCTCCTGGGCGACCCGAAAGAACTTAGCAATGTCGTTACTTTCTTCATTGCTAGTCCATTGGCCTGGTCTTGGCTCAAGGAGATTCCAATATACGTAACTAAAGATAGTATTGAGTCCCATAGCCCTGGCTTTAACCAAGCGGTCGCGCCAATATGCCGGAGGGATCCGCTGAGGGTCCATCTGCCCGCCAATAATGACATGCGGTTCGCCATTAAGGAGGAAAGACCGACGATCGTAAGTGAAAGCCGGCGCTGCGGCCGATTGCGTCGTACTCGGCGAGGGATCCGAAGCCCAGGCCGGGCTAAGGAGAGCCAGAAGACTCACTATAGGTTTATGCCAGCGCATCCTCTGCTATACTCGAGGATTGAATTGTATTCTAACCTTTGCTATCTCGAAGGCATCCTCCAGTGAAAAGATATATTAACCGGGGTATCATGCTGCCGACGAGCGAGCGCTCCATGCCCTTTCCCCGCATTGGCTATGAGGGTCTATGGAATATACGAAATCCGGGTTTGATGAAGAGCGTTACATTCACTAGTACCCCCTAGCTGTGAAATCCCTGATTGAAGAGCAAATACGACCTCATACTCTAGCCCCACAACCATTATCACATAGCATATATTCGTTATCTTAGGTAATCTTAGTTTGACTGATAGGAGTAATAATACGACGGAATGTAGAATCCAGTAGTTGAAGACAGGCTATTCTTAATGTTAGATTAAAACAGAGTATGCGAGCTTGCTTGCTTATTGAGCAAAGCCGTAGCGTAGATCTAATGTGTACGAAGTCCTTCTATTTGCGCCTGACCTGTCCTCTACCGCCCCGGTCCAACATTTAAAACGCAGAACTGCTTGTATGCGGCCAATAATCGTACCACGCAGCATATTTTTGCACGGAACCAAGTCGTCTATTTTGTGAACAAGGCTTAACCTCTGGCCAGGCTCTTGTTCGATCAGGCTGGGGCTTCAAATATACGTTCAATGCCCTTCCATTCTCCTTTTGCCCTCTCCTCCCAATAGCCCTCCTTGCCAAGCTTCAACTTCCATAACTCTTCCCCGTCGGGTGCTTCAGGCACCTTGACGAACCATCGCGGCTTATACTCTTCCCCCTTAGTTTCTAGATCTCTCCTCCTTGCGCGCTGTGCCTCTTCGAGTGTTACCTTCCATTCTTCGGCATCGTCAAGCTTGCCCTGTTCCGCAAGCCGCTGGTCAGGACGCAATCGGGTATCTGTAGGTGGTAACCGACCTTCCTCGACGGGCGTTATTTCGTTAAGTGTGGCACTAAATTCCGGCAGGCCGTAAGTGTTTGGCGCGTTGGGAACGAGTTGACCAGCTTTCCAGATCTCCTTGTTAGTTGTTTTGCCACCCTCCACAAGGCGAAGTGAGGACGTCCAATTGCCTGCGAGGCCGGTTCCAATCTGGCTTCCATCCGCATCGCAGAATTGAACCTCAACGTCTTCGCTCCGGCCGCCGAACATACCCTTCGTTTTAAATTCGATATTCGCCTTTGCTCCTGTAGAATCATTACATACGGTCATCGTTCCAACCGGTTCAACATATTTCTCGCCCATGACGACATTCCTTAAGAACATGGTCGCAATATTCCACGAATATAGCTCATCAGTGCCATCTGGGAGCCGCAAGGCTACGCGAACCCGTCCTTCAGTAGTCAACTCTGCACTCTTACCCCAGAATTTCTGTGATGGGGCGGGGCTTTGTGTGAGCGACCAGGCTGCAGCATCGGCATGCATTGCAACACGTAACGGACGGTGGGTGACCTTCTCAACAATAAGCCTGAATCCACCGGGAACCTCACTCTCGGTACGAAGAAGTTCGAAAGTTTCGCCTAGAAGGGGGTTGAATGGTTTACGCATGGCACGTTCTTTTACACGATTGACGCTAAGATTAGAAATAGCAAAGGCAGTGACGTATACCATGCGGTCCTTTGGAGCTTTCTGCTGCGCGGCTTGGTCAAGGAGCTGAGCATACTCGAGCTGTTCGGCCACACGCTGCAGAGTCGATATAGGCTCGTTAGACGAGACGGGCATGCTAATCGTACTTAAATCCTTGCCAACATTCTTGCGAAAGAATGCGATTAGACTAGGCGGCGGAACAGTAGCTGCGGGGATGGTTTTTCGTCGTTCTACAGCGATGTCAACCGGTAATGGAGCGAGAGATTTAGGCCGTAGAGGGAAAAGAGCCGCGGCACCACTAGCTCCTGTATTCCCTTCACCATCTTCCACGGACGATGTCGAAGACGTGTCATCAATAGTAGCATCGTCGGCCTCAGATTCGTGGGAATCTTCATCGCTCTCACGGCGAGCAATCATCATAACCTGCGCTCGGCTATCCGTTTCGCCTCCCTCAGCATCAAAAAATTCCTCAGTTGACGCTGTGGACTCAAGACTTTTTCTAGACGTAGAAGGACCGGGCATTGGTATTCGCCGTCTCTTGCTATTAGCAAGTAACTTGGTGAACTCCGAAACAACCGAATCCAAGTCATTTAGAAGAGCAGCGCAGTGGTCGTGCGTGTTTTGCTCCGCTTTCTCACCGTGGCTAGACCCATTCGGTCTTATTGTAGCTACCGATCCTGGTGTTGGAACAGCTAAAGCCGACGGGGCTCCTGGTGTCAACGAATCTGGCGGAAGAGGCGAGGAACTTTGTTTTCTCTTCCAGAATGGGCGCTTGTCCTGTGCTGCTGCGGTAAAATAACCATCACCGCCTTCTGAGATAGCTGCTGGGGAAGCTGCGATAAGTGTGAGCTTTGAGGGCGTGGCGCTGTTTCTGCACAGCTATATCCTTGACCAAACGACGCAGAGCATCTCGCGTACCGACAATACGGCTAACCAACGTCTCAACTTGTTGCCATCCCGGTCCTCATCTTGCTGCGAGTTCGGCAAACTGGTTTGCTTTGGAGTTGCCACGGTAAGCTTTTCGGGAGAAGGTTCCTCAAGCATTGGTTCGAGGCCCCTTGCAATTCTACTTGCCTTTTCTAAAGCGCGTGCCCATTCATTGAATTCCTTAGCATTAGATGCTCTTAGATGCCAAACTTCTGCTCCAGAATCGATATTGATTTCTCTCCGTCGTTCATCTGCAGCAATTGCAGCTAGGCTTAGGGGAATAGCTCCTCTTAATGCAGACGAGTTCCGATTGTGGTAATATGACATGGTGCAAGATGAATAATCTAGGGAAAAGAACCTACGGGCATAACCCTGGCCCTTCTTTCTCCGCCTCTTCAATAAAGTACCCGTGTATGTAGTCGACGATGCTATTCCATCACTACGCGCACCCATAGATTTGGCCCGCTGACGGCCGGCCGGATGACTCTGTAAACTCTCAGTAGAGTCGGCTGGAATATCCCCTAGATGCAAGTTTGATTTTCCGAGACTGGTCCTACTGCTACTTGCGTGGGAACCAGCTTGGAGGTTTGGAAGATGATGTGCTCCTTGCGGCGGTGCACCTGTAGGGTAGGTAGAAGAACAAAGGTCGCTGTCTTGGATGTTTGCTTCGAGAAGGTATTATCGAATATTAAACCGAACATCCCCCCATGACCCTTGAACACATCATATGTTCCCATAGATACTTTGTCGGCCTCGCATTTCCCATACCATTTCACTGGAATGAACCCCTTGCTAGCCAGTTGCTCCTGAGCTGTGCTGGAATCTTTCTTCGCAAAGCGATTACCCTTTCCATGGCCATCAACCTGTTCGACATCGGTATTCGTGCCGTCTAATGTCGGGATAGGGTTTGTCGCGCCGGTACCGGGGTGTTTAACGATGCCAAAATTACTAGGACACGTTCAAGTCAGTACAATGACGTTATTATGAACAAGGTAAAGGATTTATATGCTTACATTGACTTCTTATGCGGCTGGACACTCCATGAAATAGTTTGGCCTTCGTCGACCTTAACCCATCGCACAATATAGGACTGTTCGGGAAGAGAAGTTAGTACTCGGGCCTTGCGGGAATCGTCATGTCTCCAATAATAGGACGGAGGCACACCTTGCTGTGGATTTCTAGTTGCTCTATCCCTGCCATTTTCGAAGTCGCAGACGATCAATAGTAACCGGCGTACAAATTAGTTTTCAGACAAGTAATAACATTTCCATCAATTGCCAAAATAATTATTAGGCGTAAAGAGAAAGACGATGGGTATTATTTGTGAGGTCGCAAAAGTAGAAATACGTCTGCCTATTTACTCCCCATAAGCTGATGCTACTTGTTAATGCAGTCTGCAGTCTGCAGTTCTGCAGGATAGCTGCAATTAACTCAGCCACAACAACTTTTGGGGGTATGTTAGGTACCTCTAGGAATCAATACGTATCAATACGTAAGTTTGATGTAAGAAGTTGGATGTTTCACGATTCCTTGCTTTGTGCAAGTTGCAAGTTGCAAGTTGCAAGTTGCCGTCGAATATTGTTTCTGTTAAATTGTTTGGGAAAGAAAAAGGGGAATTGTCAATTCAATTTGATAAATATTAAAGGCATCCATATGAATTAAAGTATTGGTACGAGCTACGGATAGGCGGACACGAACCATTGCGCTTGCTATGTAGAGACGTCTTGCACGAAGCTATTATCGGTTTAGTGCGTTGGCTAATCAGATGATGGGTACTAGCTTAGGGATTGAGTTGTGGCGTACAACGTCAGGGTTATTAATAACTCATACCCCTTTTAGTTATGTAGCCATGTACCTCTTAATCTTCATATGCCCCCTAAATTCAATCTTCAGCATAACAGTTCAGGAATTAACATCTGAAATGACAACTTGACTCACGAACAGCATCATAATAGTCATATTCTAAGATATAAACTATATTCATTGCAAGAAGCATTAAATAAAGTGCCCAGGTTAATACGTTATACACTAAGGTAATTACCAACAAATAACCTTCCCAATTTAAAAACAGCAAATCAATGAACAGCTACGTGATCCACGACTATAGAGCTTGAATACTTTAATTCATTGTAGTTTTATGAATATTTTCCAATGATACATCAGACTGAAGATATCAATTTTAATGACCAACATATCCATAAGCTAACTTCGCCTACTTAGAATTTAACTATCTACCAATTTAGCAATCACAAGATACAATTACCATCCTCTAACCCTAGTAGTGTCATCTGTATTCAAGCAATATAGTTTTGATAACTATTGACTGAAGATTAAATCACTACCTGAATCAGGAACTTCATCCCATTATACGTATAAACAGCCAAAACAATATCTTCAATAAATAACAACTTTCAGTTTCAGCCTCATGATACATATTATTGAATACTGTTGAATAAAAGTATACATGAATATCTAGCCAGTGATTTATCGTAAAGGTGAATGATATGCTCTAGTCCTCTACATTCACGTCCTATTTCAAAGGAAAAAAAAACTATATAAACTCAGTAAGAGAGGGCATTTTTCCTTTCCATTCTTCTAACTATCCACCAACACACCAGCATACCAACACCTTGTTCGCCAGTCTAAACAACACCCTGAAAAGCATTCAGCAACTCCTTTAAGGCCCTCAATACTACGATCTAGCAAGACAAACCACCATGTCGGGTTGCGAGAGAAAAGTAACGCTGAATCAATGCGAAATATGTGGCTCTGAATCAGTGAAGGAGACGCATGACGTACATTCTCTTACCTGCCCTATAACATATGGGTCCGGAATTTGCACTTATTCCCCCTACAATCTACCGGTCTATAAAACTAAAATTTCCGTGACGGGTTGTGATAACTGCAGGGATAAGCAGTGAAATCACACTCCGCGCGGTAGGATGTCATAGTTGCATGGGGAACCCTCTCTATGAGGCCAGCCGGCACTAACATGAGCATTCCTCCGTAAATTGGCAGTACGTATTGAGAACCATTCATAGCTTAACTCCTAACAATAATACTAACTCGTCTTTTGAACAGGAGGGGCTTGATCCCCAGGCACCATCCCAGGGGATACCACTAAGAATGACAAATATTTAGTCAGCGTTCGGAGCTTATAGTTGCCACAAAACAAAGATACGCAAATGTTCTTAGGGGAATGGGCGTCTAGGGGATGCAAGATGGGCAGTTTATTTCGCGATGATTTACAGTTTTTAGTCTTATGGTTATGGCTACCAGGACCTGGTATAAGCCACCAATAGACGATATCACAAAACCATACCCAAAGTTTTATATCACTTGTGCAAATTTTGATGATGTTAATAATGTGTATAAGAAAGATTAAAGCTGACGGCTTAGCTTAACCATTGTACCATTGTAAATGATTATTTTGCTGTACTTAGGTAAGTTTGCCTGTATACGAAATTTACTACGCATGCTGTAATTCAGTCTTGGTAGTTTGTCTTATTATTATAAATGACTGATATTAGTGTTTATGTACAGGTAATCTGTGTAATTAGTAATTCTCTCCTTATTTATAGACCCTATTTGTTGGCTCGTTACTTTCCCTATATCTATTTTTCTTCTGGGACCAAACTATACCGTTATTACTCCAGTATTTTAGTGACTTGTGTCCGCATGTCTCTTCGCATCAGTAAGTAAGCATAACAAAAAGATTTCCATGCCATGTTCTCATTAGTATAGTGTCCTCTATTAGTTATATCTTTGTATTCTAATACAATTAACATTTTAGAATGCCTCATGTAAAATTGTAAGATGCTTTTCTAAGCATAAAGTTTTCTAGCCTACCCACCCCCTTTCACTCATTAAACTAAGGGATCTTTCGAAGGATGCAAGGCTGACAAAGCTTTACCTACAGCATATTAAAAATCTCTCGACACAAAACCTTAAGTAAACTTAAGGCATAATAACTCGACTGACGAACACACGCCATGCCAATCACTTACCAAGATACTAGTCTACTAAAGAGCCTCGGTAGATAAATAGCCAATTTAAAGACAACGAATCAATCAATACCTCAGCTAATACTTCTAAATCACCTCACTATGGGATTCAATGGTTACATAATTGTTGTATTAGTATTACAGAATTAGGATCTAACTATTATTTATAAATTTGTACGCAAGCTACAACTACCTAAACCGATGCCTGGGTCACTATGGCTATATGATTCACAACCATACAGCTTGAATACTTCAACTTATTCTAGTTAATATGAATATTTTCCGATGATACGCGGGACAGAAAATTTCGATTTTAATGACCAATATCTCTATAATCTAATTTCGTCTACTCAGAAACTAATTTCACGATCACGAGCTATAACTACCACCCTCTAACTCGAGTAATATAGTATGATAACTCTTGACTGAATACTAAATCAATAACTACCTAAATCAGGAACTTCATTACTTTGTGTCTATAAGCATCCAGGATAACATCTTCAATAGATCACATCTTTTGGTTTCAGCCTCTTGATAGATTAGGTACTGTTGAATACTGTTGAATAAAAGCTTTCGTCAATATTTAGCCAGTGATTTTAGCATAAGGGTCAATGATATGCTGTAGCCCTCCTACCTTACCGTCCAATTCCAAAGGGAAAAAACTATATATTCTCAGTAAGAGAGAGGGCATCTTTCGTTTCCATTCTCCCAACCATCAACCACCCACCATCTACCATCATACCATCACCTTGTTCGCCAGTCCAAACAACATCCTAAGAAAATATTCGGTCATTTGGGGAGTTATCGCTACGACGAACTAGCAGCACCACCCGTCAAGATGAGTTGCTACACGAGAGTAGTGTATAAAAAAGCTCGAGGTGCGACCGCACTAGATTCGTGCAGTCGTACAATGTACATGCTGTTAATTGTCCCCAGCACAAGGGAACCGGACCCTGCCCCCGCAATCCCCAAGATCTATCCGTCACTAGAAGTACACTTCAAGAGTATGGATGTGATGGATGTTATCAGGATGCTGGGGTGGCAACATAAATTTACAGAGAACCCTCTCCATGAGACTAGCCGGTACTAATAGCAGCACTCTTCCGCAGATTGGTAGCACGGATTAAGAACCATTCATACCCAGTTATACTCATGGATATAAATTGAGATACCCCCTCCAGCCCCCCTAAATAAGACCCGCCATACCTCGTCTGTGATGTTATAGAGTAAAATTAATATCTTTTATTAATCCGCTATTTATTCCTATCCAAAAAGAAAGTAAATACTGGTAATTTATACGTAAAATATATGAAAACGTAATTACTTTAGTCTAGCTACCTCCAGAATAACATTAACTACAGACCACAAAGTCATGGAATAAAACTAATGGAATTTAAGAATAATTGATTAATTAAAAAAAAGACTGACGAATAATTTTACAGCTTTGGTTATATTCTTAACAAAACGCTTGCTCTTCTTTTCACGTAGTTAATAGAAAAGATTTGATTCTAAAGCACCTTCTCTGTCAGCGTATAAGTAGAGATAACCAGGAACAAGCATAGATCTATATAGTATAGATATATAGCCCAACCACTTTTACTCATGAACCTAAAGGATCCTTCGTAAATTACAAACGTAAACTTTAGAACTAGTGTTTCCTTCAGAGACTTACCTCGTTGGAGATCATCCGATTATTTATAATTATTTAGTTGTACTTAGCTATGTAGGAAGGAGAAATAAATAAGTGCTGCTTTAGTAGCAACTACCATCTTAGTAGTATCTACATACTAACTATAGTACATTACAAGTACGTCACTATAACTTTCGTCAAGGTCTAGTTTGATGGTCGTACATCTGAGACTATATTAGGGGTAATAGGGGGTCTTAGAAATTAGAAATATTATAAGCCTTTGAAATCTTCGACCTTTGAGTTTAATTTTGACAGTTATGCCGATAATAGTCCTAGTCCTCGTAATAAAGCAAGACTTTATTCAATTTGCTAAATGACATTTACTTGATTGATCACCAAAATATCAGTCTCCTGCTCCCCTCTTTTCTGACATTGAATCCGATCTCCGAGCCAGCGGTGTTTCCACTCTGGTCTTTTCCGCCGGCCCTGTACTGGCATCCTGTTTCTCAATCTTTCCCGACGCCGCCTCTGATGGATCATTCGACTTCCATGGGTACAGCCCATCCTCCGACATCGGCGACGGGGGCATATCCAATCTCTCATATCGACCTTGACTTCGAGTAGACGATGATAGGGATGAGACGACGGAGGTCCCCCTTTCTAGTGTCGCCGGCGAGAGCGCAGTTTCTGGCGGGTGCACGGGGGGTGTACTCGCAACGATTTCTTCTGACTGTCGGTTCTGCTCCTCGAGCTTTCCATACGCCGGGATTTGCGAGTCGTACATCTCCTGCTGTTCCTGGTTCTCGATTTTCTGCGACCTGTGGTACTGCTTGACAATCCAGATCGGGATGAACAAACCGGTGGCCACAGTTCCTGCCCGACATAGGGCACGCGCGTAGCTTGTGTCTTTGCCTCTTATTTCATTTTTCCTTCGCCGCTCTCTGAAGCCAAATATGGCTAATGACGCGAGGAATACGAGTACTATTAGCCCAACAATAACGATTAATGGAATGGCCCAGGTGGGAATTTGTTGGCTCGGGTTTCCACTATCTAATGACGGGGTTTGTGAACTTGAGCTCGCACTGCTTAATAGCGTGTTGTACGGATTCGGGCTTGTATCATTAGATGATGTGTTCCCTGTAGGATTAGACGCAAGCGGAGATGTAGGAGAAGACACCAGTGTAGGTGTAGCTAAATTCGGATGTTTGGAGAGAGATGTAGCGCTATAGTTAGGAAGTATAGTTGTAAAACTAGACGTAGTAGATGATATTTCACTAGAGGTCGAGGTCGACCTACTGCTACCGTCGCCTGGTGTATGGGGTTTTGTATTTTCTCCGCCCTTCGGAATGACACCTGGGAACTCTCTAGCCACGTCGGAGATCGGCGACGTATGGAAGCCTTTGGCCTCATAATGCGGAGAAAAGCGACCATTTTACCCACACAAGTCTAGGGTATCGCGAGTATATCTTCGTCCTCTACAAATCGACAATTCACGGTTAGGTAAGTTGTCAGGTAGGTTTCTAAATGCCAGCTTTTAGATTTACTATTAAAGTCCGGAAAATTAAAATTTACAGCGAGCGTCCTGGTTATGGCCACTATGAGATAAATCCAGGGCAATTGGCCTGTCTATTTCTGGACACCCGGCGCAGTTCACGGAAACATGTTACATAACAATCCCCGACGGGGCTGGGGCGGAGTCGACGATCGAATGGTTAGTATTGGCTCATGGTATGCATATCAGAGCCAACTAGAACCGATATTGTAGGAGTGAAACAATAGGGCTGCAGTCCTTATTATCTACATAGGTATTATTCGCGTTAAGCTCTATATTAGAAGTAGGCCAGGTATTGGTTCTCGTATGAGTTAGACCCCATGGGCCGTGTGACCAACCTTTTTCATATATATACCTATATATACTCGGACATTCTAATGAAACTATCGGTCTGGTTAACATTTACTTGGTTTATAGGACTTATGCGGCTGGCCAAGGTGGGAAGTACAGATATGCGTGGGGCGGTTGGGGGCGGCATATCTAGACTATATATCGGGGGCTCACCTGTTTTCAAATATACCATGAAATATGGTGGGCTCCTTTCATATGAGCTTTTTTTAACAATAGAATATGGCCATTGGTTCAGCTATTTCTCTTTCCAGATTTACTTATAGTCGTGCCGTAAATTGAAACGTAGAGTAGTAGAGATACAGAGCGAGGGCCAGGAATTAAATGAATTAACACTAGATCGACAAAGCTTCGCCAGCTTACTCATCTTTAAGATTGGATGGTTGCATTTCTGTCGAGGATTCAAGCCACCAACACCTCAAACAGCATGGGGAGCCTATGAAGACTTATGCCGGCACTATAAACGCGAAGTGGCGTCTAGGTATACTTTAGATGGTTATAAGAATCAATGGGGCTAAGCTCACATGCATCGATACTCGACAGCCCCAGCTGACCATATAGGGGTAACTACTAGGAAACATAGACTGAGCATGAGAATACGGAGGCAATAATAAATGCACTCATACCTAGGTCCGACTTGCCAAGTCTGACTGGTATGGGTTACACGAATGGTATAGGCATCATTTTACCTCTTCTCTGCCAAAGAGGTACCTACCTATCAGGTATATATATGTCACCCTCGGATGGCAATGTTACACGACAGTTCAGCCACCACACTAGAGATGTATATGTGTTTGACTTGGATGCTAAGACAAGTCTCAGTGCTATTTTTGTACACAAAAATCCAACGTATGGTTTAAATCTAATTGGAGGTTCTTCAGGGCTAAGAGGCCATTGACATTACCAAGTAAAGGTTATATACGTAACTCAACACGGTATCATTTGAGGGTAATCTGCCTTCCTATAAATCGAACCATCTTAGCATGACTAATTGCTCTCTAAGCCTTTCATCCAATAAGGACGGAAGTAATGAGACAGCACCATTCATCATAGATGGCCAATGCCTACTGTATAACCACTTTGTGAAACCCCCTTGAAGCCTCTTGAAGAGGTTGCTATATACATGGAAAGTATTCAAATACCTTATAAAGTACTCATTATTAGTCTACTTCATGTGTTCGCTTCAATCTAAGCCACAATGTATAAAATGCCAAATTGGAGATTAAAAGTCTTGCACAAGCTTCGAAAATGAGACGGCAATACAGTATAGCAATACTTATTACAATTTCTGGATTTCTATAAAGTTTTGAATACTTCTATACTCCAAAGTTCAAACAATGCTAGATCCTAAAAGGGGCGGATATACAAAAGTTTAATAGTCGACGAATTTAATAGCCAATACTAAACACCCAAAATAAGAATTTTGGGCTATTTATGTTTAAATCATAAATAGTATGGGAACTATTAAGTTAACTGCCTAGCGAGTCAAGGGTATTACGCGGGTTGTGTTATGGACCCTTAATATTAAAGACGTAATGTTTTAGAGTTTTATATTCCGCAATCAATTTGATTGTCTCCCTATAGAGCCTATGAACCAATCTTGTAAGTCTTATATCTCATTCCGGACTTTAGTAGGCGATTAGGCATATTTCTTAATTTCTCGAATCAAAAAGCTCCACAGATGCTAATGAAAATGAAGCCGCGATGTCGCAATCAAGCAGGCTCAAGTTCCCCATGACTAACTTAGTCCACCAGTCTGGACAAGTGAAGGCCGTCCCAAAGAGGGATGAGAAATGTCTCTAAACGGTCGTTATCACCCGCGAGATCGTTGTACTCGCTAATGGCAGCTACAGCGATGGCCTGGAAGGACTCAGGGTTATCGAAGTCGGCGGGTCGCCATGGGTTGCTCTCACTAGGATCAGCAACTAAGCCTTGGCGTAGTGTGTTGTCCGCCGCAATGATGGCCACCGGGCGGAGGAGTCGATTCTTAGCACCCGGTGCCGACATCTCTAGGATCTGGCGTAGGTAGCCGCTATAGCCCGTCTTATCTGCATCAATGAAGATGATATCATAAGGTTCACTTATATCAGCGAGCTTAGTGAGCCTATTGGTATCCAAGAATATTAGGTTAGTTGTAGGCCGAGGAGAAATAGGAGGGGGAATAGAGTTACTTACGTCTCAGCGGCAGGACCGACATGTACATCGATATTCTCGTAACCTCGATCCTTCCAAGCTTCCTGTGCCAACTTGGCATACTCTTCGCTGTACTCGAGGCCAGTAACTTTACCCTGAGGGCCGACAGCGTGACTCCAAACCACTGTTACGATGTTAGTAATTGTCAACAAGCCGAGATGATTCGGCCAAGTTTCGGAGTAATCGATCCTAGGCGAATATGATTTTGGAGCACCAACTCCCGAGATAGGCTAAAAGGAGAAATGGATCTGGATATTACATACTAGCCGAGTACCCAACGTAAACACCAATCTCAAGGACTGCCAATTTTGTTAGTTATATTCCAAAGTACGGTAAACTTTAGTGTGCTATTTATAAACTTACCTCGTTTAGCGCCAATGGCTCGAGCCAAGAAGATAAGGGCCTGAGACTGGAAGGCTGAGATCATATAATTGGAGTCATCGCGCTCCGTAAAGATTCGATTATGGTAATCTTTGATAGGTTCGGGAAGAGAAAGTGATTGAAATTCAGAGTACCGGGTAACTCTCCACCTAGGGCCTCGGTGGCGTAGAGAGACGTTGTTCCCAACTTCATATTGCCGGTAATTTATTGGTTAAATGATTATGTTAGTCGGTGTCTAACATAAGATGGTTAGATATCTGACAAAGGTAGGTAGGTACCTATTCTTTATGAAGTGAGGAATATAGTAACATGGGTAGATACATACGTTGAAGTTGGTGGAGGGGACAAAGGGTGTTGAAGAGTCTTTGAAGAGGGTAGGTTGAAGAAAACTTGTTAATTGGTGTTTTGAAGGGGAGTTAAATAAAGAAATTGTCAAGAGCTCTGGGGAAATAGCGGCACTTGATTGTTGATAGCTGACATGGATTTTATGAATTTCGGAAGTGACACTCTACCGTAGCTACCTACTTATACACTATGTACCTACCTAGGTATCTAAGTGAGTAATATGGCGTCACCCCCACTAGTATAATACTTGGTCATGCACTTGGTCATGATCCTCGGTACATGTATCACGAACCATGCTAACTTAGGCAACTAACAAGAAAGAGCTCCTACTCTATTTTACACCGATCCCGGAGCCGAAAGTTGAACCCCGTATTTGGTAGGGTATTTTGATAGACTAAATCCGATCTTCAAGAGTCATGCAACCCGGATCAGATAAGATTATCTCCGACTTTGACAGTGGGGGAGCCGAGTCTCAACCGTTAGTTACACAATGCCTTGTCCCGATTTATTTTCCTAGCAAGTCATGATCACCAATCTACCTATTGTATATATTTTACCTACAAATTCTGTGAATATGTGATTCAAAGTCATTTCATTTAGAGACTTTGCTGCTGCATACAACCTAAATTCTAAATACGTATAGTTTATACAGAACCATACCGTCATACGAATGCAATGCCGATGCAAGCTCGGATATCCGAGAGGTTATAACCAAACCCACGTAAACTTTGGTCAGCATATCGAAAGTTCTATCTAGCTTTGGCCTCACCCTCCTCGTAATCTATGCCGTTGGTTGATATACCCATCATTTGAGATTACACTGCATTAGGTAGCGCTTATATCATAACTGACTCTAACCGATCATTATTGTCTATGATTTCGATAATATTGTAAATTGAAACTTGTCCGATGTCGGTCATGAGGGCCGTCGACTTATGGGGTTACAAGAAGAGCTGTTATTAAAAAAAACATCTCCAATACCATAGTGGTGATTAAAGCGATATAGGAATCGGACATAGCTGCCATCCGTCTTTTGATGAATGACGCGTCGTTACCATACGATATATTGATAGGAGGAGAAATAGCAAGGGAACGACTGCGTATCGCCGGCAGTGGATCCTCAGTATTCGAATCCTCCTCGGCCTCCGTATCTTCGCCCGGCCATGGACCGAGCTCCGGGTGGGGTGATTAGGCACTTCTCTACCGATGCGCGCGTTATTCCTCGCTTATACGGTGGATTAGGGGCTCTACATATAATAAAATTCGATGGTGTAAGGATATATAGGGGATGAGGGGCGAACCCACTTTCGAAGCATTGACGATAGCATCCAGACCCTTCGTAACAGGGGAGGTAGATCCCACTAGGCCATAGATAGTAACCAGTATGCCGCTGGTCATTGCGCTTCTCATCTCCAGTAGCCAACTCTTAACTAGATGAAATCGACATTCGAGACATAGTGAAGACTTGCTAGTTATAGAGAGTAGTTTAAAGTATAAGGTAAATGATAGAAGCGGAAGAGAAACAGAAAGATGTGAACGAGTTCCAATGGTAAAATGTTAACAGTAGAGATATAGATAAGTTAGGTAGCTGTGACGCTTTGACATAAAATGGTAATGATTGCTATAATTAGCAGGTTCATAAATTGAAGACCAATATACCATGTCGAGCTACGGGCAGCACAGAGCCTACAAGTCTGGATTGTGTTAGGTGAACCCTTGTGTTAAGTTTGTGCAAAGTCATGCTTTACGGAATAATGATCAAATGCGGCTACCTTCGCAGCTGGATAGGAGATGAGAATTTCCATATTAGGCCAAGACAGATGATAATACGCCGCATTTGGTGTCATTACCTTAACAGGTATTGGCATCACCAAAGCTTACACTATTCACACTATCGATAAAAGAAGCATAGCCATGGTCAAGAGGGTTGAGTCGGGATTGAAAAGAGTCAGAGAACTCGGCGGGGGAAGATATATCGAAACAAGGGGCAATATGCACAGTCGTGGGATATGATGTTTTCTTGACTGATTTGGTCTTATAATCGATGTTCGGTTTAACCATCACCTCCTACCCCCTCTACTTTTATGTATTATCCCCATTAATGACTCGCAGCCTCCCAAACCCACAACCATTTTTCAAACGCCGGCACGAATATGCTAGGTACCATCGTCTTTTTACTCTTCTGGCACACCGGAAAATAGGCCGACTCTCATGCGATGACTCTATAAGATGGTATATTAGTACGTCTACTTGAAAGTCAGGTACGGTATTGGGGATCCTACAAAGGGTAGTTTCGGTATAACTACTCTAGCACGGCTAGAAAGTTGATAGTAAAATATGTGAGGTCGTAGTGGGTATAGTGTGTACTTAGGAGAAAGAGCACAATAGGAACGCTAAGCAAGAATTTCTTGGCGGGGGTGTACTGTGCGCCATCGTCGATTTGTTCCCACATATTCAAATTGTCATATGCGCCGCTATTGAAGTCGAAAGGTACACCGCGAACATAGTGGAACATAATGTAGGAGCCGAACATATAGGAAATATTGGTCAAGGTCCAGGACGTCTCCTGGGAGACACCGGGTATAACATCCCAGAGAATCTTGAGCGCAACGATCAGAACAATGTGGATGGTCCACGCCCCTGTTGATATTCTCTTATTAGTTAAATTTTTCCAATGCTAAAATAGTCAGGCCATAAAAGCTATAATAAGCCTGGGGAGTATATCCCTATATTGCAACATCTTGACATACCTTTAGCGTTGACCCAGTTCGCATTGAGATTCGGGAGAGTGGACTGGTCGTTCAACTGCTCTATCGGCTCTTGAGGTTCCTGATATATCTGAAGGATGCTGCTCGATCTCCGCCTCCTAGCTGACTTAGAATCACCCATATCGAGATAGGTGGTACCTCCCCGTCTTGGAGGATTTGTACCAACGTCGTAAGAGACGGTGCGGGGAATAAGGATTGGGGAAGACACTTTGGCGGTATTGGGAGGAGAATTCGAATTGTTATTTTCGGATTTATTCGTCATCCAGACAATTCGACCTGGATAACTAAATTTTTCTTCGGCGTACCGAGGAAATCGGATGCGAGTAGAATGTTGATATTGTGATGATACTCGAAGAAAGGAGAGACTAGCCAAGTCGAGTGCTGGACACGGAGGCGGAATAGTAGAAGACCGAGTAGTCTAAAGGGTATCGCAGAGAATGCAGCCGATGCCAAAGAGTAAGGAAAGCTAGAGATGCCGTGTTAGGAGAGGAGTCGTGAAGGACATGAAGGATCGAATGTCTAATGCGAGATGATGCAAGATGGAGCGACGAGAGTTTCTAATACCGTAAACCCCCCTGACTGGGGGAAAAGACGAAGAGTGGAAATAATTGATTGACGATGAATACAATTAGCTGAAGCGTATTACGAATAAAGTGGGAGATCACGAAGTTTAGAAGAATGTTAAAAGGTTAGAGAGAGAGAGGTTAGGTAGGATCAGGTAATACCTAGAGACAAGAATGGTTATGGAAGGTGATGATCAAAGAGTAGCAGCGAAGTAAATCAGCAGCATTTGAACAAGGACAGGTTTACGGGATAGGTACAAGGATTAAAGGCTAAGGGCCAAGATTTGAAGACTTCCATTGGACAAGGGGGTGGGAACGACTGCCAATTACCAATGAGTTACCCCCAATTTCTCAATTTCGTAACTAATACGTATTAGGTACCTATTAGTCTGCACAGCCTGGACCGCGTGGCTGCAGTTGGAGATTTCGGGGATTTGCTGGGTCTCCGGTCATATAAAGTACCTGGTAAGTAATCTTGCTTTGAGCTTTCCTCAAAGGTACTACCTAGGTACTCGCTATAAGGGTCAGGGGTACACAGAGAGTCTCACGAGATCACGTGATGTTCGATGTAGTCTTCCATTCCTTCCCAAGCAGTCGGGCTCCGCGGAATTCGACTAGAATTCTTCTTCTTTTTTTAGGCTATATTTGCTTAGATGAATTAACTCATCAATCTAAAACAGTATGCAGCCCCGATAAATGCTACTATATACTGGTTACATGATTAGCGCGTTTCAATTTATAGATCGCCACAGTGAAATCTGCTACCATTTGGACATACATACATCCATTTATTGCCCCCGGCAGTACGGTAAGAGTACGCAATCGTATTCATATTAACACTGTACGATACATGTACCAAGTAACAACTTGTTACCAGGGTGCATTAATTTCAGAAAAACATTCGAAGAGCCGCATCATCAACACTCATCAATTTGATGAATTACATATTTTTATCTAACCTACCCACCCCCCGAAACTTTTCACGACGCATTTTCAAAGTTGCGATCCGCAAGGGAAGATCACTCCCGTCCCTAAGATCTAAATGCGACCTTATGCTATTTTAAGAGAGGAAAGGGTTTTGTTTGAAAAGGATATTTCCTTAGGTACCTAATCTTATCATTTCGCCCGTCTTGCGCAACTTCAACCTATAGTTCGTATCAAGAACTCGGCGGTTGCGGCAAGATCACAGCAGGTAAACTTTGGTACTGCATTATTTTGCCCCACACAACGTATTTCACGCCTGTGGGCTTCACTCTTTTTTCCCCCATCCCCATCCCCATTCCTCATCCACACATCATCATTACACTTTATTATCGCGGCCCCTTCACTAAACTGTGATGAGCGGCGCTACCGAGGGATCTGCCCCTAACTCCGGCCAGGGCGGTATAGATACTCCTAGTAGCTTATCGAGCCAAAAGCGGTCGCGCGACTATGCAGAGCAGCTAAAGGGCTTATCCCCATCTGATGATGAAGATCATCAGAAGGATACTTCGTTACCAGCATTGAAGAAACAGAAAACGGGCAATTCCGATAGTGGTGATGACTCAGATTTGGACGACGGCGAAATAGTAGAGTCGAGTCCAAATCCTAGTCCAGCACATGCCCAACCTATCACCGAGGTTGTAGCAAGTCCCTCCAAAAACATGCCCCTGACAACGTTGCGCATGAGCCTTCCGAGGATGGTGAGATTGACAGCCCCATGGCTAAGCCTCAGGAGTCTGATGAATCGGACCAAACTTTCTTCATTGACAAGACCGGGAGCAAGCCTGTTCAACATTCAGGCTGGAACCAAGGGCTCAGTCTAGGTGCAAGAACGTCATTTGGGAAGCCAGCCGCACACCTATTTCCTCCAAACTCAGCTGCCAGAGAAGATGATGACGACGAGAGGGATAGAGACTATAGACCACCAACTGAATCGCCTGAGGATCAGTCGCCCGTGGGATTTATCGTCGACGGATACACATGGTATCTGCCTCATCTGAATTTTCGAGCCAAGAAGCATTCTGCTCATACGGCCGACTTCTTCAACGACAGAATCCAGACCTGGATTCTTGCATTTCTCGAGAGGAATGCGAAGGGAGTTGACCGCGTATCTACCAAAGTGGTCCGAGAAGGATTCACTAACCATCTAAACCTCAAAAGAGCGAATCTTTTCAAGGGCGCTAAAAAGTATGCTGACGCTGCTACAAGTGCGGCACAAGAGGCCATAGATGATGCTAGCCTTGGGGAGCTAGTTAAGAAAAAGGTTAAGCAGTTTCAAACACGAAGAGGTAAAAATACCAAAAAAACAAGGCTACTTCGGCCAATGAACCCAGTCAAGAAGATACTACCCCCGTTACAGATAAACGAGAGGAAGTATTAGGCGACGAAGACGAACTGCGACAACAGCGAAGGTATTTTCCGTGGGCAGAAGATCCAGCTCAGCACTGTCTGTCATGCTCCGGAATTGGGCATCATGCTCACGAATGTCCACAACGTAACTGTAAATTCTGTGGGAGCCAGGAACATGCTTTGTTCGGCTGTCCCACAAAACAGAGGTGTTCCAAATGCCGCCAACTAGGACATAGCAGCGCAAGCTGTGAGGAAAAACTTGCCCTCGCGTCGGATGAGCAAGGCGGTTGTGCAATATGCGGCGCCGGGCACGCAGAAGAATGGTGCTCTGAAATATGGAGGAGCTTCGCTCCAACGACTGATTCTCACCCGAAGGTCAAGGATGTCCCGGCTTTCTGCTACACTTGCGGCGGCGAAGGCCATTACGGGCCAGAGTGTGGATTACCAGATAGGGGAGATAAGGTGACAGGAAAGACGACGTGGTCGCAAGCTAATCGCCTTCTTTACATAGACCAGAATAGCCAGAATACTGCTATCGCTTGGGTCGGCGTGGACCGGAAAGAAGATTTCCACATTCTTGGAAGGGCAAGAAAGCAGATACATACTCACTTCATCTCTAGTGACGAGTCAGAAGAAGAGCTTGTTCATGCGCCTATCAGAAAGTCAGAGACTCGAAGTCAGATCAGGATAGCAAGCAATATCGGATCCTTAGGACAAAGTAGCAACCGCACCCGATCGCGTCGCAATAACGACCAGAGTTATAGACGTCAGAACGAGAGAGAGTTCTCGCCTCCGCCACCACCCTCGTACTCTCAAGGCAACGGTAACTCGTCTTGGCAACCACCTCTCCCGCCAGGACCGCCACCACCCTCCCAGAGGAATGGATATCAGGGTTCATTGCCATCTGCGCCTACATCTCTACCTCCGCGTCCGCCAGCATTCAATCAGTCGCCCAGTAGAGGCGGTTCAGGCGGTAGGGGTGGTCATTTCAATCGGGGTGGTCGAGGTGGCCGCGGCCGCGGAAGGGGTAGAGGACGAGGATAATGGTTTCGTTACTTTAAGGGCATGTCGAACACGTTAGATGAGTTATGCTCTTGTCAAGTCATGTCATTGCGTAAATACCTAGTTGCGCCATGGATTTGGGATGGATTAGGTTTCATGACTGGTTATATCTAATAGTCAAAGATATGATTTAAATAAACTTCTTATGAAGCGCGTTGATATGTGCTTGCTGTGTATTCAAGGCCAGATGCTAATCGCTAACACGTCATTCTTTACGAACCCGAGCTTTCAGACTTGAGCTCTGTATCTATAGTATAGCGAAGCACGTCCGAAGTAGATTTTCCTATGTTCTTATGTGAATAGTATCTCTATAATTAATTGTCTACGCCCCTAGAAGAACGTAATGACACACCCAACTATTTACACGAAATATTCGAGCTGTAGGGACAATAGGTTATTGTCGATCCTCGTATTTGGTGTTTTATCAAGTTTACTCCATGAAGACCCTAGCAGCGGATACGAAGCCATCCTAAATATAAAAGGTCGTACGCCTATATCCGCGTCCATGCCGATAGAAAAGTAGAGAGCTAGAGCTACCTTGTATCCATCCCAGAAGATCTTAGTCGGCCCTATTATGTACTAACCACTAACCACTAACCAACCGTAGCCAGGCCCATTATATCGGTATTTACCACGAGTCATCCCACCGCCCGGTTAGCTCAATCGGTAGAGCGTGAGACTCTTAATCTCAAGGTTGCGGGTAAGTTTGTTCATCCACATCTTGTGGTTCTTCACACAGTCGGTTGTATTTAATGCTAACGTCGCCTTAAAGGTTCGACCCCCGCATCGGGCTCAATTCCTGATGCTTCCCAGTCTTCTGGGATTAGCAACCCTTTCTTTTTTGCTTTTTTTGTCTATTTGTTAGTCTAGTGACTAGGAGGGAAATGTTTGTGGGTTCAAATACTTTTTTTTTTTTTTGCCAGGGTTTATAATTACGCGGAATAAAAGTCGGGCCGATGCTGAGTTGTTTCCAAGTACGTTCTCTTATCGACGTCTTCATAATAGTACCATTTTATCCTATGGTACCTAATAAGACAGACTAAAAGTATAGAACATCTCATGTAAAGCGATACTCTAGCTTCATCTCTTTAGGGAGATACTTTAGGCGTACCATGCGCGATGGATCTACATGGTTGTATTTACCTAAGACTTAAGTACCTACATAATAACCAGTACTAAGACGTTAACATGAGAGCTATATACATGTAGGTACCTAATCTTCGTTTGCCGTATGTATTCTAGCTTTAGCAATAAGGACTTGCTGTACTGTAAGTAGATCCTCTAAAATCGTGGTGGTTGACGACTATTAGCCTTTGTCCATGTAGAATTTCGACTCATTAAGGACAATGCGGACCTTTATTGTATGCCTTTAAACAATAAAACAATCCCCTTGTTATAGATGCCAGATGGCACAAGGCAACAAACGACACAAGAGCATCTATTGGTTTCAACGCATATTAAGAGCCGAATGGGATCTCACAATGTGAATGGAAACAGCACGCTTGTTCGCAGTGATAGGAGTTGTACATATTAATATCCCACGCCGCCAATGAGCGTCAATGCATTGATTTATTCCACTTTGCCCTGAAAAAAAAAGATGACTTCAAATCCACACTACACACCAGACCTACCCTCCCCAGTATACCACCCGCATTCATCATAAACCTCCCAAGCATCGAATACACATCGAACCCGCACATCAAACTCTTCCGCCACGATTCAGGGGCCCATGTCACCGACTGGGAGACAAAGTTGCTGCTCACGCCCACCCGTCACCCGTAATAGAGAATCCGAAGTTTCTCCCCCATCCCCCGTGGCAGGCCAAAGCCAGGGAGCCGAGAAGCCCGACGACGATGGACTTGGTCCTGGCGAATGCCGCGGCCAAGTCGAGGGACCCGGCTGCTCATGCGTTTTTCCCGCGACGGCCGGAACAATATAAGCCTGGATGTGAGTCTCAAAGGAGCCCTGTGGTGTCGGTGTGAAGTCAATACTAGGGATGAAGTTCGCTGATTATTAGGTTGGTGAGTTGAAAGATGAAAGAAGAAAGGATGGCTGAAGGTTATTTTTATCATGGTAATAGTTGCGGTTTCTTAGAATTGCTAACTGTTAGTTGCCGTTGCCGTTGCCGTGACTTGTGATAAGGAACGAGCACTTCAATATTATAACACCTTTTCTTTTTTCATATTTTCATTTACAGTCTTATATATATATATACTCTTGGGTACTAGACGTACCTAAAGACTTACCTAAAGACTTTCATCTTATTCTGGAGTAATTGGATATCTTGAGTCGTAGGCTAGGATATTATCAAATAGAATATACAATCAATACAGCGATAATCTAAAGCAGCTTCAATACGTAATTGTGATGCAGAAGGAACATTTGATTGTTAAGCTTCTTTCAATCTTATTTTACTATCAGTCTTATGTAGAGCAGATAGGTACCTCTTAATCTAATAGTAGTCTACTACCGTGATACATGAAGCCATACTGGCCTGTTTGCTCTTATCACTACCTAAGCCTAGGCTTTTTCAAACGCTCTAAATGATGCCGCTCATCAATGTACAAGACTCTATATTTTCACTAGCATTTACCAGTTAAACTATGGAATGGTTAGCCAGAAATACATTTTAACAAAAAGGACTTGTCGAACACGTCACTACACCAAAACGAATTTGTAATAATACACATGTGTGAGACATACCGGCCTATATTCACGTAGCCTTCGGTCACATGCTATTTAGACATTTAAAAACAATTCGAGCATATGTAAAATAAAGTAAAATAAAAAAATATTTCTTGACACACCCCCTTCAGGTACAAACGATCACGGCCAAGGCCAGCATTTTTTTCTGCTTTCAGACTCTTGTTTGCTCGTAGAATCGAACCCCGAGGCTTTTTGGCATATAAATTTTGCAAGTGGTCCGTCTTACCGAGTGGTGAGGGCTTGTACGACTTAATCGGGTTCGAGCATGATACTCTTAACTGTCAACTATGCCACTGCACCACAAGGTAATTTCGTAATTGTATGTATGCTATTACGGTATATCTACTAGGACTTGGGATTGGATCGAAGGGACCGCCAAGCTCGGACGGATACATGTATGTAGGTAGGTAGTTAGTGATATGCACATTGCCGCCTAGATGAAGACGTAAGCCCAACTTTTGGAGAGAGGTCGTATGGAAGGATTTGGAGGGTACATGCTTTAGGAGGATGTAAATGATATAATGATATCTAGCGATATCTTTAAAAAATGGATAGGTTACAGTTGCAACGTAGATGCTTCATCAAATAGAAAGAGACGAAGGCGATCAGACAATAGGGGTTACACTTTGCGAGCATTACCCTACCTATTATATTGACATGATCTTACAGGAAGTTTCATTCATCGCATGCCTATCCGCCAATATATCTCCCCGTCCCTAAACATCCCCACATCAATCCTTCTGTCTCCGGAATGCTACTGCGTATGACCGCAGGATCTTGGATACCACGGTATACAAGGAATGCTGTGCCAGGGGAGCCTTGTGCGACATAGGTATGGAAACATCGACTATGCCGAGTTCTGCTATTGTAGCGTAAATGGTTTCTGTCTATGATGCCTGGGGGGAGGTAGAGTTTGGTGAACGTCCCTTTCCGATGCCGTTCAAGGCTTCCTTGAGGGGTTGGAGATAGTGCATGATTGCTAGATTTATATTGGAGTCAGTGGATGTTTCTATCTGCGCGTTTACACCCTCCAAAGCAATTATATTGTAGCTTCTAACTGTAGACAATAGGGTTAAGATTCGTTACAAACCCTTAAAGAATCCCATTAGGTGAAAATTATCTATTAGACTAAGCTTGCGGCGCGAATATATTAGCCATGGACTTCGGAGAAGCTATTCCGCTTGGCAAACCCTCCGTGGGAGTGCCAACAATGTACCTCGTCTCAAGTTTCCTCATCATCGGCCTCTACAGCCTCTATCGCCAACTCCTCCCGAAGCCCCTCCCTGGAATCCCCTACAACGCTCTGTCCGCGTCCTCGCTTCTAGGCGACGGCCCCGACATGGCGCGCACCGTGGGAGCGACCGGCGAATTCGGCCCCTGGTGCGCGGCACAGATCGCCAAGGCCGGAGCGCCACTCTGCCAAGTATTTGTGCGGCCGTTCTCCCGGCCTTGGGTCTTGCTAGCCGACTTTCGCGAGGCACACGATATCCTCGCCCGTCGCACAGCGCCTGCTCGCGACGCTGACTTCGATAAATCTAGTTTTATTACTAATAGCATGAGCTGCTTGGGGGATTTCCATGCCGCCATGCGCGCGTCTACGCGTGAGGGTAGCTTTAGGAATAATAGAGCGCTCATGCAGGACCTTATGGCGCCGAAGTTCTTGCACGGAGTTATTGGACCGGTGGTACATGGTAAGGGCTTAGAGTTAGTAAGGCTGCTTGAGGCCAAGATACGTCTGGCGGGTGAGAGGCCGTTTAGCATTAAGATGGACTTGGACTACCTCTCGTTAGATGTTATGTTGTATTTCGCGTTTATGGCCAATTTCGAGCAGACAAACCTAGGCCCACAGATGGAACTGATATCGCGCATGACTGCTGCAGACGTGTCAGATGGACATGTTGACGAACCGGTCACATTTCCGGAGACACCGGCCGGGCCGTTCATCGCTGCGGTGCGGTCGGCGCCGAAGCTGGTTGAAGCCTGCATTGCCTCCTTAGTACCGCGACTCAATCTCTGGTGGTGGAAGAAGCAATCATGGTACAAGAATATGTTTTTGCACAAGTATCAAGTTCTTCGTGAGCAGTTTATAAAGGCACTTAAAGACTACCGTAACGGCGAGGTGCGGTCGGCCGCCGCGTACATGCTGATGCGGGAGGAGCGAGAGGCAAAGAAGCATGATCATGCCCCGGTATTTGATATTGACGTTCTTTCTGATGAGGTAAGTTCTATCATATCTCCCTTTAGGATGGGTATATTGCGTTGATTAACGTCCTCCCTAGCTTTTTGGCGAGCTCATCGCCGGTAATCACACTACGGGTGGCGCTCTTGGTTGGCTTGTGAAGTGCCTTACTAGCTACCCGCATATGCAAGCCAAGCTTAGAGAGTCCTTGTATACCGCTTTACCGCAGGCTATCACAGATGGCCGGCCCCCGACCTTTGAGGAGCTGCGTCGGACAAGGCTACCTTACCTTGACGCCTTCATCGAAGAGACGCTACGCCTCAATCCGGTACCTGTAACGCGTGAGACAATTCGCGACACTACGATCCTCGGTCGCCCCGTTCCTAAAGGCTGCCAGATCTTTCTGGTATCTAATGGCCCGGGTTTCCTCGCGCCATCCTTTGCTGTCCCTGCATCGGAGCGTAGCCCAGGAGCACGAGAGACCAAATGGAACGATCGCTGGGACGAGACGGAGGACCTGCGGGCATTTAATCCGGAGCGATGGCTCGTTCGTAGCGGCGACGGGGATACTAATGTGGAGTTTAACGGGACCGCCGGGCCACAACTGGTGTTTGGACACGGGGTGAGAAGCTGTTTTGGGAAGAAATTAGCGCAGATGGAGTTGCGGATAGTATTGGCGTTGCTTGTGTGGCATTTTGTAATGTTAGAGATTCCCGAGGCACTTGCTGGAAATGAGGCAACGGAGGGAATTGCGCGAAGACCGCAGAAGGTGTTTGTAAGGTTGAGGAAAGTAATTAATACGTAAATTGGGTAATGAGTAAATGAGGTAGAAGGGCAATAGAGGTACTATGTACCTAAATGAGAATGAATTTGTTTACCTCCTCTGACTTGCGAAGGTTGGCGCTAAAGGTCGTGCACATCTAAATCATTGACGTCATATTCTATTGACACTGTATTAACTACATGCTAAGCTAAGGGTCGGATAGTGGCCTATACACTAAACCTAGGTAGCTTCTCACTACATCTATAGTGGCACTAGTTGCCATAACTTCAATAATACCGTGCGATTAGCACATAGCCTTACAAGGATTAGATTTACAAGGCCTGTATATAGAGGTCTATATTATACACTTATTCATCACTGACGTCTATTCTAATCTTATTCATCATCGTTATAGTATACAAAAAAAATATCCCCATTTCCGCGAAACTTAAACAAATATATAATATCGTCCATTCCTAGCTCAAATAACACATGATGCTTCACTATCCCAGTGCCTACTACTGGGTACTTCCTGCAAATTTACTTCCGACGAGGTGGGAATCTCAACACCTCTGTCTCGGTGAGAAAGTTTAGGCTTCCACGAATGCTGCGCTCCATTGAAATTTTTGTTGTTGTTAGGAATAAACGTGGTAGCTGACGATGACAGTTTCGTCACGCCCTCTTTCAGACCTTGCATCAGCGGTTGTAGTATCGGAAGGCAAGCGCATAAAGTGCCCAAGCACGGCTCGGCTACACCCCAGATTAATGGAAACCAAGATTTCCCTATTAGAGGATGATTGTTAGACTTCTCTCTTATAATCGTGCCAGCTTGGTTTCGTAAGGGGTACTCACAAGTTATATCAGATCGATCGTAGATGGAGTCTTTGGCTTCAAGGAAGCGGACAAGACTGAGCACACACGTCCTGGGAGTTACACAGCAGACGTTAGTATTAACTTTAGGGGTTAACAAAAGAGAGACATACAAGCCACCAAGAGCGAAGATAACGACGAGCTCAAGCTTCCTAGATAGCGGCATCTGCAGTCTGATTATCGCTGGTAGAGGTAAGGCGAGAATTAAGAAGTCCATCACGACGTCAGCGATTGAGCCGATTAAGAAGAGTGATTCGGTATCTAAGCAATGCCCTGGCAATGAGTCTTGCCATATTTTGGCGACTGGTTGGCACTGAAGACCGTGAGCAACCGTTGAGCCGATTAACCAGCAGGTGACCATGACAATGAGGAACCATGCGCTGAACCGGATGTAGTCTAGGATACTGAAAACGCGCAGGTAGAAGGCTAGAATTGATAGCTTGACGATGGCGCTAGAGATAATCCAGAGAATCTGGATAGTGAAGAACATCTAGATGATGAATGGTCAGACTCCTTGCGCTATCATCGCTAACGCCATGGCTGAGCTAGACCAACCTTGCCGCCCTCTAAGAGGGCGGGTGCTGAGACGACTTGGATATGTCTTCCCAAGGTATCCTTCGTCGCTGTGTAACTTGGTCAGTATCAGTCTCGAGATAAGATGAAATGCTTAGATTATCACACGTACTGTATGCTACACAGATAGCTTCCGCAAGGGCAACCGGCTTTACGGCAAAGTGTAAGTAAAACGCATGAATAGGACATCCTCTCGAGTTGCACGACTCACTAAAGCTGCCAGTATAAGCCAATCATCAATAGCAAGACCGGCTCGTACCAATAACCGACATTTAAACCGGAGGATCACCGCAGCGATAGCAAGCACGCTGAACAAGGTCACGGCGCCAATGACGGGACCTTGCTTGCTCTCGTACACCCAAGCCGGAAGCGGATCCGCGATGACCGACATTATGCTTGCTTTCTAGATAGCCTTGGCAACGGGACTGAGATAGGGAAATGGATTTGCTGCAGTGAGCTGCTTTCTTTTATCATCTGCGGACTAAGAAGGCTAGGGGGAGCCGCACTTGGGGGGATATTTGGATTCGAGAGCAATTAAAGATCTGAGTAAGACCACTGTAGGGCTGTGTGGTCAGGTCTCCGGCGATAACTGCCAAGTTCGGAAGAGAGAGGCACATTACCACCTACCATCCGTGCTCGCGGAATCCATCTTTTTTCGGGGGGCGCAGCAGCGCAGTCATCATGCGTATAAAAGTGTGGTAGGACTACGGGATATACGTAAGCAAGGCTGGTACTACGCTTCTCGGTCGGCACTTTTATAAGATCGTGAGAAGAGTTCGTGATCGACACTGATGCAGAGGACGGTAGGATTATAAGATACATGTAACGAAGGCTGATGCTACGTCTTGTTTTATCTTGTGGGGAGAGGGGAAATCAGCTTGGGGGCAATATAATGATAGAACCATAATGCATTCTATAGTCAGCTGTCTATAGGACCATTTACAATCAGCTCGGCTGCCGTGCTACCTCCTAGTTTCTATACTTATCTCATCACCTACAATATCTGACTCCTCACAACGTACCGCACCACACTCGCATCTTTACCAAAAACATTTGGTTTTGGCCGTGGCAACGCTGGAAACTCTGAGCTCACTTTCCAAGACGTACCGGTCCTTTTTCCCACCTCGTTCCACAGCGACTGGAATGTCTCCTCATTATGCAAGAATATCCTGAAATGTTGCACCTCGCCAGGCTTATCGCTTCCTATATGCACCCCAAACAACACGGCTGGATTATCTGCGCTGGAACCGCGTCGAAAGAAACGCACAATGCGCTCGCAGATGACCAACTGCGACTCCCAGCTAAACAGATGGAAGAAGTTCGACGCATGAATGATAGACATCCTCCCGTCGAGCGTTCCAGCCAGAGAGCTGGCCGCGTACTCTTCCTCTGGAAGCAGCATATCTCCTGCAACAAAGGTCGCTTTCAAAGTCTCGCGGTCGCGGAACTGCTCGTACCCCAACTCGAGAAACTCGGCATGCAGGTCTGTTCCATACAAGCGCGTCGAGTCGACGCCCTCGAAAGCGAGCCGTCGAATCGTCTGGCATATGAAGCCACCTATTTCGAGGAAAGTATCCTGCGAGCCGGGCCTCTTGAGCCGCTCGATAGCTTTCTGCATTTCCGGCTCGTCATCGCTGAACTCGAGGAGACGCAGGTAGGTGAAGGAGCCGATGCAAGGGTACTTGACGACTTCCCAAGCCTTGTCTCGCTATATGATATGAAGTGATGATGATTAGGAGAGACAGTCTTAGGCGATAGAGCAGTTGATTGGTAGGGAGGATGGGGGGTTTTTTTTCTTTCTTACAATCTTGAAGATCTCCGCTTCAACTTCGCTCGGAGGGATCTCACTATACTTTTCTAGAACCTCACGAAATCGGCCGTATTCCCATGGGATCGTGTCCATATACATGTCCTTTGCCCATGTATCGTCATCTCCGGCGCCAAGCTGCTTTTCCGTTTCCTTGCCCCACTTTTCCGTGTTAACGGCGTTGGTTACGCTTGTCATATTGCAATATATTGAGACTGAGCTGATGAATACTTTGACGATTTGCTTGTAAGAAAAGGGGAACAGGGCTACCGAGTTGGAGAGGTTTATTTTTATATTTTTTTTTCCTCTCGCATTTGAAATATGTACGATGGTCCCGGAAAACACCGGAGCTTATAGGAATTCCCCGAGGCCTGTCCCTATTCCTATCCCCTCAACTGGCATAAAATATCACCCCCTAGTAATCTGTTGAGTATAACGTAATGTTCTGCGTGACTTATTGACATAAGAGGAAATGATGTTGCAATATGCTTCTGGAATAAATATAATTGGCCAGTTTAATAACGTAGAGCCCGTTATCTTCTTTACATAGCTAATCTTGATGTATTAATATTAATGCTGAGAATAGTGGAGGTCATGTATTATGCTAATGCACAACTAGGATCAGATAATCGTGTCGTATTGTGTTATACTGAATCCCGTTTATGTAGTAATGCTATACCTAATAGCCTTCCCTAGTAGATCTCGTTCTTAACTCTGGTAGTTCATCTTTATCAAGTGAGCAAGTACTGCGTTACCTGTTATTGGTAAGTATCGAGCTACAGTGAGCAATGTTCAACAATTGGAAGCATCAATATCAAATTGTATCTCAACAAGATAGCTCCTCAATAATGAATGTGATGTAGCGAAAACTACCTAAGATTTCGTACGTAGCTTGTAAATGAGACCTCGAGTTTACTCTGGTTTCCTTCTCTCCCTTTGCTCTAACTGAACCTTTCACATTCAGATTGGCACGGCTCCTAACCATTTCTCTCAATGGACTCTCTACTTACTGTCTTAGATATACTTCCAGCAAGCCAAGTGGTCCAATTGCGTGTACCTTATGGACTTCATATCGCGCATCCGCCTCTTTCAACAACGCCTCGAACTCTGTCTTGGAGCGCTGTTTGCCGCCGTAGCTAATCAACATGATCATATCGATCTGCCGAATATCCCGCTCCAGCAGCCGTGGCCATTTCTCGCCGAGTTCAGGCATAATGATATCATTGACCAACAGTGGTGTCCCTGGCCCGGATGACTCCAGCCCGGGAACGAAGGACCGGAACATGGTTACAACATCTCGATCGCACCAGTTGTGCGTACACTGGCGGAACAGGTATGCCGCTGCGGGATTCCTTTCGAGGCGGCTGGACTCGAAGAAGCTGTGCTGCACAAAAGTAATGCGTTCCCTAACTTCGTCGGTCAGGAGTGCGCGGCCTTCGGCCAGCATGTTGTTCGAGCCATCTTGGACCACAAATTTGAGATGTGGGAACAACTAGAATGAAGAATAAAGTAAGATATACATGTAACTTATTGGAGGGAACGATTATGGGAAAGATTGAGCTTAAGATATACTTACTCGAGCCAAAGCTATCGATACATGGCCGCTCCCACCGCCAACATCGACAACAGTGCCTTTGAGCTCTCCCCACGAGAAGCAGTCCCGTAGCTCCTTAATGTGGAGGCCCATTCTAGTTGCCCCAGCCATAGCTCTCGCAAAACGCGCAGCTTTATCCGGGTACTTGGCGTAGTACTCGAAGACTGGAAGCCCGTGTCTCGTATAGAAAGGGCAATGAGTACTATCCGATTCAAACGGATGCTCTTTGAGACTGTCGCTTGACTCCGCCGCAGCTTTCAGCATCTCATCAAACCTGTCGTTATAAGTAAGTTATAATGCGAAGTGATTGGAGTTATTAGGACTCACGAGTAGTGCACGGTACACTTTAACTCCTCATCTTCCAATAGGACAAGCGAGCTCGCGCTATGCGATACATAACCCGGCTTCTTCTCCTCGAAGATACGGTGGGTTATCAACATACGCACAACGCGACTAGTCCGATCCAAGTCCAAGCCCACCTTCTCCGCCAGATCCTTGAAGGATACATCTCCGTCCGGGGGCACGAACGAGAAGAAATTGAAGTCCAGAGCGATCTGCAAGGCCGCGATGTCATATCCCATAGTCGTAAACGACCGTAGAAAGCGCCGCGGGCCTTCAACTAACCGCTGAAGATCCTCGATGGATGTCCGCAGGCTACTCTGCAGCTTGAGGTACTCATCTGTGGCGGTGGGCTCGCTTGGCCTGAGAGAAAACGTAGGCACAGCGAGGTTGTTGTCCTGGAAGTACTTGGTCACAGCCTTGGTCTGCTCGAGAATGCTTTCTGCGAGAGCAATGAAGGGGGTGCTTTCACCAGTGGCGCTCACAGTGCTCTGAGCTTGGTTTGCTTCCATGATGATATGATTTTGGTCTAATACAGGTGTTAATCTAGAGTGAGGCTTATGGTATTCTCGGATGAGGGACCGCTTGATACTAAACCAGAGAAGGTCCCTTATATTCCTTCACAGTAAGTAAATACAACGCCACTATTAAGCCTTCGGTGTGAGAATTCACATGCCACGAGTAGATGCAGGAGCTGTATATGGATACTTAATGCGATCTTCCTGTCGGCTACCTTATCTCGCTCTGTCTGTCTGCAAGACACTATATGCTGGGTGATATCCAGTGCAGTGCTACAGCGGAAGGGCACATCGAGCTGACCTACAGATGTAGGACTATCAATGCAAGACCCCTCAGTCCGCTAACCAATAAACTAGTTGTGTGGTAGCGTCACGATAGGAGTGCAAAGGATTCGTGTTTGCCAGGGGGTTTAATCGCTCGAGGCAACGTGAATAAGACGACAGCACTCTGTTCTCAACGATCAATACTAGCTCTCGCTACTACAGGATCGACAGCAATACTCTTCATCTCACTTCATCATTTTAGTAAATTTCGTATTATGGCGACTTTAGCGAGTTCCAACGGAGAGCCAAAGCCCAATGCTGAGCTTGTGGCAATTTCAGGCATGGGTTAGTTCATACTTCGCCCAAGCCGAATTATAGCTCTAAAGGCATAAGATAATTCAAGGAAGCTAACATTACCTATCTAGGGTGTCGATGGCCCGGCGGCGTGGACTCTCCCCGTCAGATGTGGTCCTTCTTGCGGAGCCAGGGGTCCGGCTTCCGCCCCTTCGACTCTGCATCTACGCCGCGATGCTTCTCAGCCGCCGGGTTCCATCATCCGAACCCAGGGCGGCCTGGCACGACGGCCACACAGGGTGCGTTCCTCATCGATGGGGATCCACGGTTGTTCGACAACGCCTTCTTTGGTATCACGGGGCGCGAGACCGAGACTCTTGACCCCTCGCAGCGTAAGCTACTCGAAGTTGTATACGAAGCATTCGAGAACGCTGGCGAGACGTGGACTTCCGTCGCCGGATCAAACACGGGAGTTTTCGTCGGAAACTTCGCCCTGGACCACTGGGTAATCCAGACGCGTGATTGGGATTATCCCAAGCCGTATTCGACAACGGGGGCGAGCGCGAGCGTATTGGCAAATCGAATCAGCCATATTTTTGACCTACGAGGACCGAGGTATGGAAAGTTGAATGCTATGTTTACTTTCTTTCTTATTTTTGCAAGTTACTGTGATTGCTAACTGTTAAGATTCGAATAGCGTCGCCGTTGATACGGCTTGTTCTTCATCCATGTACGCAGTCCACTTAGCCGTCAGCGCGATCCGCAACGGAGATTGTGACTCGGCTATCGTAGCAGCGTCGAACTGGATCGCGGATCCTAGTCTACATATCGCACTCGATAAACTGGGAGCTCTCTCTCCTACCTCAAGGTGTCACACGTTTGACGCATCTGCCGACGGATATGCCCGTGGCGAAGGGTTCGCTGCGCTATATCTTAGACGGCTACCAGTGGCAGTAACTAGCGAGTCACCTATCCGCGCTGTGATCAGGGGCACCGCCGTTAATGCAAACGGTCGCACTGGCGGAATTACGCGCCCCAGTACTGCTGGCCAGGAGGCTGTGATCCGTAAAGCATACGACAATGCCGGGCTCCCATTCTCGAATACCACGTATATCGAGTGTCACGGTACGGGTACCCAAGCGGGAGATCCGATCGAGTTGGCGGCCGTCAGCCAGGTCTTCTCGTCCGATAAAAGTCTAGGGGCAGATAGTCTCGGCCCTCTATTCGTCGGCTCTGTCAAAACCAACATGGGCCACGCCGAAGGGGCAAGTGCTCTAGCAGCAATTATGAAAATTGTGCTCTCTTTAGAAGCAGGCGAGATCCCTCCAAACGTTGGTGTTAAAGTGTTAAATCCAAATATTGATTTTACCAAAGCCAGAATAGAAGTTGCCAAAGAGGTTATAGCTTGGCCCGAACATAGACTTCGTAGGGCAAGCATTAACTCGTTTGGGTTTGGAGGTGCCAATGGTCACTGCATTATCGACCATGCCAGTGTCCTCTCCCTCGAACGTGTAAGATCTAGTCTTCGTGTGAGCTTGAATTCTAAGCTCAACGGTCACACCCTCAAAGGCTACCCCAATAACGGCCATGGTTATGAAGCAGTCAATAACCACCAAGGTCTCAACGGAAATGGGGAACATAATCTAGAAGAGCAAATCCATCGCCATCATCCTATCATCAAAGCCCCAAGCATGGCAAGTACTACCAATGCTACCACGCGGCAACTCGTGTTACTCCCCTTCTCCGCACATAACAAGTCTTCTCTTCAGCTTAATATAGACGCCCTTTCACTCGATATATATCAACACCAACTCGCAGATGTGGCATACACACTCAGCGCCAAGCGTTCCAACTTGCCACATAGGGCTTTCCGCGTCGTGAACAGGGACAATCCCGTGCCGGGTCTACTCAGCGTGGAAAGCAAGCCGGGTATTCAAGCAAGCTCAACCCATCAGCAAGATCAGCGACCAGCAAACGTGGCATTTGTATTTACTGGCCAAGGCGCCCAATGGCATGAAATGGGCCTACAGCTTTTCGAGTACCGCGTATTCCGCATCGCCATCGAGCATCTCGACTATATCTTAAAGTCACTACCGACGCCTCTGTCCGCATGGTCAATCACTGCCGTCATCAAGGGCAACTGCGACCCTGGAATTATACAGACGCCAGCGGTATCCCAGACTGTCTGCACAGCAGTTCAGATCGGGCTGGTTGACCTGCTCGCCTCGTGGTCTATCCGCCCCGTAGCCGTGGCCGGCCACTCTTCAGGCGAGATAGCTGCAGCATATGCTTCAGGACACTCTACAGCTGCAGACGCGATAGTATCAGCGTACCTACGCGGTCAGGCTATCGTGAATGATAAGCAAGAAGGGGCAATGATAGCCGTAGGTCTCGGGCCGGACCAGCTTCGGGATTCGGGATACCTACACGATGAGGATCCTAGAAATGGTCGAATGCAGATTGCCGCTGTCAATTCCCCCGGGAGCGTCACTGTTTCCGGGGATGCGCCGGCTATCGAGGCGCTTGCTGCCCGCTTGAGCGTCGACGGGGTCTTCAACCGTTTATTGAGAACGGGAGGCATCGCGTATCATTCGCATCACATGGTTGCGCTGGGTCAAGGGTACGAAGAGATGCTTCTTCGTGGATTCCAGCATATAAGACAGTCCGGATTAGTTGACGAGCAGAAACGGTATCCTCATGTTCCGTGGATGTCGTCCGTTATCCCTGACAAAGATCCTCCATCGAGTATCGCTGATAGCGCTGCGTACTGGAGAGCTAACCTCGAGTCGCCAGTTTGCTTTTCCGATGCCGTATCAAATCTAATCAGACTAGACGCAGCACCTGGCCATGATCCTATCAAAGTGCTAGTTGAGATTGGGCCTCACTCGGCATTAAAGGGACCACTAGAACAGATCCTGAAAAGTACAGGCCAGACCCAGATCGCGTATGCCGGCTCTACTCTGAAGAGAGGCGAAGATGCTCGGAAATCGATCCTTCAGCTCGTTGGGACACTTTATTGTCTCAACGCTCGGGCAAATCTAGTTGCTGTCAACGCGGTCGACAACGACGATGGCCACTTGTATAGAGAGTCAAACGATAAATGTGCTCTCATTCATGGGTGTACCGCTGTTGATCTCCCGCCATATAAGTATACGTATGGGCCAATAAACTACTATGAGTGCCGCTCAAGCAAAGAATACCGTCTCCGGAAAGTCCCACGACACGACCTACTTGGTTCCAAGGTCCCCGGCGTTGCAAAGTTGAGGCCTCAGTGGCGAAACGTACTGCGTATGAAGGACCTGCCTTGGCTGGGTGACCATCGATTATTACCGGGTAAGCTAGTACCTCCCTAACAGTGCTATTTATCTTCATCGTTGTCCGATTACACAGCCTGATCATATTTTTAGACGCTGTTTTCCCTGCCGCAGGATATATTGCTATGGCTATAGAAGCCGCCCTGCGTGCGTATGAAGAGTATCCCCAACCACATCCTAAGCCGACAGGCTACACCCTACGCAATGTGTCCATCAACACAGCCCTAAGGATACCAGAAGATGACCATGGTATTGAAGTCATCTTAAGTATGGAGCTCGACGCTGCTTCGACAGCATCGACTTCATGGGCACGCTTCTCTATCAGCTCTGCCGGACAGGCCGATGTCAATTCCATCGATAGCACATGGACTGAGCACTGCACCGGTATGGTCAAGATAGAAGTCGGAACCTTGTATGACAATGCCGAGAAGATCGATACATCATCCATGGATGCCCGCCTAATCGATGCACGATCTTGGTATAGGACTTTTACAGCTATCGGGCTTGGATACGGCCCAACGTTCCGAGCAATCACAAATATTCGCGCTGATCCGGACAAGAAGCTCGCCTCTGCCACTGTAGCTCTCAGAACTACGGAAAGTATAGTCCAAGGAGGCGAGTCAAGATATGCGATTCACCCTGCAGCTCTCGATGCTACTTTCCAGCTGGGACTTATTTCGTGTCACGGAGGCCGTGTCGAAACTGTTACAACTGCTTTTGTACCAGTTCATTTTTCCAGACTATATCAAGGATGGTATCAAGGATGGAGACCCCGGCACTGCCGAGGTCGTTGCACTAGGTGAATTCCGTGGCCTCAGGGGTGCGTATATAAACCAGTTACAGATGCTAGGACAAAACGGCGACGTGGTTCTTGATATCGAAAAGCTCCGATGTATCAGCTATATCGGCGAAACACAAATCAGCGATCAGACTAAGAGTGGTATACAGCCGGCATTCAGTGCCCCTTTTGCACGGATGGTGTGGAAGCCCGATTTTCGCTCCTTGAACTACCAGTCATGTCGTACGCTATTCCCTCCGCCTAGAGAAAACATAGATCGTCTTGCTTCCATAGAGAAGTTGAACATGATGGCTTCTGTTATCCTTGTGGACGTATATGAAACATTCGCGAAAGGTAATGATGAGACCAAGCCATCACCTACGCCGTCGGGGAATACAGGCCACTTTTTCGGATGGATTAAGCGGTGCGTTGAGGGAGCTGAAATCTCCGAGATAACCAAAGCTAAACAATTGTACCCCCTGGAGCGGCATGAAATAATTAACCAACTCTACCGAGAAACCAAGGAGACCCCCGAGACCCAGATAGCCAAAAGGCTACATGAAAACATGGCCGATGTTCTCTTTGAACGCCATACTGGTATCGACATCATAGTCCACGGCAGCGATAATATTAACCTCCTAACAGAGCTATATCAACGCGGCATCTTCATGACAAGCGCATACCCGCAGCTGTCGCGAATCTTAGACAGTCTAGCCCATGCAAACCCACATATGCGAATTTTGGAGCTTGGAGCTGGGACCGGCGGCGCTACGCGTGTTGCCATGAAAGCGCTCACAGGACCCAACAGTATTAAGCGCTACCGCGAATATGTCTTCACCGACATCTCGCCTGGTTTTCTAGCTGCAGCGCAGACATCTATGGCCGAATTTCACGATATCAATTACTCTGTCCTAGACATAGAGGCAGATCCCGCAGCGCAGGGCTACCTACCTGTATATGACGTCGTCTTGGCCTCGCAGACTTTGCATGCGACGACCAGCATCTCTGAAACGCTCAAGAATTGTCGGAAACTTCTCAAGCCGGGAGGAAAGCTTCTACTAGTGGAAACCACCACAACGGACAGCGTAATCATTGGGCTCCTCCTAGGTACATTGACTGGATACTGGCACGGAATACCTGACGGTAGGGTAAACGGCCCATTCGTAAACTTGGAAACATGGGATAATGTCCTAAAAGGAGTAGGCTTTTCTGGTACTGAACTGGTGTTGGATGACTACCCTCCGCCAAACAATGTGACCACTACCCTGGTCTCGACGCTTATGAAGAGCGATAGCGCACATCAAAATAATAAGAAAACAAACGGAGTATTAGCAGGTGTCGAGGTTCAACTTCTCCACAGTCTTGAACATAATCCACCGCTTCTTAATAGACTCCAACATGTGTTAGAACAGCGTGGCATATCACCCCAAACCACATCGCTCGACCAAGCATCAGAGACAGTATCTCAAGACGCCTATGTAGTGGTGTTCTTGGACGGCGAGAAGGATTTTCTTCTCGATAGTGAAGGGCATCACCTTGCCACGTTTCAACACCTCGCGCGTAACGCAGCGACCTTGATCTGCTTAACGTTCTGTGGTTTTTCAAGAGGTCGAAACCCCGAAGGGGCATTGATCCCCGGACTATTACGGACGATCGGGACAGAGAACCCAGCGAATCGATTTATCTCAATTGATATTTCCGTCGAGGATTCCGATCTTGCCACATACGACTCTAAAGATCTCACCCGCTGCGTAGTGGACCAACTTTTCCCGCCACCCAGCGAATCTAAAGATGGCGAAGAGAATGAGAGTCTTCGAATGAACGACTGCGAGTACGTCTGGCAAGACGGCTGTCTCTGGATCAGCCGGGCTGTGCCTGATGACACTCTTCGGCCATACGCAGAAACATCACCTAATGAGAGCCGAGCCCAACATAACGAGACTTTATCGTTGCAACCACTCGACAGTCAAGGTCCCATTCGCGCAGCATTCTCTAAGCCAGGCTTGCTCAGCTCTTTGTACTTTAGGCCCTACAAGGAGCTATTATCACCGATACCATCGAATTACATCGACGTCAAAGTTGCAGCAGTAGGTCTCAACTGGAAGGATCTCGCCGTCTCGTCTGGTCGTTTTGACGCCGGTAATCTATCATCCGAATATGCCGGCGTCGTGACAGCCGTGGGTACCGACGCGGCCGGCTCGTTTAGCGTCGGCGACCGCGTATACGGCATGGGCCGCGGTCACTTTGGGAACTACACTCGTGTCCCGGCTGCGTTTGCGCAAAAGTTAAGCGCTCAGGATAATCTTGTCGAAGTTGCGACTATGCCCTTGGTGTACATCAGACAGCTGTCTACGCTTTTGACTATGTTGCTCGCTTACGGCAAGGACACAATGTCCTTATCCAGTCTGCCACTGGCGGATTAGGGCTTGCAGCGATTCAGCTTGCGCGGGCGAAAGGTGCCGAGGTCTTTGCTATGGTGGGTACGACTGAGAAGGCGGATTTTTTAGTCCGAGAGATGAGATTCCCAGAATCACACGTCATTGTCATCGCATCAGGAGACAGCGCGTCTACTATAGACAAAAAGCTCACTCGTATGACACCTCACGGCCGTGGCTTCGACGTAATACTTAGTACGGCTCGGGGAGATGTCTTGCACGCGTCTATCCAAGCACTGGCACCGCTAGGTCACCTAGTTGACGTGGGACGTACCGATGTACAGGAATCTAAATCTTTAGGGATGGAGCTTTTCGGCAAGAGTATTAATTTCTCCTCATTTGACCTCTCACTTGTTCTCGACGCTGACCCCGCGGTCGGCAAGGGGTTAATGCAAGCCGTCCATGAATATTATCAAGATAGGCTTATTAGGCCTGTTCGCCCATTCTCAGCCACCGACGTATCTAAACTTGACCAGGTCTTGTTAAGGTTCTCTAAGGGTACGCATTTCGGTAAGCTGGTGGTGACGTTTCAAGATCCACAGACACCGGTTAAAATGCTCCCAATACCGTCCCGGCAGCATGCCCAGTTCGATCCTACTGCATATTATATTATAGTAGGAGGATTTGGTGGTCTCGGAAGGTCCATTATTAGATGGATATGCCAGCGCGGAGCTCGCAACTTAGTAGTTTTGTCTAGACGCGGGATAGAGAAAAGTTCCCCTGCAGCGCAAAACCTCGTAAACACTCTCGGTGAGCGTGGGATTAATATTCAACCTTTGACATGCGATATCAGCGACCGGTCTCAAGTAACACGCCTCATAGAGAGTATCTCGTTAGTCTCCCCGAATACCCCCGTCAAAGGTATTATTCACGCCGCTGTCTCCTACCTCGACCTATCCTTCGATAAACTCACTATCCAGCGATGGCGCGACAGCCTAGCTGCTAAGGTCCAAGGGAGCAAGAATCTTCACGAAGCGACCCTGTCTCTCCCCCATGGACAGCTGGACTTTTTTGTCATGGTCACCTCACTCGAGTCCATCTACGCATTGGCCACGCAGAGTGCATACACGGCTGCCAATGCATTTCAGGATTCGTTTGCGAGGTACCGCCGACGGCTCGGCATGCCAGCAACGAGTATATTGTTAGGATTCGTTAAGGGTATTGGCGAGTTAGGTCAGGACTCGATAACAGTGGATATGTTCGCGCGGAACAAGGGGCTAACACTCTCGGAGGGGGAGTTCCTTGCGCGGCTAGAACCAGCGTTTCTTAACGACGGCCTGACTAGTAACGATGGAAATAGTGATAGCTGGATTGGCCAAGCCGAGGACCCTTTTTCTGCTTCCAATATCCTCACTTGTCTAGACCCGGCTGCAATGGCGGCTACCGAACGTGACGAGGAGGACGAAGCACGCGATGCGGGCCCTGTCCGACCGTCAAGGAGCGCCATGCCTCGCTGGTACAACGATAGGCGTGTCTCTCTCATTATGCGCGCCTTCGAGGACGCGCGACGAAACCAACGCACAGGTAGCTCTTCGAACTCTAGGACAGCAGCAACGCAGGGAAGCGACGACAACGCCGGTAAGTCATCTATCAGTCACATCCGCCGACAATTCGATACGGACATTACCGCAGAAGCCCCGGGGCGTTCCAAAATAGTCGGTTTTGTTGCAGGCGCTATTTCGACAGCGGTAGCCGAGATGCTCTTCGTAGGCGTCTCGAATGTCAATCCAGGGCGGTCTGTGGCTGACCATGGCGTCGACAGCCTGATCGCGGCGGAGCTGCGAAACTGGTTCCACCAGGCGCTAGGGGCGAAGATAAATATGCAAGAGCTGTTAGATGCGAGGTCGAGTATTACGGCGCTGGCGGCTAGGATTGTAGATGCAGCGTTAGCTAAGAGGCAAGACGTGCAAAAAGGTAAGTAAGGAATATGTATAGATAGAAGAAGGCATTTTGTGTCACGAACATTTACTGTGTATAGTTCGTTCTTACTCTCCTAAAGACCAAACTCCTAATGTTATAACCTTCGGTATGTTAGTCCTCTAGTTGCCTCAGGGGCACGAGCTTGGCACTTCGTTCAGTCTGTAGAGGATGGCTGCAGGCTTGCTTAATACAAGAAACCAAGTAGCTAAGAAGTGCAAAACCATATAAAATCAGACAGTAGTCATTCTCATCCCATTGTCGGAACATACATCAAATCGTGATCTCGCCTCGCAGAGAGTGAAAAAAAACAAAAAAAGAATATGTGTTAAGGAAGATAATCGGACCATAGATGTATACTGATATCACGAACGGAACCACGGACGCCAGGAGAGACTTACTTGTTCTCTCAAACAATTTAGCCTTGCCTTTAGTAGCGCTGGGAAGTCTACGCTCTTTTGTTGGCTAAATGTTCACACAGTCTGAACGCGCGGCTATGCCTTACCATTCTATTATGTTAAGAGGTGTCGTAGTTTTTCGTTCGCGTACTTCCAGATGAGACATAAGCGAAGTTGCTAGATAGAGCTGATAGGAATCGAACCCAAATCCACTTATACCTCAACTCTCATATTCCTCGAGAGATACTGACCGGGATTCTAGATGATATCTAGAGCACAGGACGGTCTCAATCATCGGCCCCGACAATTTAAAGCTAAAGTCCTTTGCGACACAACTGCATTGTTGCCATGCCTTCTGGGCCCACCTTGTGGTACTAATCTGATAGATGAGTATAGAAGCGAGCTGCACAATTCCAGTAACCAATTTCATCCTTCTTAGAAGTGATGGTAGTATAATGCCGATCTTGTAAACATTCTGTTCGGCCTAAAGATAATCTAGACAACGTTACCATGCACTCCGGGATCTTCGGGTTCCTGAAATTTGAATAGATCCATGATAGGTATACACGATTCCGCGTCGTGAGGTGCAAAGTCCAGAAGAAGGAGTAAATCTGTACCGTTTGAAGAAATCATGGACTTATTATATCGTACCGTAAAAGCATTCAAGTCGGGAAGAATTCCGACATATAAGACTGATAAAAGTTCCGAGCTATGGCATGGCTAGATCCCCCGGCTAGATATATCGGGTTAGACTAGCATTGACGTATGAGGAAGAAAGGGACTTTTGGAAAGTTCTTTTGTTTCGCAAATGAGAGCTTCTTAGCGGCGCTCTTGATTCGTTGGATTTCGTATTCTTCAGCGAATAAGAGAAAAACGTCCCACGTCGGATTATGCTAGCGACGCAACGCATAGATTTGTTGGTGAACGTGTGCCTGCATCGTGTTGGAAACAGGTCGTCGTATGAAACTAATCGCATGGATTCTAGAAGGAATCTACGCGTGTTGGAAGCTGAGTCCGAAAGTCGAAAATTAGTCCCTTGCAGATGTCTGTAGTGGTCCCCACAACACGCTACCCATTGCTATCCTGGCTCTAGATCGTGAGCCCGGTCGCTGACAAAATGTCAAATATTTCTTGGCGCTCCGCGATTCCGCCCCTTGTCTTTAAGCCATCCAGTGTCTTCTCCAACGTAGCATCAGAAGCATATATACTGAGGGTGTAGAGCTTGAATAAGCCTTTAATGTTAGAATATGTTTCGTTTTATAGAGTTGATACGACGGTCAGAAATTCTTCAACTATATATCCCAAGATGAGTAGCAGTATTAAAAGCTCGATGCTTAAGCATTGGAGAAATAGTAACATTTCTCTTGGCCGCAACGGAAGCAAAAGAGAAAAAGGCGAGAATAAGACTACAAAGAGACAGTCTACCCATGTCGTTGTCACCCCCATCAACACGATCGAGCGTCCCGCATTACCCGCAGAAGTAATGGACACCGAAGTCCACGAGAAGCGAATAGACAATAGTACGGCGATTACGAGTGAGGCCACGCCCCCGTCAAAGGGAATTAGCCTCCACGTAACAGTGCACATTGCGCCTGAGAACGTCGAAAGATTTTTAGTTGCATTTAAAGCTATCTTCGACGTTGTAGCTGCCGAGCCCGAATGCCTTTTCTTCGAAGTTTATAAGTCCGTGGAAGAGCCTGGGAAGTTAACCTGGATCGAAAACTGGTACATCGTCACCCTAAAAGAGTTGTCATAATATATACTAACCAGATAATAGGTCAAAAGATATACAATGGTTCCTAGAGGTCAGTTCTCGTTGCCTCGCCCCTGAACCGTTGAATGAGACGAGTAAGAATCAAACCTAACCTGTATTAAAGCACCAAATGACCAAACCGTACTACAAAGAGTACTTGGAGTTTACCGAGCCCATGTTTCTTAAGCCTCGGGAAGCTCAGATTTTGGAGCCACTAGGACCCGAACTGTCTATGATTAAGGGAGGCCGATTGGGGCTTTGATATTAGTTCGCAATCGTTGTTTGACCACGACGGTGATAATACCGTACCGTATTTGATACCCGCGTCTGAAGATAGAAATGTTTAATCACTATGGGTCGGAGGGGCACGAAGGAGTTATGATAATATGTGTAAGGCTAAAAGTATTTGCCTAGTAATGTATAGTGAGGTAGCGAGCGAAGAATCAAGCTACTTAATCCTCTTATCCTACGATGAATATTCCAAGTACTCGAAGAAACGTGTGTAAGCAATGCCCACGAGACGAGTTCCCAAACGATAGCGCAGAAGCATTGTCGCCGGTCCCGCCTCGGCTGCAACACGCCGTCCCAAGCGATGGCGTAGAAGCACTGTCGCTGGCGAGTCTTTGGTTGAGGCTCTCGAATGACAGCGTATTCAAAACACAGATGGGGTATCATATGAGTGCGCCAAACCCAAAAGAAAATGAAAGAAAATTGCCCAAAAAGCACCAAAAACAAACCTCCGTGTACGCCACTGCCCACAAGACGGGCAAAAAGCGATAGCGTTCCTGCATTGTCGCCTCACCCGCCTTTCATTCGGATTCGCCAATCCTAGCGATGGCGCAGCGGCACTTTCGCCATGAGAATTCCTGTTCTCCGTGTCATGTGCGTATCGAACCTCTAATGGGCGTGTTTCGTATTAAGAAGTCGTAAAAAGTCGAGTGAGAATGAAGGGAAAGGTATAAATAACAGGTTGAACTGTCTAGATCACGAAGAGCAAGTGGTTTCTGATAGCTGCGCTGCTAGTTGTTGAAGATCGCAGCGGAAAATAGCCCATCTTCAGAGTATACAGCTATGTTCTCTTTCGCCACCACATGCGACCAAACCCGCGTTGCTGAAGCTCACGGCGGGCCGCACCGTCTTGGAATCCATCCATGCTGTCAATTGTGGAGCTCCCACTGCTACCAATTTTATGGCTAGGCTTGTTACCAATGATTTTTAGAGCGACGAACATAACGATGCTGCTTATGATGCTAACGCATAGAATACCAATCATGACCAGGTTGCTTCGGCGGTACTGATGAGGCCCGGGAGCGGCGTCTGCCGGCCAACCTGTGTATATGCATATGTCGTCGTGATGCTACCGAGGTTTCCAAGACCCGAGACTAACGCCGATGCAGCAGCTACACCGACCTCCCCGTGACGCTGTTGGAATATCTCATTGGTCCAAGTCATACAAATAGGAACCGTCGGACCAAGGCCGAAGCCCACCATGAGAAGACCTCCATACCTTGCCCAAGGGTTCGAGGTAGGAGCAAAGGTAACAGTGAGAAGGCCGGCAATTTGGATACACACAGCGCAAGAGAAGAATAAGGGACGTAGACGGTGAAATCGATCCGAGATGGGAGTGACGAGAAGGATTGCAAAAAAGTCCATCTATCGAAGTTAGAAGCCGAAAGGCATATATCTAGCAAGTGCAGACTTACGATCCAAATAGGGGCGAAGAGAAGACTGAGCTGTACCCCAGTGAATGATGGATTGATACCACGGATGATCACCGTTCCGTAGAGTTGAGTGCCTATCCCGACTCCCACTACGCCGAAATACATAAGAGTTAGGGGCCAAAGCCTCCAGTCGATCAGGACGTAACCTAGATCCTTGAGAGTCCAGGGTCTTGAGTGGTAGACTCGCTTGAGGTCTTCGTAGTGAACTAGAGCATCTTCACCCGTCAGAGCTTCAGGGGTCGGGGGAAGCCATTTCATGAAACTAGAACGCTCCCTTCGTTGTCCTGGGGGTAGCGGACGTTCGGGTAGCCACCATAGTAAGGTCCAACCAAGGAGCACAGCAAGAAGCCCATAGATAAGGAACATCCACTGGAAACCGACCAGGCCACCAACGCCGTCCATCAGTTGAAATCCCGCCGATACCAAGCCCACCACGGCGGCCGAGATCTGAGAAGCTGTAAAATACATTCCGATTCGTTTACCAGTCCGAGAAGGAGGGTAAAAAAGAGTCAAGTAATAGGACATTCCAGGCCACATGCCAGCAATCACCATACCAAGTAGGAATCGCAATAGTCTTACGTCAACGATTAGCACCCTGTGCCAACTCGATGAAAGAGGAATTAAGACAATACTAGACTTACTTTAAGCTCCAAGCAGACCGGACGGCAGTAAAACAAGCCCCTATTACGCCCACGGCAAAAACGATTCTAGCCATCCAAACTCGAGGGCTTAGCTTGCTCATGACAAGATTTGAGGGGCAGTCGAAAATGACATAAGATACATAGAAGAGAGCCAGGGCAGTGGAGACATCGTTAGATGAAAGCCCAAGCATCGTCATTAAATCATGTCCGACATTCGAATTCATCGTCTGTGCCAAGCCGATGTTAGAGCGTATGGCGGAACAGAGGAAATACAGGATCCAGAAAGCTACGGTTGAATTAGCTTAAGAAGCTATCAAAGGATAACCGGTGTTCTTACCTGGAATGATGCGAAGATCTAACTTCCTATAAACTGCCTCTACTCTCTCGATGTCATACTCCACGCGAGCAGGCCGACCTTCTTCTAATTGAGTCCCTGCTTCGTGATCTGCGTTGGTCGTTACGGGGGTCTTACCCCCCTCTGCATCAGTATCGTCGGCCATACTTCGACTGTGAAGCAATGGAAGCGCGTGCTACCAGTCTTTTCAAGCCACGAACTCGAGGCACCCAAATAATATCTGTTTCCCTAATCTCGACCTTGTCTAGGATAGACTGATTACCCTCGACGTAAATCCTGTCCTGTCCGTATTATGAATGCTGTAACTAAATACCTGAGGAGAAAGGTAAGAAATAAGAAATAGTTTAGAGAAGGAAAAAAAAAATTGAGCAGAAAGGTAAATGAGATGACGCTAGAAGCTATGCAGGAACTGTTGATTCGTTGAGTTGAATACAGCCAATAAGATTGTTGCTTGGGAAGGAATATATGGGGCACCAGCCCCCTGCTCTACATAGAGATCACTATCTAACTGTAAGAGGATAGTCTAAACTCTATTACAGCGACACTCAGGTTGTACGAAGTTGGACAGTATAGAATCTCATTAAAATAGCTTAAAGTTTAATGGTAAAATACCTAAAAATTGGGAACCGACCAGATAATATGATATATCGTAACTCACTCTAGGAATACTATCTATGATTAGATGTAGAAACGTGCATGTACGGATGACCCTTTGCCAGAAGCTCTGCAAAACCTCAGGGCGTATTAAAGAGACAACCTACGAAGACTACACGTGGGAAGGCAAGGAAAAAATAAACAATTACATATCCAACGGAGCCGTCTATATTTAATGTACCTTCTTGTCTGTTTCTGTTGGGGACCATCCAGTTTTAGGACTTAGGGGGAGTTGGGGAGCGCAGATCATTTCAATCCAAGATACCAGAACATTCAGTTTCTTTCATCCTAGTATTGTGATATCACATTCATATATCCTTCTCACATAGCAAAGAAATTGGTTACAGCGCAGCATAGGCTGATTCTGAGAGACTTCGATTGCAAGTACCCCCATATACTTTGTACTTTCGAGCGCCGAGAGAATCAGTTTTGTATCATGAGCACAATATCATCATAGATAGAAGGAAAATGATAAATATCAATATAAACTCGGGCATTTCGCGGATTCGGGTTTATTTACTAAGTTATGTGTAATTTTTTGTGTCAAAATCTGTCTAGATCTCGCTAATTGTTCTTCAACTAAACTCACTATCCATGCTCGTATACTATTGTGCATAAGTTCTTCTTTGAGGAACAGAAGGTTAGTTTCGAAAGGTACCATATAGGCCTCAACTTGAATTTTATTGGCGATGTGTCAGGCTAAGAAAACATCCCACAAACTCTGCAAACATCGGAGTATCAATTATGAAGTTGAAAACACCTGTGCTAGTAATGGAGAAGCAAAGTATTTTCATCGAAAACCAAGCCTAGTGCATGAGTCTAACACTGAGTGTTTAAATTGCCTGCGGAAAGAAGCATAGGACGAAAAGCTTCCCAAATATAAAGAAGGACCGGTGAGTGAAACGGATTTATGCCTCGAAGGATTTAAAAGAAAACCAGGACACCAAAGGGGGGTGTTAAGAGGGCGGCCCGCGACTAGCAGGCTTCTATGGATTAGCCACGCCCTTCCCTGTTCGGCAAAGTCTGAACCTGATGTGTCATCTCCCCTCCTAGAGATGCCCCTGTTGATTCATCAACTACGACAGTATTAAGGATACTGCATTCAAAATTCCTTTTAACAACGTTCCACTATCAGTTACTATTCATTCTTACATATTCTAATGATCCGTGTAACGCCTGGTTCGTTCTGGCGACCACCCTACCACTTACTCTTATCGTATTCTAATACACAGGATATTATGGGGTAAGAAATCCCAGATGCTCTATCTTGTGGACTCCAAGAAGTATAATGCCGTGCTGGAGGACTTTGCGTGTTGCATTAGCTAAGTCGACGAGTGGTATGCAACGCGTTTGACAGGGGTTACCTCATCACTTACATCACAATTAAGTTCTTCGGCTAGCTAGACGCCAAGTATTACTGCATTAAACTCGTATCCAGATTCCCGGAAACCCGATCAGAGCCTCATACGATTTGGTGGGTACCAGAGACGTAGACATCGCTCGGGGAAGACTCGGAGTATGCTAGCGGCTAATGGCACTGTGGGTAATGTTTTTCAAGATATCTGTCAAGGTATAAGTGGGTAAGGAGGCCTACAGGGGTCTTTCTACTATATACGGCGCTACGCGCTCTCGAAAGAGTAGAAGCCAGGCGTTACTAGTTCAATATATCATCCTTTTGGTCTACCTATCCTAGATATTCACTCTGTGTATGACATCAATCACCTGGGTATAAACCCCCTGACAATATCAGCATCCGAACCGAGGCGGGTGTCACAATGAGATCTTCCGGTGGCAGAGTGGCACAATTGTCGTGTAACGAGTTATAAATTCAACTACACACCACGGCAAGTTCGCATCGTTACCAAATATGAAGTCAAAATCCACTTAGGAAGGGTATATATAACACCTACTGACCGAGTATACGCGATTATCCATCTTCTAGACAAAAAGAGAATAGCCTATCTTAATTCATAATTTATAGTCTTTCGCTCAATTCCTCTAAAAACATCTTCTCTTCGGGCGATATGTACATATCGTCCGGAATAACCACATGTCCTCTTGTTATAATCACCTTTGACGGCTCTATAACAATTTTCCCTTCTTCCATATGACGTGCGGTGGTAATCTTGAGCTTAGCTCCATTATCACTACCGCTATCGCTGTTGCTGCTCTTCTCGTCCGATATTTGATGCTGTTGCGGCTGCTGATGCTTCTTCCTGCGGCCAACCTCCGCTGGGGTCCACCAGTAAACGGGGAACCGCCTCTGGATATTATTCAAAAGTAAAGCCACACACTGCATCAAGACGCAGCCTAACAGGACAACAGGTGGCAGGAACCATCCTAGATGCGCTACACCTTCACAATCAATTACAGCGAGCAGAGCTGTAGCTCCAGCAGGCGGATGCACAGTGCCAGTTAGAGCCATAAATGCGACCGCACAAGAGCAGCTCAGCGACCCGGCGACCCAGGTAACTTCATTTGACATAGGACCTAGCGCAAAAAGTTTCCTAATGGCAACGCCTATTAAGGATGAAAACAACTGGCCGAGGACCGCGCTGCGAGGCTGCGCGAGAGGGGACTCGATGGCGTAGAATTCGAGAACCGCAGCGGCGCCCTTGGGTCAAATGTTAGTCAACTTTCCCCTGCAAATTAAAATGAGACAGATCTCAAAAAAACAACCGGTCGGAACTCACAAAACTACCGATAATCATAGGGGTACCGTGCTCCTCAAAAGAGGGGATGGCATGGCCCACCGCTTCTATGATGGTCAGGGAACAGAAAACTCCAATAAATGCCCAAAAAATCATGACAATATTGCCCAGTGGTCGCTGAGGCTCTGGTCTATGGCCCAAGAAATGGGCGATAGGATATGGTAAATGCTCCCATGGCGCAGCTGGTATCCATTGATTAAGGTACTGGTCGATTTCGAAGTGCCATTTTGTCGGTTGGAGAGGCATTTGCGTCCCAGGCAGGCTAATCGGGGTTGTTGGAGTGGGTAGCGTTTGGGTATCAAGAACGCAAAGCCAAAAAAATATATATATCTCTCAACACAACAAGAAGATGTCAGCGACGACGACCCGCCAACAACGCGGAAGCGCGTCGGCGGTAAGTAGATCGTATTTATCAACTCGAAACTTCGTTGGCGCCAATGGCATTGTACTATTTAATTTTCTTTCTCATTCCATAGGTGAATGCTGGTATGGTGTCATGGGTAAACCAGCAGACGAACAGAACCAAGGCGAACTAAGGGATTGAATATTTACAGTTCGTGACTAACACATTCAAGGTTTGCCAGGGATAATTAAGACACGATGACCAATTGGCCGTCCACCTGGCGTCATATTGGGTAACGAAAATTCCCAAAATGGATGAGTTCAACGCGCTGGTTCAAGTAACACGGTGGCTCCCTGACTCCGTCTCCCGAATGCCGAATAAGTGGGTCTTTCTCCGGACGAGATATCTCCGCGGAATACCCCCTTCGCCTTTTTATATAGGCAAATTCTTCCCTCAAATGTCCGGACAGGTTTTGAAAGCCGAACTAAGCAAATGTAGAAATTTTATTAAGGCAGACTTAAGAAATAATAAAACTTATCAAGGAATTCAATGCACTGAGATTCGCAACTCTTGTTTTAGAAAAGAGATCGATTCAGGGGCTCGAGGAAAAAAGGGAGGGCGCTCAGTCAGCACTCATAATCATCAGCCAACAACCAACAAAAATAAAAAAGGCGAAAAATCAGAAAGTGGGTTTATGTATGAGAATTCAATTCTTAGCTAAGAGGCGCTCTAATTAGCATCAAGGGTTTGCAAAGCTAAGTATCGTAAATAATCACTGACGAAAGTATAGGTAGGTATCTATGAATAGTCGTCAAATGATTCACGTGGAACTCTTTCAGATTGCACTTGAATGATACTTATATAACGTACAAGCCCTCAAACTGTAAGTCTAGAAGTTTTAAAGCATCCCTTATGTTACACGCAACTTACAAAGATGAACTCTCATTCGTGACTCCCCGTCGCATTAGAATGGCAAATGGCAGGTAGCCTATTCAATCTGACAATTTTCCAGAGCTTTAATCGGAATACATTGCTTTTCAAATTTCCGTATACTTTAACATTTATAATAACTACTCAATTATAAGTGACTCACCATATCGATATAATATAAAGACAATGCCAAAACCGATTCCCTGCAATACAGGGACGGTCATGCTCTACAAATAACCTATACGTAATTTTGTGTAAAGCTAAATCAATGCTCACTCCAAGGTATTAGAGGGGAAGTGGAATAAATGTGTGTGGTTTATAATATAGTATCCAGATGAGTACCTAATACATTTTTTGGAAAGCCGAGCAATCCCGAGAGACGGCTACAGTTTTGACCACGGCGAGGATAATATAACATTCTTACATGCTGACTATTAATGCCAAAAGGCAAGCTATTAATAAGAGATGTGATGATATTTTAATCTAAGTTCTACTATCAAAAAGAGTCAACATGATATAAAGATTACCTATAATGTATAATAAGGGTTATATATGCCGTCTGAGATTACATAATCAAGTTAGCATTTATGCAACAAGGGCCTCCTAGTATACAGGAAACTCCCGCTTTCAACCTCAATATATTCACTTATATGCTAGAATTAAAATACTCGGCGTTATAACATCTGTAAAAATCATGAGCAGTATGCACAGTAATATAAATCGTTGATATTTTAAGTAGCTAAGTTCAACATCGTGAATGTATAAACTTACAGTTAGATAAGCTACCCCACGTTTAACCTATCTCGTTTGTCCCTCTAGAACCCCTGCCAGCCTAACAACCTTAGGCATTATAGGAACTCTTGTTTGGGAGTTACCATTCTTTAAGTCCGAACCTTTTACAATATTTCCAATGCTTTGTTTTTCCTTTTCTTCGAGCATAAATCCACTTCTTAGGAGGTATCCAGGTAAACAACCAGGCGCATTTCGTCGATAGCAAGGGTGGCGGCAGCGGCGCAATTTTTTCATCGGCACGTTAACCGCGCGCATAATGCGACCACAGCCACCAATATGTAGTAACTCTCAATTTTCATATGTAACAAGTCATAGGAGCCCTCTTAAACTCGGTCAACCCGGGTATTGTTTTAATTATTAAATGCTTCAGTTGTCATAATTCTCATGATTGCCATCCTCTTCCCAGTCACTGTTTGTCGCAACTCAGTTGGCCGATTTCAGTATGGGTATCCTTGATATGAGCAACCTTGATGATGAGGAGGTGAAAAGCGCATTGTCACTTATTGAAGCCTGTAGGCTTCCACACACCGTCGGGTCCACTACTTGAATCAATGTCTCTTCGGCACTCTACCCCGAGCTGGCTGCAAGGTATGTGAGAAGAGTTGGAACTCGGCGAGGCTTCTTCACTAGTAGATGATTGGCTTTATATAGTGAGTCTAGTAAGTTCATTAACTATCTTAAATCTTCACCTCTATTGCTCTAACAGCCACAGTTGCCAAAAATGGCAGCACTCCACCACAGCCTAGTATTGCTGAGAAGCATGCTATTATAAGACGCGACGGTGGAAAGTGTTGCGTAACTGGCAAGATTGGCTCGCTGCGTGATCCTCTTGTGTCGTTCCAATTCTCCCGGTTCCATCTGGTTGGGATACAGATAAGGTATGTCTACCTCTATTGCATAAACTACCTGTTATGATAGAAAAGCTAACAACTAGTCTTGAAAGGCTGGCATCACTGACATGCTCGGTGCTTTCTTCGGTCCACCATACCGGGATTGGTGGTTATCTTACGTTAGAAATCCTGGAGGCGATTCGCCTTGTTATAATCACTGGCTAGTCCGAAAATCTACAGCTAAAGCATTTGCTTCGGGGATTGTCAGGTTAAACAGGTTGCACCCATCCATGATTGAGGTAAGTTGCAACTGGCGATCCCTATCATACCCTCGCTTAACAGGTTGCAATAGTATGAAGTCGAACAAGTCCCCATCGGACCAGAGGACCCAATTGAGGTCAACGGCGTACGTCCGTTATTGGGTGACCATTCGCGGTCGGGCATCATCAAGGTCGACCCCCGCTTCGTCGGATCCCAGGCTCGATTATCAAAAAGTATCCAATACCTCGACCTCTACGAAAGGCTTTCGTCGGAAGCCCAACATCAACCCTCAAGTCTATCAATAAGCCATTCGGCACAACAATCGAATATAACGCTACGGAATTCTTGGAGTCTGTTAAGTCTATGCGCGATCGCTTTCTTCTCGGTTTGGCGTCTGGTCCCCTCACCAGTCAGGATATTTTGTTACAAGGCATTGCTAAAGCTTGGACAACGTCTATACGGAAGCCCCGGTGGCTACCCCCTGGTCCAGAAATTACCATTTGGGCTGTACTTGAAAGTAGACGGAGACGATGACTTCGCTCGCAACGAGTTCAATGCGCTAGAGATGGTTTACCGGCATACCCAATCCCAGTTCCAAAAGCGTTTGACATAGCTATCGACTCGTCGTCCTCTTGGACTAACAGATCTTATCTCCTCATGAAGAGAGTTCCCGGCTTTCCATTATCACACTGTCAAAACGTGCCTTAGATACAGATATGAAACGAATTGCAAATCAGCTCAAGGACTACATAGACCAATTAAGAAATATTCCTAAGTCAACGAAATCAGACAGAGCAATATGCAACACTCTTGGCGAAACTTGCAGGGACCCCCGCATTCGGGGTGCCGACTCTATTGGGTCATTTGCAGACGAAGCAGCATTTAGTCAGATGCTAAGATTCTCAGACGACCCTGCTCGGCGTGGACATAAAATTGTGTTCACGCATGCGGATCTCAATCCGCGCAATATATTGATTAACCAGAGTATACAACCAGATGGAAGTATTGGTTGGGGTGTGACGGGCATTGTGAACTGGGAGTTTGCGGGGTACTATCCCGAGTATTGGGATTACACGAAGGCGATATTTGAGGGGTTTAGATGGACGGAACGATATAACGATATGGTACATGGCGTATTTAGAAAAGTTGGAGATTATTCTCGAGAGTTTGAAGTTGAGAAAAAGAGCTGGGGAATGCTAAAGGAATAAACCTCCTATACAGTTATAATTATTAGGCATAAATATTATTCGATGTTGGTTAATAGTGTTGGTTTTAGGGATTGGGGGCTGTGAACAGAGCCCCTGTTGATTTCCCGCCCTTGGAAAACCTAAGGGCTGCCGCTTTCAAGTCTTTTTAACACAAGACACCTAAGTTAGGTGTATCTCCTTGACATTAATCTAAATCAACAACTTCCTCGCTTTCTCTCATCATGACTACTATAACATACCCTTTATAACTGTAGCGCCTTCGAAGCCACACACTCATACCGTCGTCTTTCTACACGGCCGCGGCGACAACGCCCGCAACTTCGCAGCCTCACTAGCTCACTCTCGCGATTCGCGCGGGCGCACTCTTGCAGACGCATTCCCGTCCTTTCGCTGGGTATTTCCCCAAGCACCAACCCGCAGGTGTGCTAGTTCCCCCGACACGTGGCCGCAATGGTTCGACGTGTGGGATGTGCGCGATTTTGCTGCGAACGAGGATCTCCAGGCCGTCGGGCTGAAGGAAGTCGTGCCTGCTATCCGCCGCATACTTGCCGACGAGGCCGCGTTGCTCGGGGGCCGCTGGGATCGTGTGGTGCTAGCGGGCATTAGCATGGGCGGTGCGACGAGCGCGCATGTCCTGTTCAACTTGGATGTTCCCGCGTCTGGGGGAGGGAGGCTCGGGGCCTTTGTTGGATTCTCGTGCCGATGTCCGTTTGCCGGTCGTAATCTAGCCGGGATTAGAAACGTTCTCGGCCTGGAAGGCGTCCCGGATCATAGCCATGTGGTACAAAACACGCCCGTGTTGCTCGAGCACTGCGCCGATGACCCGCTCGTCCTAGTTCAGAATGGTCGAGGTTTACGAGATATATTGCTTGCATTTGGTGCACAGGTTGAATGGAAAGAATATCCCAACGGAGGACACTGGTTCCATTCGCCGACTGGGGGACGATGTGGTGGAGTTTCTAAATAGGCATCTTGGGGAAGATAGCTTTGTAGGCAACCCTACACTTTTACGCCAAGCCTCCGCGAACGCGATGGATCTATCATGAGAGGAATCAAGCTCCGGGAAGGAATTTAGTCATGTCCATAGTGTAAGATGTAGCATAGTGCTTGCATTAAGAAGTAATACAAACTACGATGCGGATTTTATTTCAATATCTTGCAAATACGGAAAAATGAGACATAACGCGGTTATATATGATAAATAAATAATACTGTCAACTTTAAGTTACACGAGGTTAATTTCTACCGTATACACTTGTTGCTAGTATAAATCACAATATAAAAATCAATTTTTCTAAGATATTTATTACTGAAGCCTATCAGGGGAGAGCTACTTTCGGAACCTAACTCCTAGGTTACATTCTCTACGGAGAACATGCCTTTTGCTGTATAATCTAGGACAAAAACATCTTACTGCACCTTCTTCAACTGAGTTTTGCTTTCATATCTTTTTGGTATTACTGACTAGAGGGTTCATCGCTCCCCATAAAGGTATCCCCGCCAGTACCGGACGCATTATAAGGACTCTTATCCTCCTCCGTGGGGGTGGAGGATGTAACTCTTTGGCTACGGGCATTGAAGATAGCCACGCGGTTTTCTTGCAATCTACGAACCGTATTGTATACCTTGTCTTCGTGGATTACCTTGTTTTCTTGGGGAACCTTTTCCTCCTGAGAGGGCCCAGACGTTTCGTTATTCATAGTTTCCAAGGGATTAGTAACGTTTGAAGACGAGGCTATAATCACTGCTAGATTCTAATATAAACCTAGCCCTGATGATTCGATGTTTGCCAAAGTGGTGCGATACTACTCTAATCTCCCAATTTTAACATAGGTCTTCAGCATATTTTATAGTCAATCCATTGCTTAGAATTTATCGCCTGTTTATCAAAGAGTGCAATCAATGCACGAGAAATTCATTATACTTTAACAGTGAATTCGAGTTTCAGAAGGGAGGTAGTCAGTAAACTATATGAAACACTGTTATTATGCTATCTAACCATCACTCCTACAAAGTATAAAGGCATTGAAGAAATGTTATAGGTCGAATCAAAGCCTTCGACTAACAATGGAATTGTTCCCGGAAAGAAATATTTCTTTCTGAGAAGAGTACTTGGGTATTTTTTACTAAGCTATAGGGGAATGGGTACTAACTAGGCGAGCTAAAAACCATGTAGTATGTATCGATATTTGGTCTAAGACAAATAAAATAAAATTCGAAGTTGTGGAATCGATCTTACTGCTGATATACGAAGTTATCACAATCTTTGGTAACTCCGAACATTTTCCATTTTATCACTTACATTATAAGCCAAGGGACAATGTAGTATCTGAGATTTTATTCAAAACAAGAATATCCTAACCTGATACAGAGTCTAGTTATAAACTCTCTCTAGGAATGCCCCGTCTACCCTATGTAATGCCGGCTCCTCTTTGTAACTCTATGGTATCTTCACTCTAATATATTGACATGATATTACTCCACATAACATATAAATAGCAATTGTAAGTATCCATTACAATTCCACATCGTCCTCACTACTAGCTGCGAGGCTCTCCTTGGTGCTTTCCTTAAACACTAACCCAGGGTGGCCTATGGATAAGAAGTAGAACGACACGACAACGAGTCTAGCTGAGTGTTAGCCTCCAACAATAGAAGAGGTAAAAACATACTTACACTCCTTCCAATCCATAAATAAACCCTCCTCCCTAATCAGTTCGCCACTATACCCTTCGCGAAGCTCAACAAGGCGATACACACTCCTCACGACAGTTAGGAACATGGCAAAGAACATAAATCCAAAAAAGATCTTCAATCGGAGACCGATGATAGACACTGCCTTGCGTCCCTGCGGGGATCGGAAATACCGAATAATGAAGTCGAGAAGGAAACTGCAGAAGGTGACAATGGTTGCGACTTGGAAAGCTAGGCCTGTAAGAGCAAGGTCTACTCCGACGTGGCTTGATCCTTTAGAAGTGCTTGATAAAGCCCTCCAGCGGCTTGTAATGCAAGGGATATGATGTCGCAGGTAATGAAACCAAAATAGAAGAAAATTGGCTTTACACGGCTAAGAGACGGTGCAAAGTATGTAATACTGTGTGACGGGTTCAAGTTAGCTACCTAAATTAACTGTATAGGAGACTTAAGTTTAACTTACGTTTGGCCGAGGATCACATATGTAGCAGCACAATACCACTATGACAAGAATCAATAACTGCCTCCTCATTATAGAATTTAGGAGACTAGGTATGTCTCGGGAAACAATAGCTCCGAAATCAAGCCAAATGGAACGGAGAAAAAGGACCAATAACGTTACATACCACAGGACCAATTGTGATGCAAACTATTGAGAGATTTAGCATAAGATCACCGGAAAATAATTAGGATAATCAGTCCACTTACTCATCTGCATCAGAAACGCATCGAAACTGAACGGTTCATAGTATAACCAGACACGACCGCCATACCCGATGCAAGCGTTGATAGAACAGACGATCATGCAGCCCATGAACCACCATGTCTTCCGCCTAAAGCCAAGAATTGCGTGTAAAACTCCCCCAAGACCGAAGAGGGCCATAAAGGTAATGTTAGCGGCTAGAGAAGGCCGGTATCCGTAAACAGTCCATTCGATCGGACAGGTATCCAGCGTGCAAGTGGCATCGGGTCCGAAGGTGATAACGCCCGGAGGTAGAGGCCCAGACATTTCAAAGAGAAGATCAAGGCCTATAATAATAGGGGTTAAGGGACAAGAAGTATGTTGAGATGGAAATGAATCTAGTGAATGAAAATACTAGATTGATATCGGAAAAGGAGTAATTATTGTTCAGTAAAGTTACACCGGAACATTTATTATCAATCGAGAGCATAGCAATCTGCATTTATAAGATCTTGCACTCCGTTGCTATCGCCTCAACTATTTAAATGCACGAGCCGGAAGCCAATTCCACCGACCACACCATATCAGCTACAGTTACAAACCTGCTACGCCGTTGCGTAGATTCTAGTAGCGTAAGCTGCCATTTACAATCATCCTACGATCTGTTGGATAATAGATGATTGATTGAATAAAATCTAATGATACAATTATTATTTTTTTTACAAACACTCATCTATGATGAGCGTTTGAATGACACGTGACCGAAGGTCACGTGTTGAGATGTACTTAGGTACATCTCACACGATCCCACTAGGGAATCTTGTATATTTCTTTATTTTGGTGGACCATTATCAGCCAAACGGTTGCCCGCGTAGAAATTTGGCGCCATCCTGGGGCTGTGCGCGCGTCTGCTGTTAACTCGGACTCGCACACTTGCTTTACTAAAGTTCGCATTCGGTAGGCGTAGCTGGAGGGATGCGATTGGACGCCTCACGCTTGGCTGATGGGATTATAAACGTGGCGGCCTTGTTAGTTACTATGAATTTCCTGATGATCAAATGTTTGGCCAATTAGATTTTATCTAAGGAATTGAAACTCGGTAGTTGCTTTTTATTTTACACCTTTTTGAAATATGTGCATTATGGCGATAAGACTCTGTCGGTAAACTTGCCGGTTTTCCAGTTTATCAAAACAAAAAAATAGTAAAGCGTATAAGCTATATCCAGCGAAGATTAAGTCCTTGCAAAAGAAAATGTTGAATATAGGTAGCCATGTCAGATATACCCTTGAATGGTTGTCATACACCTAGTGAATGCCAGGGTAGGTACTTACAATTAGTGGACAAAAATACCGCACATTTATTCCAACACTTATATATTCAAAAATTAATAACTTTATAAAAAACTAACTATAAATAACAGTTTTAATTTAATATTATTTAAAATAAATATTTAATAATGATTTTTAATATTATTATATCTTATAAATAACCATTAAAATATATAAATAAAAGTATAATAATTATATATAAATTAATTAATTTATAAATATTTTAATAATTATATTATTAATATTTACTATTTCCTATAAATATAATAACTATTTATTAATTTATATATTGATTTTATATTATATTATATAAATTAGTAAAGTTACAAATTTTTAAAATATATATATTTTATAAAATTTTAATATAAAATAACGTTTTTTCATTAAACTCACTACTTTTAAAATATTATAACTTTACCAAATTTAATTGTATAAATATAAAAATAATATTTTTTTATAATTAAATAAAATCTATTTTTAATAAAAAAATAGAAAAATTTGAAAGTTAAACATTTTAAATTATAACGTAAGTTTAAAATGGTTAATAAATAATTATATAAATATGTATTTTTTACATTTTTAAATTTTACTTTTTTAAAAATCTAAAATTAAAATTAAATATAATAAATAAAATAAATATCAGTTTACATATATAATTTTTTAATATAATATTATTAAACGTTGTAAATTTAAATGAATTTTAATATATTAAAATTTAAAGTGTTCGGTTTTTTTGTCCACTAATTGTAGGTAGCATTGAACTAAATGGGAAGTCTGATATCCACTACCCACTGGAGGTTGAATAGCCCAAAAGTAATTTCCAGTTTAGAGGTAGATACATTCTAACACACGTGTGCATCCTTAAATACTCTCACAACTCTACACTGCATGCTATGATTTGTACGGGGTATTGAACAGTCGTGTTGAAGGTTGCATCAAACGAGTGAATAAGAGGGAGGCAACGTGGGTAGCTGGCCTTATAGTTATCCCTCACACTACAAAGTCTATATCTACATTAGAGAGAAATAATCTATTAAAATTGTATTTCGTTTCAATTTAAAGGATTAATTATCTTAAATAATTTCTTTCTAATAGTAGTGACCTTCCATGAGAAACTAGCATCTCGTCAAAGTTCCTATTTCATGCAAACAGAGGAATCTCATGTTGAATGGGTAGGTAGGTTTGAAAGGAATCCAAAGTAGTAAGATAAAGTTAACAAAGGGTAATTTATTGCTATGACTTATATTCAGCCACCCCTATCTCTTAGAACAGATTGTTATCGGATATCTCTAAAAGAAGAATTTCATGCATAAGCCCCTTAAGACCTCCGAAGCCAGACTTCTGCAAGAAGCCTTATTGGTGGCTTCCAGTGGCTTCCGGTGTGTCATTGAGCCTATATTATATAGGTTCATATGAAGTGATAGATAATACGCGTATGATGAAATTATAGCAGATTATTACGAGCTTGGTAAGAGTTACTGATACTAAGCCATGAAATGAGCTCTTAGGTCATGGACAATTTAGGTACATACCTAAAGTACCCCGGTATAAAATAATCAATTCGTATTAATACTATACGAGATAAGTTGGTCGTTATAGATTCACAAGGGCATTATTTTATCCATATATGTTGCCTTCATCATTAATTAGTTACTAGATTCGATGAGTTTTATTTACCGTAGCGTAGTTATTCGAGGAGCATGTTAGCTAGTTCAAAGGCGTCACTTTATTATCAAAGATTGGCTGGAGTTCTTCCCAGCCCTACATGCAAAATTGCAATAACGATCCAAACAATCTCGAAAATGTTTCAATGATAGTAAATCTAGTGTATAGATACCTCACAAGTGCAATTGCCCATTTCGTGATTCGACGATGGCGAGGATACGAAAACGACGAGTACGGCAGCATATGCAGCTGTCGCAGCAAATATCTCTGTCCTTCTCGCATTTGTTAAGACCGCAACGCTACCTGCAAAGAGGACTGTAAACAGCGCTATCATTCCCAGCTGTGCATTATCCTGATCCAGGAGGCGAAGTAGAACTATAGCACCAAGCAGGAGAATTGCTGCCACGACAGTGCTGATTGTAGTTGTTACCCAGGTGACATGATTCTCGTTGATATGTTCGGTTTCATCTGTAATTTTTGTCGTCTCCGACCGTGAGCATATTGGAAATTGAAAGGGTTTATGGCAATGATAAGAAGTACCTTAAACATCCAATGATCCTGCAGAAACCGCGAGAGAAGGTCCTTTTCAGGCGCCCGCCTAAGGGCGACAAGATCTCTGTCAGGGTATAAGTGGCACTAGTATGAATCAGGCATAGATCTACATAGAATAGATATATAAGGGGCGCACAGCGCCCCTCGAAAGAGAGTAGAAAGGTCAAGCGTTAATAGATTCATACTACTACACGGCTACTATACAGCAGCTTCGCTGCTGCTTCTACCTCACTTCACTCTACGTATGACAACCATCAAGGGGTATCTCTGACAATCTCGATGGTTGTGTTCAGAGAGTCTCTTCTCAGCGAGGCCCGCCAGAATTGGCCAGCGGCTGGTCTTGTTTCCGAGAGGGTCATGTAAATTTATATAAGACTGGTCGATTACGACGTCTAAAGCTCGCTTCCTTGGCCTTTCGAGCGCTGCTATTTGGCTTTGACGCAATAGTGCCTCTTCTATCGTCACTTATCAGCTAAAATAACTCACACGTGGGGGTTTATCTCACGATATTCTTTCAACCTCTCGCTAACTTCCTCTACCATCTTCATCCGATCGTGTTCAGGACGGGTTTCATCCTTTGAGTTCTGCTCAAAGGCCTCCCAGGCTCGAATAGAACGTCGTGTCTCATTATCTGATCCAAGTGCAGCTTGCTTATCCGCTTGATCTAGTTTATACTCTAGATATACAAGCCTGCTTTCAAGGTGGAGGAGATTCCTGGCGCTGAGCCGATCGAATTTGCGGAATATGAAAGCCTCGTAGTCCGGGTTGACGGTTATTCTTTGGGCCAAAAGCGGGAATCCGGTCCCTCCCGGCACATTTTCCATTTCTATATGATAGCAGGCTAGGTAGCTCAGCGATGGACAGGAGTTTTATTTCAAATATTAAATAAAGAATGATGCATCGTAATAAATTAGATAATTCCAATTCATTATAGATAGGCCATCGATTTAGCCCATTAGGTAACCCAATATGTCAAATACTCAAAAGGGTGGCTGGCTACGGCAGTGCCTACGGTGTGGGTAGTACAAGACAGGACAACCAGAACTCAGCCTCTAGCCAGCAAATTTCCCAATTACTGCCTAACCTTGACGTTGCATCGGGATTACCTGCGAGGCCTCAATATCAACTCTTATTACTTAATCTCTATTCACCCCTTATTTTATTTGCGCTACTTGACTCCTAGACTCGGGCTCGCCTACTACTTCATTTCCTAAAAAGCTCTTCCAAAATCAGCGTTATATACAAGATAGAACTTTTAGACCTATTATTACATTAGTTTCCAATCGCCCTCAAGGAATGGACAGATCAGATCGATATCCGTGGATGTTTGGAAAGGACCAATTTTCGGAGTTGTTGACCAACCAACGACACCTTAATAAATCGCCTAACGAAGAGCAGTCGGATTATTCTATAACACTTGAGGAATTATATTTATGTCATGCGTCACATCCTTATCTTTGGGAGCAAAACCACAATACACGTAAAGAGTCTTTGACGGGAGACTTTGCAGCTAGTTATCGAAATCAATCACCAATCATCTGGTCGCCAGACAAGTCTAGTATTCATGGCATAAGACACTACGAAGTTCCGGGTTTCTTTAACGATATTCCTATCAATGCGCTACCAGACTCAGGCTCTGCAGTAAATGCTGTCTCTGAGAGCTTTGCGAGGCGACATGGTCTAGTAATCAAATTCACCAACTCACAGACAATACATCTCCCCGGAGGACATGTAGCTGAGAGTATCGGTCGGACCATTGGTCGCTTTAGATTTCAAGGAGAGAGCCATTCCTATCGTCGCGAGTTTTGTGCCCTTCGAAAAAGTGTGTACGATTTGGTGCTAGGTAGGAAGTTTCTTACCGAGACGAGGACTTTAACCGAATTCCACCATCGCATTATCCAGCGGAACCGCCCCTGCATACAAAAAGGAAACCGGCTTTTTCTTGATGGACGAGTCACCAAAGGACCGTCTTCGTTGCGCCATCAACGGCCATAATGCCTCAGCGTTTCCGGATACTGGATCGGATCTTATGATCGTTTCTGGGGAGTTTGTTCGCCGCAATGGGTTCATAGTCCATCGCGGAGAGAAATATAGGAGGAAACTCGAACTTATCGATGGATCTACTATCCGCACAGACGGGATGGTTTTGGACGCAGAGCTGCAGTTTGATGCATTGCCAGCATCAGAGTGGTTGGACTTTAATAAATACGTCGACTATATAAACGGCATCTCCTCGCTTAAGAGCAAAGGAGTTGAAGAAACACCTAGGACGACATTTATATGCGACCTCCACGTCGTCGAGGACTTATCATGCGACATTATTCTCAGCAATGACTTTATTTTTCAGAATCAAGTCTTCTCTAGGTTCAAAGACCTTTTTTATGCCGAGTCAACAGATTCTCTTCCACTTGCTGATAGTCTTGTACGCCATGGCATACTATTCATGAGGAATATAAGAAAGAAATTCCGCTGGTTTTCTAGGCGCAGACGACCATCACAGGGCCCGACTAGTCCAAGTAAGGCATCCTTGTATTATGTTGAGGCAAGAATATACTAACAATAATAGTTCCTCTTCAAAACAGCCCAACATGGGATCGTGCGTGGGAGACTGAAGAAGCGCGAAGAAACCAAGCGCAGCTGTGGATTGTATCGTTACCAGAGCCACAGAAATCTATCGAACAGAGAAGTGAGAACCAAAAGCAGGAAATATGGGACAGACGAAACCCAAGACCCCCACTAACACGATTGTCAGCCTCTGACCCAATTCTGAGGCGAAGAGCAGTTCCTGGAGTCCTTGCATCTTAGACTCTTATATAATTCAAAAATATGCCAACGTCGCCTGACATTTGAATTTGATACCCAACTAATGATATTACAAAATAGCCAATTGCGCCAGAGATTAAGAGAAGGACTAATCTACCTGTCATCAGCAACATATATTGTCAAGAGAATAAGGCACCTTCGAGGTAGCCGCCAAGCAGCAGGCCTGCACTCCTCTATTCTTATGTAGGATATGGATTTTATAGAGTCGCTATTATATCTGAATACTAGAACCTACATGTTGTCCTTCTCACTCTATGCACCCTTATACATAGTACAATAGGAGGGAGTTCCCCTTTCTTAACTTGATCTCGTCCCCTGGCTTGACCGCTTCACTATCCCCTTTAAAGAAACGATCACAACCTACGCCACCCAAACACAAGCCCACCTGGCACACACCGAACCTACCTCGTGTGTTATTATTTAATTGTTTAGATTGAGTATTTTTACCACTGCGTGAATTATCATTTGATAATTAAAAGCAAGGCTTGATGGTGTTAGGTTGGATTACGTAGGATTTACAGCCAATTAATTAGCTACCTTCAGGGGATATCCTGTCTTGTTACTACCTAGGTACCTTTATAAGCCGCTACTACGTCATTGATGTTGATGCAGGCTAAATGCTGAGTCTAATATGTCGAGTCTCACGGAAAACGGCAAACTCAATAATCATACTGTTTCTACGCTCAAGACTTGATTTCTTCAGAATACCTATGCTATGTACTTTGTAAACAAGTCACAGCGCCGATGATCCACACGTGGACTGTTCTTGTGCATCGTATTGCCAGTGCATGTATAATAGATAGGTATCAGATGCGTCTATGCATTTTCGTAGTGTTAGACAGAAAGGGTCTGGACTCTATAAATTGAAGTCGTGACTTAGAAGATAAAGACATTTTCATGTAGTACAGTCGCATTATTCTTCCGCGTGACGTTTCGAAGTGCTGAGTGTTGGGTTGCGTAAAAAAGTCGAGTTCTTGACGAATAAATCGACACATGTGGGTTTCTTATTGGACTTGGTGGTGGCGTAATGTGGCTATCATCGGTGACTATCACTGCTTTTATTCAGTCCGATACCAATCCCTGACTGCGTTCTGTTAGGCACCTAATGCAGTTCTAAGGCACGAAACCATGCTGTTATGCAGGGGTTTAGGAGGGACTAAAAATAGAGGGACGATCAGTTATACATCTGTTTCTAATATAGTTTTTATGTGTGGATCATGTACCAGCTAACAGATATACCTGGACACTTTCTACCGTTTAGGAAAGGTGTTTGATGCCAAGCCCCGACCATCTTCGACTCCGAATTCCAAACTTACATCCTAAGGTACCTAAGCCCCGCCGATGGTCGCATGTATTTCCCATGTAATCGGACTCCTTCTTTCGGCTTTCCATACCATACACTTAACCTATTTCCATCAACTATCAACTAGCCACAACACATAACAGCTGGACTATGTATTAGTTGTCTTTCTAAATAGTCTCTCATGATATGGGGGGTCAATTGATGGTGTTTCTTTTTATTTATTAACATACTTTCGCCTCTCATTTCTCTTCTAACTGTTGACCTTCATTCGGATCACTGTCGTTTTTGACTCAAAAGTGCGCGCGCTCTTATCTTCGCTTTCGGTATCTTCGGTCATACCGCTTTCTTTCATTTACCATCTACTTGACCGTTGATCGTTGACTACCGACCACCGACCACCGACCATCTCATCTTCCGTCGGCGTTTTATACGCATCGGCGACATTTTCTTTTCTCGATGTACCACCTCCGCCGAATCACCATCGCCGTCGCCGTGCTTGCTGTCGTCGTCGTCATTGTCACCGTACTACCTCGGGCCCTCAATCCCGTTCCACCAAACAAGGAAAGGCAGGAGGCTGACCGACAATGGATCAACACATCTCCATACTGGCTTGATCGTCAGGCCTGTCGTTGGTTTAGCCTCTGTGGTCTGCTGCACCTCAAGAAAGATCCTCCAGCGAAACCGAAAAATAAAGATGATGGTCATCGACATGAGTTAAGGCGTCTCCTGGGAGAGGAAGGGGTTGCCATATTAAGAGAGGAGAGTGACAATAAGAAAAAAGGGCAGCTGAAGGGGATACCAGACTATGTGCTGAACTACGCACCGCTAGTTCACCTCTATTCTCAGGAATTCTTCTGGCCCTCCGACATTGCTGACCACATCAAACATGTGGTACCGGACCTAGACGAAGACAAATGGACACTTAACGAGTCACAGCCCCTCACTTTAGCCAACTTGAACGAGTTTAGCTCCGAGCTAGGATTCCAGCACCTTAACAGTAAGGATGATGTAGAGTCACGCCCGCGTTGGCTTCACAGTAAGATGAATAGGCCGATCGCTTTTAACGACGATGATGACAATAAAGAGCACGACGACGATACTGAGCCTGGTAAACAGCTTAGCGACGATACGACATGGTTCGATGTAGATCGCGATCATCCTTTACACCGAATTTCAGACCCACGGAAGCTTCCTGCTGGCAGACCACAGTCGCAACGGCTGAAAAGGCGGTCTCAATTCTTTCATTCTAGCGAACAGCAGAGACTCATGTCCCAAGAAGCACAGGACGAGCAGAACGCACAGAATAAACCTGACGAGTCGGGATATTCTCGTGCGCCTGCTACTCTCGTTTTGGTAGACAAAGGATCCGGTATCGTGGACGCCTTCTGGTTTTTCTTTTACGCCTATAACCTCGGTCAGACGGTTCTAGGTACACGATACGGGAACCATGTTGGCGATTGGGAACATTGCATGATGCGCTTTGAGTCCGGTGTTCCCCGCGCGGTTTTCTTTAGCGAGCACGAAGGCGGTCAAGCTTACGCCTGGCACGCTGTTGAAAAACGAGGAAACGAGACTGAGATACAAAGACCAGTCATATATAGCGCCGTTGGTTCGCATGCTATGTATGCCACTCCTGGAAACCATCCATACGTTTTACCCTTCGGGATTCTTAAGGATGTAACGGACAAAGGCCCACTATGGGATCCTTCTAAGAATCTCAGAGGTTATTGGTATGATTATACCACTACCAAAGATAACGACGGACTAGAACCGGTGAAGGAAAACGCTGATGAGCCGACGAGTTGGTTCCATTATAAAGGAACTTGGGGTGACAAGTTATACGGTCTCGATGATAGACGACAGTGGAGATTATTCGGCCAGTATCACTACGTGACGGGTCCCCAAGGGCCTAAATTCAAGAATCTCGGTAGGGAGAAAGTATGCCAAACATGGAGGTGCCGGATTATACATAGCATCGCAGAAGGAAAGAAGGGAAGTTGGCATTCATGAAAGCCGAAGGGTTATACCATAGAGAGAAGGGCACACCAGGCGTTACCGGCTTAGATACCCCAGCTGTAGTTGGGCATGTTTTTACTTATTGCTTTGAAAATATAACGATTCATATGCAGACGAGATTTTCCCAGATACCTGGTTCGTGGAAATGAGACTTGGCCGCTAAATTGTAGGGTAGTTGCATTCGATGCTAGGCTCTTCAGCCTCTGCGTCTTCCCGCCCAATGGCGCTTCGTAAACTCGTTTAGCTGCCCATGTGCATGCAATCGTACCATGTCGATCGGATCGGGTGGTATCGCGTATGTATGTATGTATGTATGTATGTATGTATGTATGTATGTAGAAGTTGCGCTTGTTCGTAGCGATCCACTCACCGCCGCTACTGAACACGAGGGCCTCGGCGTATTTTCCCTCGTGCTCGCACGTACATACATACACTTACCTTACAAACGGCGTCCCCACCGACTCCCCCCTCCCTGGGGGGGAAATTCATCTCCTCCTTCTCCGCATCGCGACCCCGGATTTTCCTAGGGCCCCCCCCTTGGCGAAGTCGCGGCTCCTGATTGGCGCGCATACAGCTTCGTCGGGGTACGGGGCGCTGGAGAATTCCCTCCAGTAAGGAGATCCCCCAGCGCCCCCGGACCGGGGATCGCTCGTCCCCTTCGAGTATCGAGCTCCGGGGTCTGGGTTCTCCACGGTGGGCCTGTGGGGTTGGGGTTTGGAGGTCGGTGCATATGTTGGTTGGTTGGTTGGTTGGTAAGGTAGGTAGGTGTATATATAGGTAAGCATGTCGGCGTGTTATGGCTGAGGTGAGCGCTTGTTGTTGTTTTTGGCTCTTCGTTTTGTTAGTGGAGGACGAGCTTTTTTGGGAGAAAAATAGACAGACAGACAGATAAGCGTAGGATATCCAGGACGACTGTATGCGGTTATTGCCAAGATGAAGCCTCATACTTACCAGGTACGTGTATTATCAAGTCCAATTAGCGCGATAGATGTCATAACTAACTAACTCCCTCGTGCCCAATAGTTCCTCGTCGGCGTCTTCGCCTCGATGGGCTCGGTGCTCTTCGGTTACGATCTCGGTGTTATTGCTGGTGTAGTAGGGAGTACCTCGTACGCCGAACTATTCCAATCGAACGCAGCTCAAGAGTCAGTCTCCCATATCCTAATTCTTCTTTTTTTTCCACTCGCGGTCCTAATCATAGAACTACAGTGGAGCCGTCGTCTCTCTATTCACAGGCGGCGCCTTTTTCGGCGCCATGTTCGCGGGGCCGGGGGTGATATGCTCGGCCGGAGATTGACGATCATGCTGGGCGCTGTTATCTTCCTTCTTGGCGGAGCCATCCAGACTGCTGCGCAGACGATACACTACTTGTATGGCGGACGAGCGATTGCTGGCTTGGGTGTTGGGTTCTTGACTATGATTATTCGGTAAGCTTGCCCCTTGGTTTATATAACTATTCGAATAGAGAACGGTAATGTGCTAATGATTCCTATATAGTGAGTTTTCTTCCTCGAGAAATGATCCACCTATTCAACAATGAGTAGAGGATGTAGCAGAGTCGATATACTAACTTTACTACCCTCAACAGCCGTCTACCAAAGCGAAATTGCACACCCTTCTATCCGCGGTCGAGTCACAGGCCTACAACAATTCATGTTGGGCATCGGTGCCTTCCTCGCCGGCTGGATCTCCTGGGGGTGCTTCATCAACCTGACCAGCGACGCGCAATGGCGTATCCCGCTCGGCATCCAGATCCTACCCGCTTTAGTCCTAGCCGCGCTCATTCTTCTGTTCCCCGAGAGTCCGCGCTGGCTGGTCGATCACGACCGCGCCGAGGAAGGCTTACGCACCCTGGCTAAGCTCCACTCCAACGGTGATGTAAACGACCCCTGGGTCCAGGCGGAGTTTGCCCAGATCCAGGAGACGATTAGCTTTGAGCACGAGCATGAGGCGAAGAGCTATATGGAACTATTCACGAACCCGTACGTATTTGTGATATCTTGTTAATAAGCAGTAAGAGTTCGTTTATAACTAATCAGCTAACCGTTCTCCTTCAACAGCTCCGCCTTCCGCCGCCTCTTCCTCGCCTGCGCCATCCAAGGCGCGACGCAGATGACAGGTGTATCCGCGATCCAGTATTTCTCCGTCACCATCTTCGCGCAGATCGGCATATCCGCCGACGAAGCGCTCAAGTACCAAGCCATCAACAGCATCCTCGCACTGATCGCGCAAGCCTTTTGCATGCTACTCATTGACAAGTTCGGCCGTCGACCGACTATAATCGCCGGAAACCTCATCAACTGCCTTATGTTCATCATCGTTACCATATTGATTTCCCAGTTCCCGCCGGATACGAATTCCGGAAGTACTGGGGTGGGGGTTTATTATCGTGTAAGTACCTAACCTACCTAACATATAGTTACCTATATTTACTGTGGGAAAAATAACTAACGTTGGCTTTACTAGTACCTGGCTCTTCAACATATCGTTCTCCTTCGCCTGCGGTCCACTCTCCTGGATTATCCCCGCTGAGATCTTCGACACGCACACGCGCTCCAAGGGTGTATCCCTCGCAACCATGGTAAGTTTCGCCTTCAACACGCTTATCGGGCAAATCACCAAGGTAGCCATCGATTCGGTCGGCTGGCAGTATTTTATCTTGTTCGCGGTGTGTAACGCCACCAACGCGCTGTTTTTCTGGCTCGTGCTCCCCGAGACCAAGCGCGTACCCCTCGAACAGATGAGCACTGTGGTCTTTGCCCCCGACGCCCCCTGGATCGTCCTCGGAAAGCGGTCCAAGGCATTCCGCGCCGCCGCCGAGGCTGCGGCCGTCGATGTAAAGGAAGTTGAGTTGAAGGGTAAGGTTTGATGTGAGCGACGAGTTGTTGATATTCGTCAGATAATAGTTATGGAAAATATGTTAATCCATGTACTTTTCTATAAATTATATAAAACTATCGAGGAATGTGTATATCAGACGTAAGACTTAACCAAATTCGTAGTGAAACTTATATCTACTAATCCTGTATTTCGGGATCGTTTCTTATACTCGAGGTAGGCTCTATATAATTGTGATCATCCAATCCCATTTAGATATGTCAATATCATGGCCTGTTGATATACATAGTTGGTATTAGACCAAAAGCAAATGTGGTCATCAAAAGCAGGTCCTTGTGTAGGATATAGTGCCCTAATATGGTCCTATTCACAGCGAATTGCTCTGGAAGTGTTTAGTCTTTTTATCAAACTATAGGGAATATTAGTATCCAAGACTGGAAACTATCCTACAAAATTAGGTATCATCAAAACTTTTTACTTTCGCCACTCGACTTTCTGCGTAACACGACAGACCATATCCTACTCGAATAGTGACAGAGATAATCTCCAGGGGTATATAGATTTATAGCTTATACAACATTATTTTCATACACCAGGCACCTAGGCCTTAAAAACGGGAGGTCGGTATTCGACATTCTCTAGCACCGCGTCGAAAGCTTCCTGTACATCCGCATGGAAGAACGGCCGGTTAAGGCCATAAACGGGCACTTGGTGAGTGGAACTCTCATCTTCGGTGATCGAAGATGGCTGTGCGCCGATCTCTTCGTCGCCATGGCTCGTGCGTTTCTCGACCGCCCCCTTTTCTCCAAGGTGACTTTCTCTGGAAAGCGGTGATGCGGCATCCGCCAGATCGGCGACACTGAAAATAGCTTTCCAGCGATGGCCAGCTTCAGCGTCTCCTTTGGGCTGTAAGAACCCAAAACCAGCGGCGACAAGAGCGCGACGAGTCCAGGCGTTCCTAACATTGGCAAAGTGCCACTCGACAATATCAGGCTGGGTATACCTATCTAATTGGTTACGCACGTCGATTAAGGCTTGAACTGAAGTCGCATCCACGTTATTAATGGCAGAACAGTCTAGAATGATGGCTCTTAGAGTAGGTCGCTCTGCTGTATCGTCTACAACAACCTTGCCCTTACGAGGACCAGGGTCATTCCAGGGACGGTCCTAGAGTAACATTAGCGAATGCAAATAGAAGCGTACGAATATCAAACTTACACCCAGTTTTCCGAGAGATTCCGGATCGGTCCTTCGCGTGGCTTTGAAAATTCCAGCTGTAAGACCATCTAAGAAGCGAGTTGCGTTCGGATAGTTGAATAGCTCCGAAAATTGGTAGATAAATACGCCAGGGTAGGGATGAGAAACGGGTACGCGAGGATTCGAGTTGTCTTCATGGTCGATCGGGATAAATAGATTGCGCTCGCTCGAAATGTGGCCTTCCCTCAACGTCAAGGGGGTCTTTTGATCTTGGGACAAGGTCTGGCTTGAGCCAGTACGCCTGCTGGATCTTATATCCCCAACAGTTCTAACAGTGGCAACTCCGAGGAACCGACCCTTTGCCTGGAATAAGCGGAAAACGAAGACGGCAAAGGACACGCAGACTGTGGTGTAGATACCATCCTCAATACCGTCGAAGATAGTTACCAAAACTCCAGCAAAGAAGATGATAACCTCCAAGGGGGAAATTCTCCAGAATTGATACACAACGTTCGGCGGAGACACAACGTCTAAGACTGCGTGGATAATTACAGCGGCTAGAGAAGCTTGGGGGATATACCAAAAGACGGCCGTCAACGCGTAGAGAGCAAGGAGCACGACGATCGCAGTAATGACACCGGCGAATGGCGTACGCACACCGGACTTCGCCTTAATAGCCGTTCGGGAGAAAGATCCAGTAGCCGGATATGCACCAAGGAAGGGACCTAAGAGGTTACTGACACCAATAGCGACCAATTCCTGCGAAGGGTCAATGACGTAGTTATTAATACGGCCGAACGACTTCGAGATGGAGATATGTTCGATCAAGACAACGATAACGGCTGCGGGAAGCTCGGAGGTAAAGAAGGAGAGAATCTTAGGGTCGAGATTAGGAACCGCAGCATGTTGAAATCCTGTATATGTTAGCTATGTACTGAAGAAATAGACATATCGTGTAAGTGTTATTCTTTACCTCGAGGAACTTCGCCGAGAACACCGAAAAGAGGGTTGCTACGGCGGTGAAGATTGACACCGGCGCTGATTGCAGTATATAGCAATATGACGAAAGCAGTCCGGAGGGTGGAGACGAAGAAGAGTGTCTTCTCTCGGTGAGGATACTTCTTAGCGAGATACGTGCAAGTTCCCCTAATGATATACAGCATCAGTAAAGCTGTGAGACCCATAGCAGCGTCGATAGTCGTGTATTTGAGGTTCTTCAAGGTGTTGATGATAACCAGATAAGTGGGATCTCGTGTCGAAAATCGCTTCTTCTTGCTGTTCATGCCCATCATCGTGGGTATTTGTCCGACCGCGATGCTGATTCCGGATCCAGTCATAAAGGCAGCAATCGAAGGCAGAGGAATGAAATCGACGATCCAACCAAGCCGTGCCAACCCAAGGAAACATACAATCGCGCCGACAATGACGGCGAGCGCAGACGCTACAACGTGACCCGGAACATCAGGAATAGCCGCCTCTGCTCTGTTGACGATGCCGCCGGTGACAGTCGACATGACAGCGACAGGCTTCGGAAGGAGTTAGCAAAGGCATATCTTTAATATAACGGACCAAAGATACTATGAATTTTTAATAACATACTCCGATTGTAATATCCTTAGAAGTTGCAAAGAACCAATAGATAAGGACACCCATGAATGATGAGTAGAGGCCATATTGAGGCTCAAGCTCCGCCAGTATTGCGTAAGCCATGCCTTGAGGCACCACTACGGCACCGACCGTGATACCTAGAGCCGGATTATGTCAGTCTTGTCCGTGCGATGGAGGGGGTAGATTCTAAGCTTACCAGCAATAAGATCACCAATAAACCATGTCATATTATATCTGGTAATCCAGTGAAGGAACGGAAATAGGCGGTAGAAATATTGGAAGATCCCTCGAGGTGTTGGCGTAACACTCACGAGCCAGTCGACCGCGGTCGGGTCCTTTTCGTCGTAGGGCTCGACATTGGGATGAGCATGAGACGCGTCTCTTGAGTCGGTGCGCTCAGCTTCACGTTGTCCATAAGGGTCGAGGTTCAAGTTAAAGAACCAGGCAAAGCCATGGCCTATTTTGGTTGAAGTAGAAGACATATTTCAGTCTTACACAGTACCAAATATGAACCCGAAGCCGAAGATTATGTCGGGGCGCGCCCCTTGAAGGTCTTCAGTGTAAAAGCTACGCTGTAATTCGGTAAGATTACAACGCAACACAACACAACACAACAACCCAAGTCCAAATATCGACTATAGATGGAAATTGACTTTGCAAAGGGTCATATAATATAACCAAGCTAGAGCAAATGCCATCAACGTGCTCTCCAGGGAAGTGGAATGAACTTGCATGATGCAGTCGTATTTAATATAATTGACAACGGGAATATCTGCAGGCGAGAAAGGGCCGAGGAAATGGATAACCCCCCCGGACGAAGATTTACGATTCTGGATCGCGCACCGAAGAAGGAGCATTGTGCAATTAGGATTTATTCTCATGTATTTTCTTGGTGAGAACCAGTTTATGTTCATTATGGCTTCAGTTGGACGAACGAGAATTCATGTAGATGGCGAGATGTGGGTCTCCGATGATGTGCGCGCCCTTGTAACAGGGATTATGCGGGTTGTGATACCAAAGCGTCTACAAAATCTATACTAAAATGTCTACTAAAATATATGTACCTTTTATAACCTTGTCACTTATACCAAAGCTACCTGGCTACTTACCTTAGCTCTTATTGCGCCATGAGTTTAGGGGGTCAGCTATTAGCCCCAGCTCTCAGCCTTGATCCAATCAAGAACCAATAGAAATTATATCCAACATGTGAAAGGGTTGGTACGATGAATACAAATGACATGTCTACCTACATACAAATTATACAAATTCCAATACTATATGGGACCCCCAAACTTCTAGAACCAATATCGTCACTACGATGAATTTCCAACTTTTCCAACAGACCGGATCCAGATCTTAGCTTCCATTCACACATTAGATCTAAGAAGTACGCATGGCCTAGACCTAAGCCAAGCTAAAGTAAACACGTACATACAGATAAGGAAAGAGGATGAAGGATATACATGAGCTGAGTCTCCATCGAAATGTAACCTAGAAAATCTGATAACTATGAGGTAAAGCATAGCTTTTCTTATACCTTAATATTTGCTCATCTCTTCATCCACGCTTGATTATCGTCCCATAGCATCTTCTTGGCGAGGGGGTCTCCAAGACGGGACACGACGTAAGTCGAATTAACAAATAACTCAGTTACCTAATAATATTCTTTCATGCCTGACCTACCTATGCTACAGAGTACCTGCATTTGCTACTACACCCCATACTCATCTAGGTTCCATATTAGCTCCCGCCAATACTCTTCGTCCCACGGAGATACCGACCCTTACTGAAGGCCTCCCGAGGGATCAACCATTAGACCACGCTTAATAAAGTCTAGATCACGACTTCCCTGGCAGTCCCTGTACTAAGATTCGTAATCATATATGCTTAACTGTCTATTTACCGAGCATAATGGGCGATTATGAGCCCAGCCGGCGAGTGACAAGAAGCCCACGTGGGCTTTACTTAATGTTTATGTCTCTTATTATTAAAGAGAAACTTGCGGGTTTATAAGTCTTCATTAAAAACCGGCCTAATTATTATTTCTACGCGCGATGAGCTTACTTAAATATTACCTAGGTGCCTATTATCATCTATATAGGAACTCCAACCTAGAAACATATATAATTGCCTTTGGTAGATATTCGTCTTTTTTTCTGCTACTCTCGTCGGCACTTTCTAACACTATCATGGAGTATTATCAGATGCCTTGGGCAGATAAAACCAAGATTACGATAGACTGTTTCTAACTATGCTTATCCTGAATATTGCCATTCGATCATCCCCTCAAGTGCATCATGAGATGGCGAATTGAGATGGTGCCTCTATCGCGGTTCTGAGTAATTTTTCGGCTAGAGGAGGAGCTAGACTTAGTAGGATCTCGAAGACTATCAAAGACGTATTAGTATATGAGATACTACTAAAAGCTGAGCTTCAATGACAATATTCAAGAATATCGCGTCCCATATTCGTAATACACTACCGAACTTAGGGCTTAAAACATCCATTCAGCCTCTCAGATATGACACTAGCAATCACATCATGAAGAAGAAAAACCAAACAAACAAGCTAACCTCATGCTATAATTCACTATTGAAGATTCGCAATGAAATCCTGTAAAGTACTTGACGTAGGAGGCTTATTTAGTCTATATTAGATCTAGACGAAAGTGAATTACAAGAAAAGAATCTGACGCCATAGGTTAGGTACTTAGACAAATTATTTGATTTCGCGATCACGTTGTCTATATACTACACCGAAATAAGCGTAAGTTACGAGGCACTATCGTCTATAGGAGTGTATCTTGGTATTAGCGTAATAACTATGACCCCATCCTATCATTTTGCGCAAATAAATTAAAGCCAGGTTCAATACTCATCGAAGGCTTCTTTTCCCTTGACTTCATTCGGGGTCGTGCGGGCTCAGATGCCCGATAACCCCCTTTCATGACTTAAGACACGTTGATTATTATACCTAGTACCTATAAGCTACGATCTATTTTACCAGTATGCTAAGTGTATGCTAGGTGTATATTAATTCTTCAACTATAATATAATAACTATGCTGGTGTTTACCGAGAAGAATAATGCTAGATAATTACCCAAATGAAACCCTTGAAAGATAGACCCCAAATCCAATCAACCAAGCCAGACTCCAGCCATGAACCAACCACCAATGCATCATAACAAAATGCTCCTATAAAACCGCAAGTAGAACATCTAACTCTTAGAACAGCGGCAACTATTACTATCTCCGGGACCACAGCTCCCAGGTACCTTCTCCCACATGCAATTATTCTCGACTTTATGGATATCGCAGGGCACCTCGATAATCTCGATAGGTGTGCAAGCCTGTCTGTCCAACGTGAAAGTGATCGAAGGGGTGTCACTCGGGAACGCGTAGCTGATCCCTTTCCCGAAGCCTCCAAGACAGTACTTGCCACACGACCACTTTGTGAGTGTGAACACGCCAGAATCACCATATAAAGCGGTTCGTCCAATATGGTTCCCGTCCGAAGCTCCATTAAGCCACTGACTCCCTTGGCTTTCTGAGCTCTGGTGCGCGGTTCCCTGGACGTCTTTGATATGGACCGGGTCGTTGGGGTTCACGGCGCGGCCTGTAGTGCAGGCTTCGTTGCCGAGATCTTGAAGCGCCCGATACGGTGCTGGCTGGAATGGTCGGCTGCGCTATAGTGTAATTGTATACTGTCGTAGCCGAGAGGGTATGGCCGGTTTCCATCCTGAAGACGTAGCATTTTCCTATAAAGCAATTAGATTTCTCTGCTGTTATGATAAAAAATATGCGAGGATGAATTAGCACGTACCGGTAGTGATGCCAGAATCGCAACCTATTGGTCCCCTGCAGCCACCGTCCGCGGTCGGACTCGTTCCTAGCGGACAGACACACTGGCCATCCACCATAACCTTTCCATTATTGCAAACCCAGCCACATCTACTACCATCGTAAGACTGACCTACGGGACAGCATTTATAGCCGGTATGATCGCTCCCAACTAAATCGTGACCCTCAGCACAGCAGTCAAACGCGGTGTCGGGGCTCCCAAGTAGTCTTTGACCCGGCGCGCAGCAAGCCACGAATACCTGGTCTGCGTCGAACGTGAGGCGCTTGCCGGTACCCCCGGCACACCGAAAAACGTCTTCGAAGTCAGAACCGGCCTCTTTGAATAGAATCTCCTGGCTTCTTTGGTCGATGCGACTGTCATGGTCAATCTGGGCTATCTCGACATTCCTCTTGTTAAGGTCGCGACGAATCGCCCCAAATGCGAACGGGAGTCCAACACTAGAGGCAACGAGCCCAAGTCGTAAGAGCTTCATGGTGACGGTGTCTCTAAGCAATACTTCAAACAGGCGTCGCGATGGAAGATTAATGAAATATTAATGATGGCGATATCCCTGAACTTGCTGTTGGGACCGGGTTCCTTTCGTAGCTTCATCGTGCTGGGAAATTTATTAGTTTTGATATTGGTAGTAGACATCAAAGGGCCGATTATCAAGGCGACTTTCATACCTGCCTTGGGTATACAACTCAACGAGGCTGGATTACGGCCACAAATACACGTTGAACGATTCACAACAGCGACGTAAACATAACCTTATTCCTCATTGCACAGTTATGCATCGTTGTCAACCAACACGAGACCTAAGTATAGGGTACCACTGATCTGCGCTGAAGATAAAATCGAAATAAGGTTGATCCCGCTGCCAGATCTCTTAGCCCATTCGATAGATGGACGTCGATCCACACAGGAGGGATAATGGTCCAGGTATATGACTCGCGAATCATGTCTTCTGTATAAATTGTGAACTACGTGGTCGAGGGGTTTAAAATCTGCGATAGGGTTTGTGTTACTGCCACGTCTCCTGACCTCAGCTTTCAGCTAGAAGCATAGTTGTCTCTGCCAAGAGCACTGAAAGCGACGAAGAGGCAATTTTTGAGGTCTCCGTCGGTTTACTCGTACAGAGTGGAGATAGGGACATTCGTTTCTTACTGGCTTTTCGGCGGTGATGGAGCTCGACTCCGGATCCACTAGCTTGTAGATAGGACATCATAGCAGTAGGGTGTCAATATTAGGTAGAGTTTATAGTAGTTTAAAGGTTTCATGTGCTCGTCAGTATTTAGGATATTTTAAAGATATCGGGTAACTGTAGCCGAAAGTCCTAGTGGGTGGCGTGGTACGTTGGGTTTATTCAAGTGCTGTAGACTCAAGGTACTAGACTGACTTTGCTTCTATCTTTAACTATAGAATCCTACTTGGCAGGTACGGCATTTATATCAATATAATAATGGTAAATTCTCAAACTGGATTTAAGCAAGCTACATGGTATGTTGCTGGCTAATAACGCATGTATACCTCCTATTGTCTACAGCTATATGGTTCTTGGTTACTCGATCGCATCGCTTTAGGTGCTACATACCGGGTCTATTAATATTAATACTTAACATGATCTAGATCAAATCTTGCATTTTAAATTAATTAGATACTCGTGCTTTATTTGACCCTAACTCACGTATGAAATGCTTTCAACTAATGGTTCATTTCACATACACCCTCAACACAACGAATACATCCTACACCACGTAGAACTATTGATAGTCCAAAGAGAGGAGACATGTTTCTATTTCGTCTGTACTAATCGCATATACCAGTATATCAATTTGCCTATTCCTTCATACCTCCAACAGGTCCTCACAATGGTCAAGACACAATCTTAAGGGGCAAAAGCCACGAATTTCCCAATACCAATGTGATCCGCCGCTGCATCGAGAGCTTCCTTCCAGTCTTCCATTTTGAAGAGCTTCGTGTCCACAAAATCCTTGCCACGAGGAAACAAGCCCCTTTCTAGCATCTTAATGAATAACACAATATCATCCCGATGGTACATCAGCCTCCCTTTTATGGAGATGTCCATACCTATGATAGTAGGGACCATTGGATCCTCATTCCAGCCCATAAAGCTGACACGCCCGCCCCGGCGGAGAGCCAAGATGGTACTCTTGACATGTTGGGACTTAGCTGCCTGCGGCGGTGTGAAATCGAGGACAGCGTCAACAGTGCCAAATGCCCGCAACGCAGCCGCATCCGCCATCACGTCTCCGGTCATTTTCACCGTCTCGATATTGGCGTTCGGCGTGCCCCTTAGCACATGTTCCTTGAGCCTGGCCAACTCCTTCTCGTTTCGACCAAAGGCGATGACTCTTGTTCCCATACCAATAGCTGTCTGTACAGCTGCGCCTCCATAGCCCCCGGTGGCCGGACATATGATGATGGTTTCGCCAGGCTTCAGGTCGATATCCCGGAATCCGCCGAATCCAACAAGCATGTGGCAACTATACAAAATATCCGGGACGGTGTAGCCCAGTTCACCACACAATCTCGCCTCGTCAAGGGCAAAGCAGTTCTCCAGGGGCGCTTGGGCGTACTCGGCGAAATAACCGTCACGCCATACGTCGCGGATTAGCTTTCTGCTTCCCTCACTCAAGCCCTCGTGAATAGCTGTGAGGAACATATCGCTGGGGTTATCGCGCGAGTGGATCACGCAGTCGACATACACAAGCTGACCTGGCTTTAATACTGTCGCGTCGGCCCCGACGGCGACGATACAGCCAATGGCACTGATACCGCCTACGATTGGCTTGGGAAAATTGTAGAAACGAGTACCGCCATAGATCTCGCGGTGGTAAGAAAGTATGCCAGCAGCAGTTATTTTGACGATGGCTTTTCCCAAGCCAGGCTGGGGGGTTGGGATGTTCTTGAGCTTAAAGCCTTCGCCGATGGCCTCGAGTACGAGGGCGCGATGCTCAGTAGGAAGTTCAGATGCCATAGTGAAAGTTAAGATGAAAATGAGGTGGAGATTGTAGAAGAGGTGAGGAGGCAGATGATTCTGGACGTGTTCTCAAGCTTGTAGACTGGATCTTGGAACCTTTATATAAGAAGAATAGCCATTCTATCTCAGCCGGCGATGATCGGATATATTTAAAACTTCTCCGATTAATCTGCGGCAAACATTTCCCATTAAAGGATTATGTTTCCAACGAATATCTCCGTGAGGCTTTTGGTATTATGGCATGATGTTTCCAGAGTTTGGTTTTCCTTCTCCGTACGGTGTTGTTCGATCACTACCTCCTATAGATCCTATTCTCCTTATCTCCACACACCGGACGACAAAAGCAAAAAGGGGTAACCGCCAGTAACTTCACATGAGACGCGATGGAATAATGAAATAAATAAACTGTAAATCATAGGACTTAAAACTAATACATTCCAGTTCATGTCTTTACGGTATTCTACGAAAGGATCATAGCGGTAGTGACATGCATGAATTACTTCATAATAATCACCACTTTACTACAGTACTTACTATAAACCATCTATCGCGGGTATTAGAGTTTGATTATCAGAAAAATCTTAAGACTTCTTGTTTCGGCCTGGCGTGCTCGATATTGTGGTTCGGAGAAAGCTCATAAAACCGGGTGGACACCAAAATAAAGGGGGGTGGAATATGAAACTTATCACCGGTAACTTAGGCGTTAAGCTCCACATGATGAAATACCAAAATCAACGTTATACCAGTCTTATCACCGGTAACCAAGTTGTTTAGGTAAACTCCGTGCGCCAGAATACTAAAGTGGAAAGGGTGAGTCCTATCGCCGGTATCAAGCTGTTAACTCCGCATGCTGAAATAGTTCACGATAAGTTTCAGGAGTGATGTGTGAATGCTCATTAATAATTTTATTTTGAAGCCTCAACAACACATTACGTACGCTCCCAAATGAGTCTTATAAGTACCTCCCGACATATGTTCTCACAATATTAGTAAAGTCTGCCGGGCATAGTTTACTTTCGAAGCTATTTGTCTTAGTATCGGGGACTCCTTGGGGTAAACGCCGTAAAGAACTTGATCTATTCAACTCTAACGAAAAGAAACTGTGGCATTCCGTAGGAGAAATCAATTTCGAAGACTGTCTAGGTTTGTTATGGCATATATGTGTGAGGCTCTTAATTCTCTATATTGTGTATCTACCTCTCAAGTATCTCCTTTAGACTTAGGTACTACATGATATTAATATATACATCTATAGTATTTAATAATATAGCAAGAAACAAGACGTCAACAAAACTCTAAAACTCATGAAAAACGACCCCAGTTTCCCTAATAGCGCGCAAGTCCTCTGCTGAAATCTCATCCCGCTCTTCTCTAATTTCTTTCAGCCTAGGGAACAGGTACTGCTTAATAAATTGACTTAGTGGCAGATTCAATTCCTGGAATTTCTTCTCAAACTCGTCCATCAAAACTTCCAGCTGCTTCGCCAGGTATCGATCTTCCTCTCGTATCTCCTTGATCTCAGCTATATCCAAGAGATGGACCAGGTCATTATCAACGAGATTCCTTCCCCACCATTCTCTAAATTGACAGCACGTATGATGCATTCCAAGAGCCGTAAACGTTATGAGGCGAATATATTCTAATGAGACTTTGTACTTGTTGCTATCGGGTATTGCTACCTCAACCAGTCGTATCCCACTGATTATGTATAGGTAATCATACCAAGTATAATCATAATCATACTTGCGGTAATCTTGAAGACCCAAAGTAAGGTACTTCGAAGTTGGGGTGCATCCATCGACCGCGCAGAAGCAACTGCAGGAGTCCGTCGTATCATCTCCAAACATGCTGGATAATATAGGCTGATTTGCAGTATATGTTTGTTCGACGAAATCTATTTGCAATTCTGGGCTATATCTCCCTATTTTTAGTGGTATTAGATAGCCCAAATCATACATCAAATAATGGATTGTTAGCAGAGGGCGTAGTGTATTAACATACGTCGCAGCTTCGCCTTCCATAGTGCCGTCCAACCGAAAAATATTAGAGGTAGGCATATAAGCTGGGGCGTGGAGGTTAGCCCCGTGATCTTTGAACCAAGCAACAAGTTTTAGCCACGCTTCAGGGTAATGATGTTTGTAATTGTGGAAACGTATAGCATTGGTAACCAATGGAGAGTGTCCGCGGAGCTTTCCATCTATTTTGCAAAAGCCGACGTCGAATAGCTTCTGAGCTATCTGATAGGTCAACCCTCTCCAATGGTATACCGAACCAGGTTCGAGGAAGTCATAAGTAGTGGGCATAGGAACATGCTCTTGCCTTAGTTCTAGTGCGACAATAAATGCTTTATCGTCAAGAAGTTCATCGTTCCATAGCTCAAGCTCTTGAATTCTTTTCGAGGGAAGATACTGTAAAGCTAATTGTAACAAATTTTTTCGTTGTCTTGCGAGTGATTCAACCAAGACATGTATGATTTGCTCATCCTGTTTGTCCATTTCGATTTCCGCTACGGAGAAGTCAAAGCATCTCGAAGGAATGCTAGCTCCGGCATTGAGTAACAACTTTGTTGAATCAACGTCTCTTATATGTAGCGCATATTCTAGTGCTGTCATGGGATTGAAACGTCCACCGTCGGGATATCCACTGCCGGAATTGATTATAGACTGAATGGATTCTCCTGCATATTTGATCAAAAGAGAAAGGCCCTTAGGCCAGTTTACAGCGAAGTGGAGTACTGTTTGTCCCGAATTAGTACGGAAGTGCATGAGCGAAGGGTTATTCATAAGGAGGCGCCGAATATCGTGCTCGCGACGATAAAGGACTAGGTGGAATAAGTCATTGCACTCAAGAACTATACGTCGTCAGTCTTGCCTATATTACCTACACGAGGAGAATTCAAAGAAGCTTACGTTCGTAAAACCCTGGATTTCCTAAACTCATTATTGATATAAGAACCGTATGGTTAATACCAGGTAATGGAGCAGGTATTGTTCCAAGGAGTTCCAAGGTCTTCAAAAAGTTCCGCGCTACAATCGCTTTAAACTTGTAGCAATTGATTGAAAGAATATTGGTATACATCATACTTCTAAGAAGATATCCGAGAGGTGTACTATAAAATGATCAGTCCTTAGATCGAAACTGAGTTGGGTTTAAAAAAGCTTTTACCCAAAATCTGAATCATCATCTATAGGTACGCCTATCTCTCTTAACGCAGCCACAAACTGCATGAAGACAACTGCTGCTTCGTTGAATCCAATAAATCCAGGATTCAAGGATATGTACAGAACCACTGCCTAAGATATAGCTTTTGTTAGTTAATCCCATCGAACAGTATTTCAGGGAGGTTTTGTAGGGTGAATTGACAAACATGTAGCAAGTTCCAACCGCCTTTCATGACATCTGTTGGCCATCCTTCACCATTTGTAAAAATCTTTTTAAGACTAATCAAGCTGTCCTTGAGTAATTCTTCCAACATTGGTATGTTTTTGATATTAGGCAAACTATTGCCGATCTTGCAGATTACCTCGAACGCGGGAGAATGCGGCGGTACAGTCATTCGAACCGTCAGATTAGGATAGACATGCCAGTCGCGAGCCCAATTCATCCGAGCGTACTCAACTTTACACGAGAGAGTGATCATGCGCCGGAAAGCTCGAAATTTCTTCGTAAAGGTCCACTCCTCGCGATTTCTGAAAGAATACATGCAGTGTTCTTGGTGTTGCTTTGTGAAATGCGCTGTTGTGTCACTGGACAGGTACAGAGAGAGTCAAAGATGTTCCGCACAGGCATCCTGAGATTCATCTTCTCCCTAACGCTGTTCCGGACCCAACGATCATCAACTGTATTTGAGCTGAGTGACGCTGCTTGTCCATCAACCCTATCGCTCGCAGCTAAAGCTCGGGTAAAGAATTCTCGCTGGTTGCTCTCTAGGGCCCCAAGTCGCTGATCTATATATTGTTTGAGTGATACTGACTGGGTTTCTTGATTTGCGATGATTAGCGATGCCCGTTTGGATATGACATCTTGATTATCGCCCAGAGATGTCATTATATGCATCTCGGCTTCTCCAAGGCTACATTGGAAGGAAGACTCTAGTTGGTCGACACCGGTATGTATACCGGCTACTGCATGTTTTACATCGGAGAGAGAAGATTGGACTTCTCTTTCCATCGACTCTACCGCGAGTTTTATCTTTGTAGATTCCGAAATAGCGATACTTCTTATTTCTCGCGTGTCATCCCTTCATAGAACCTGTCAGAGGCGAATGCATTAAAATGAGTATAATACCCACAGAGTGACCAACTGCAAACCTCCCAGTAGTTTAACGTGGAAGTCTTGTAGTTTAGATCGAAGATCATCGAGCTTCGCCTTATCGAACGGGTATTTAAATTTGTATATGAGCCTCCGATTGGATTGTTGGTTGGTATACTTGGCTTTGAGTTGCTTGAAATCATTTAGGCAAGCGCCGCAGGCCTGAAGACATCTCTGTAAAGAATTATGGACGTCTGTACTAGGACTTTGTGGTGCTGTAGTCCGGTCTTCGATTGAGCTAAGAAATGATTCTAGCTCTTTGGCGTGCTGCATTAACTGGACAAAGTCCACATCTTGAGATCGATATGATTTGCAGTATTGGATAATTCCTCCAGCGGCCGTAATACCAAGTGAAATGAAGCCAGCAGCTCCAGCAGTAATAGATAAGGGGTCCATGACAGGAATTATGGTAAGTGTGGTAATAGGAAGAGAGAAAGTCAAATCTCCCTCGTCAGGCTCTGAGATTCAGGTTATCTGCCAGAAAGCTTCTAAGCCACCTTTGCCTTTATCATATGATACATGTCGTGCAACGCCAATTGACCAAAAACACCTCAGCCCCAATGGTAGGCATTCTTGTCCGCTTTTATCAGTGAGATGGGCTTGGAATTGAGAATTGTACATATATACAGGGTGGTGTACGTGCGAACTCCGTTCTGAGTTATAACTCCCTTTTCTAGACGTTTCGGCGCATTGCAGATCGGAGCAATCATAGTGGACGTATATACATGTAAATAGTTTGGCTTATTTGTAAGTAGATACATGCTGTCTTTAGGGCTATTAAATAGTAGTAGAATATTAAGGGGCGTGTCAGGGTATAAGTGACACTAGTGTGAATCAGGCATAGATCTACATAGAATAGATATAAAAGGGGCGCTGGCGCCCCTCGAAAGAGAGCAGAAGGTTAAGCGTTAATAAATTTATACTACTATACGGCTACTATACAGCAGCTTCGCTGCTGCTTCTACCATTTATTCTACGTATGACAACCATCAAGGGGTATCTCTGACAGGGCGTTAAACAGGAGCATTTATACTTTCCTAGTAGAAGTCAACAACTACCTAACTTAAGCTATTGCTAAGTGTCTGTATACCCTGATACCAATCTACATACGATTATTTGAACACATTATTAGAGATAATATAAAATATAAACCGTAATGACTTTCTAAATATGAATTTGGGAACAAATCCGGATAACAGCCAAAAAAATCATAGCACATGTTAGAGAAAAGGGAACAGGAAACATAGCTTCACAAGAAAGAACCACAACCGTGATAGGAAACTTATATCTCCCTAACCTAGAGGATATATCTAGTAAACCTGTGTCTCGAGAGGGGTATCAGAGACAACTCTAATCAACATAGGTCTAGCTAACTGCCAAGGTGCCCTCCATGGAAAAAGGTCCACCATATTATTACAGAGAATTATTCGTTCCTCATCTCATCTTATCTTGTCTCTCAGCTACATCCATGATCGTGAACCCTAACACGTGCAACAATGACTACCAAAGGCTGCAAGCCGCGTGCCAGAGCTCTTATCATATGTCAACCTCGTCCACGTAATCGAAAGTTTCCATCTGGAGACAAGGAAAACAACACCGATATCGTCGGGGAAAGGGGCTGAACAAGAAGAGAAGCCTGCTCGCTCGTACAACTCGTAAAAAGGGGGAATGTGCCGGCCTGAAAATGCTGTAGTATCAACCCTTAACGCCGAAGGCTTGTCCTTGTCAATCGTATATACCAGGACCGAGTCCATCTCGGTTCATGTTCGCATCCGCCAAGATAAAAACACACCCTGATCCGTCCAGGTAGTTGGCCGCCAACGCCCGAGGCCATGCAAAAATGAGAAAACCGTGAAAATAATAAAGTGGGGTATCTTGGTGCAACAGACGATAAAGGAGAGGGTCTCACTTCGAGCCCGAATAGGACTGATCATCTTCCTAATAATAATTTTCCTGATCATATCCTATTTGATCATATGCTATCTGACCATATGTTCTCGTGGGGTCCTAGCCTAGAGAGCTTAGGCCAGTGTGTTGGGCCACATCAAGGTCGGGTTCAGTATCAGACTGGGCTTCAGATTGGACCTCAGACTGAAGCTCGAGCTGAGGCTGAGGTTGAGGTTGGGGTTGGGGTTGGAGTCGGGACTGGGACTCGGACTGGAGCTGGAGCTGGGACTTAGAGTTGGCAAGCTCCCTAAGCTGCAGATTGATCTCTTCAATGGTCTGCATCATGGCCATGCTATGAAGAGATTGGGCACGGACCTCATTTCTCAGTTGCTGATTCTCCTGGTGCAGACGCTTCACTTCCTCACGGAGATCTGTTTCAGGCTTGCGCTTCTCGCCTATCTTCTCAGGGGCTACGACCTGCTGCAGAGGGGCCGGGTTTTCCTCCAGCTCATCTTCAGGTAACTCTACTACTGTAGGACCATTGTTGGCGTCGCTAGGGGTATGCACTCGACGAAGATGCTCATTAAGATTCTCCATGCGAGAGAAACCCTTGCCCTCGTGACGTTTGCAGTTTCCGTGTGGACAGTTAAGGGGATTTTTCGGTCCACCATGCTTGTTATGAACCTCCCTCTCGTGACGTAAGAGACCGCCGGAATACGTAAATCCGGCAAGTTTCTCACATCCCGACGATAAGCACTTATACGGTCGGTCGTGTTTGTCCATGTGTTTGCTTTATAAAAAAAGAGTTAGCAAGGGTTACTTTCATAAATGTAAAGAAGATTGGGTTTATATCTTACCTCCATTCACACTTGCGACTGAATACCTTCACGTCATCTGTGCAACCAGCGAAGGAGCAAACAAACTTTCCCTCACGATTCTTATTCGCGATCCGGTTAGGCTTCACGATAGGGCCTAAACGGGGTGGTCGGGTATGATGACGATGTCCCGGCGTAGAAAGGCTTTCCGGAGGAGAGAGCGGCTGATCGAAAGGAGAAGGCGAATCCAAACCATTAGAACTGGGAGAAACTGGGAGTAGGACCTGTTCATCCCCCGCACTGTATCCCACTAGACCATGTATGGAGGGGCCAGGAGAGAAACGGCTCTCTCCTTCCTGATCTTGACGGTCATCGATGCCAGGAGGATATGGACCTGAGGGTAGGACAGTACGATCTTTGAATACAACACTCATTTTGATAGAGTAATTGGGAAGCTGTCTATTATAGGGTCGGTTGGCGGTGAAGACCTGGAGGAACTCGAGACGGACGCGATCGTTGAATCTATCTTTCTGTTTGAGGGTATACTGTCGACAGATGCCGGATCCTTCGACGGGCTGGGCGAGAGCGTAGTCGTAGTCTATAGATCGTTTTGTTAAGTGCTTGTGGAGAGCAGCGACGTGGTTCTTCACGAAGTGATGACCTAGTGTAAAAGAAGTACCATTAGCAGCCCGACACGCTGATAGTATAAATGTAAGGTATTCACGATGGAGATGAAATGATGTACGATTGGCAGGTGAAGCTAGCCACAGTGTATCTTTCAAGCCGAAGCGACTTCGCACGGATAGAAATGGCGACCCAGTTTTGGTTAGTTACCTGCTTTCCTGCTGAGAAATCAGTGTAACTTCCATGTATCCCACCTATATGTCTTTAACCGAGTCTAACTAGTATAACTAGTATAGACTTGGATAAAGACATAAAGATATATACATCTATGAGATAAGATACCTATGCAAGACACTTGGCTTGGCAAGCTAAAGTAACAGGGGATATGATTTTAAATAGAGCTGATTGGACTGAATGTAGGGCTTAAATAGGTAACAAAGAAAGATGTAACATCAACTTACCAGGTAGAAGATCAATAGCTGGAGAAACTTCAATCGCATATGTCCAGTTGTCATCACGCAAGTGAGCTTCACCCATCGCGGATCGTGGTTTTCGGGAGTCTAGGGGGTTTTATACTTGTTAGTCCGGTATACTATTTTAGGCGGCAACGACGATTGCCCAACACGAGGCGTAGCTTCGAATCATCAATCAGGCTGAAGCATGACTCACCCCCGGCTGTTCGGTCATCCCCCCCAAGGGTAGATCTCTGAATAGTTCCCTCCGGCTGGGTGGTATTGTGGAGCATCGAATAAGGAATATCGGCGGCGACATCGAAATCGTTACCATGCCTGATTAGTTCCGAATTTGGAAAGACCGGGTTGAAGGGATTGTGAAGCCCCAGGCCCTGCTCCAAGCCCTGGTGATAACCCATGCCGGGATCTGTTGCCTGAAAGTCAACGCCCGGAATACCCCAGATATTGTTAGGCAAATGATCTTGATGATTCGCCATGACTGATCTATTATCCGTGCATGTTAGTTATTACGCCCCCACGTACGATCGCGATCACGGACATACCTTGGCAGATCAAGTGATTTAAAATCGATAGTTAATAGCCTGTAGGTCCTTTGAAATAAAAGGCAAATCAATACAGTCCTGTAAACATGCTGTTCAGTGATAGGTCAGGTGCATAAGTAATTGGGCTAAGGCGTCGGAGAAGAGAATACCATAGGCATTTCGAAGTAACTTACCACCAAAGAGAATGCCCAAGAACCAAAAGTACTGCAAGTTATTCTTATCAGTTCGGTGTGTCGAGTAACGGAGCCTTGCTTCTGATGGTGTTAGGAATTAAGAAAATGAAAAAAGACAATGCAGCCTTCGAGATGAGATATGCGGTGCCACACACACAAATAAATTTAAAGGAAGGCTGGTTTTAGGAATAAATTGTGTAAAAGTACTACTTGGTGAAATGTTGCCTAGGCAAGTAAACCTTAAATTTGTAGGTTCTCTTGTGTATTAAAATGAGAGGCAAAAGCGGAGAGTTGATTTGCCCAAGTGCTGCAGGGAGTCCACGAGTCTGCAGGTCTTAGGATAGTTGCCCTGTAGTTTATGTAGCAGTTGTTCAGGAAGGCACCTAGAATCAGGAACAAACTAAGAGCCTCGAGCTATTTCTTAAGTACCCTCGGCGATGTTGAACAATACTCGACCTTTGGCTTTGGTAGTTTCTGACAAGCTTCCCTACTGTCCTAGATTGTGACTAAGGCATTAATATTCCAGAATACTCCCTTTTGATCTTTTAGAATAGCCTGTATACATGTTCACATCATAGGATTAAGTAAGACAAGTTGTCTTAGAATTGAATTATTTTTCTTTGGACTATCACAGAATACGAGTGTATTCGAGGGAACGCGGCAGCCTGGCTCCATGACCGTATCTCGTTACATAGGTATGTATAACAATCAAGGCTCGCCCTTTCTTAAATCTATCCATAGCTTCAGGTACTACGATTCACAGGGTGCTTGTCAGACCTATGCTCGAGTCTTGCTAATGATTAGCAACCTAGGTAGGTACGGCGATCTGCCCCCACTACCGATATATACACTATATTTCGGTGAATACGAACTTAGGTACTTGTAGCAAGATGTGAGATAATAACGGTCCTTAATCACCTAGAAGTGGAGGGTTACAACGAGTCAAAAAGGAGTGGTAGATATAGCAACCGTTCAGTTGGTTGCACAGGGCCTGTTGATAGCCCTGACGGGCTATCCTTAAAACGAAGCTAGCTATGATAGATACCTACCTAGGTAACTACTACATATGTACACTCTTTACAAAAGTCCAAAGACTTAGAAGGCTGCTTCTAAGGCTGATAACTGGAAGCTTTGTGTGTTCCCTCCATAGCCACGACGTATTTCTTGTGTCGAGATTTCGAGAGGTGTCAGGATTCTAGATGAGACATCTAGAACAAAGAGCATGTTCAGTATATAGACGTAGAACCTTCTAGTTAGTTAGAGTTCCTTGCGGAACAACGAAGTTGTTTCCATGCTGTTTGGTTCCACCTCGTGACAAGAGGTCTAGGTAGATATGCACTTCTAGAACCCGGTCTTTGGCTTCGCTGCTATTGGCGTGGGTTATTCTTCAAGAGAAATCCGGTTTGATATTGTCGAATTATTTTCGGGGTACTTATGAAATGTAGTAGATTATTATATGTGTAGATGATGAGAAATCTAGCAAATATACAGACTTGTTAGTACTAGAGAATCCAAAAAGTGGGATGGGAAGAAAGTAAGCAACTATGGGATTACGAGCCGAGATATCAAGATGCAGGCAAATAGTGGAATAGGACAAGAAGCTTATCTGAGATCAGACACGGAAGTAAATGCACTATTTTGTCCTAGATGCCTTTGTGATATAGATGTTAACATGAAAATAACATCATGAGAACAGGTGTGAGAAATCAAATATACAAATAAATTAGAGTGGATAATTGATTTATGACTAGGCAGCCACCAGGCAGACCCCTATAACTTTCAACGTTTATATTATATTATTCCTGTGTTAGGCAGTTCCATTGTTTCACTGCGTAGTAGTTCAATGTAGTTCGGATAGCTAAATTATATCAGTATATCAGTATATTGAATAACTCGATATCATGTTAAGCCGTTTAGTGTTATTGGAGGTCTAAATACAGCCGAGGCCTCGCCTTACCTGTATGGACGCTACCACACTAAATTTAGCGTAGTAATGACGGGAGGCCGGGTACTACGGCTACTCTACCCTTCAGCCCTACAATATACGACAAACGCGACGCGCTTAGAAGAAGTAAACTGTAACATTAAGTCTAAATTGTTAGTAAGCACGTATTTATTGACTCACTGTTTGTTATTTGCAACGCTATTGATTCTAGTTTCAATTTTACCTACGGTACCTAGATAATTTCAAAGTGCCACTATGTCATCCCCCCCCGACAAGAGTCATGACCCCGACAATGCGGTGTCTACTATTAACCCGAACCCGTCGTTGTAGTCTTACTATTACTCATTCGAGTCGAGGCTAGGGTATAGATTACTTTTAGGTGGTATGCGACACTTTGAGTATTGGGAGCACGACACCTATCCTTATCCAAGGATCTACGCAATATGGAAGACTGAAAAATGGCTGAAATGATTGCACTGCCCCTTGGCTTTCAGGTGCTCGATGCCGGCTGTGGTGTCGGCCACGTAGCGTTGCGCATGGCGAGGACCCATGGACTACGCGTCAATGCCAGATGTCGTGGACCATCACGTTGCCAAAGCCTAACGAAATGTCGAGCGCTCGGGCTTACCAAAAAGCACAGTTAGAGTGCGCAAGATGGATTATTACAATTTGGATACATTTGCCGCGGATTCCTTTGACGATGTTTACACTATGGAAACTTTTGTACATGCTACTAACCCTAAGGCTGTCTTAGTCGGCTTTTACCGCATTCTGCGCCCCGGTGGTCGTCTTGTACGATTCGAATACAACTACAACTCACTCAATAATGCACCCCGTGATATTACCGATTCAATGGTGAAAGTACAAGTATGCTGCTAGGCCCACCAACACTATATCACACACTGGGGTATCCAACCAGATGTTAAACGATGCAGGCTTTGACAATATTGTCGTCTGTGATTTTTCTGATAATATTTGCCTCGACACGGGTGTTTTTCCTTCTTGCTATCATTTCATATTTCTTTATTCTCATCTTAAAGCTCGAACGTTATGTTATCAATACAGTTGCAGGGTTTCAGCCTCACAAAGGTCTCACAAAGGTCTCAATCACTAGCATTGTGTAGCTATTTCAGCCACAAAACCTGGCGATCTAATCAATAGGTTAAAGCCCAAATGATATGCTCTGTCTGACTACTTCTGGAACACATTGAAATATGATCTTACTTAAAGTACGTCTTTCAAGTAGAATAGCTTATATAACCTATAACTTGGTAAGTTTTGCCGCGGCCTTCATTATCTGTTGAAAGATGGTTCCCCTGAAAATAGTATGTCTACCTAATCAATCAACGATAAGATTCGTTTTCACTAACAATGAATATTTGGTCTTAAAGGTATTATAATGGTTAATAATAGACATACAATTGATAAAGATTATGCATAGATGGAATAATGGTCTATTGTCTTTAGTTAAACAATGCATACTTACGTTATATCAAGCTTAAGACCTTTTAATACAGATAGATCTCAAAATATCATTTAACATATCAAATTCCGATAGGTACCTAACCTACCCTACATAAGCCACATACGAACATCCCAGAACAGACATCATCATTACCTATCACTATGATAGACTTCTCACCTATCTCGCAATTCCTCGTTGGGTGGACTCTTGCTCTCCTAGCCTTCGCATTCAGTATGCTTTGGTATGATGCACTTTGTATATTCGTAGGGCTGGTATACTTCTACCTCTCTGTAGCCGGCGCATGCCTCCTTATCACCATACACCCCGCACTATTCATATGCGTCTTCTTGTGCATCTGTTGCATGCGCTACTGCGATATTACACCTTCAGCGTTTCTACGCTACTAGTTTCAACCTATTCCCACAGCTTCCATATAGAATAACTAGCGAGTTGCTTAGATTTTTACAATATCGTTTATCTTAGTAAGTAGAGGCTAATGTTTAGTTGCTGGTGTTTGGCCTGGGTTGTTTATTAGTAGTAAGGTATGAGTGTTGTCTAGAAGAAAAGGAAGTCAAAATAGTTAATGATAGTTAATGTAAAGCAACCTTGGAAACTATTGGCCTTTTCCTCCGTTTAGGGTTAAATCTAAAAGAGAGGTATCTTTGGTGTCGTAAAGCTGAAGTACCGTTGCCCCTATGCTTGCATATTAGCACCACTTATCGAAGTACAAACAATGCACTGGCAGCATGGCGTCAAAAAATCTATCCCATACTGTACTGGCCACCTCGGTAGTGGGCATATTTTTTTACGGCATTCTGCCTGGCTGCATGTAGTGATATTAGGTATGATAGATCGGGCACCTTCAATTGGATAGGTGCGAATAATAAACGGAACACTGGGTGGGTTGTGAAACATGTGCTTTTTATAGGTACGATATCACATTACAATGTATATTTTCTAGAAAAACTTGTCCAGGCAACAGTAGGCTCTTCTCTTTTATCTCGATACAATACCACTCTTTCAAACTTGACTTTTACGGTTCTTTGTTTGAAGTCAAAAAGTTTTATCACCAATCAATATGGGTCAATACTGGAAGCTTATTAACTTTGATAAATCGTTGATGGTATATTCGGGAGGCGTCAAAACAGGTCAGTTTATAGACGGTGTAGACGGACCCCCAGTATTAGATGTCCTGATGGTGCCCGGACATAGAAGGCTTTGAGCTAACTAGCAGTCAAGTTGAGAATGCACGGGCGTGTATTGAATAACTGGTGCGAAGATTCTGTCCTGGGGAAAGTTTGAACGAGTCAGCCCCAAGCACACGTAGTGGTACTACATGGGACCGTTAGAGTAGACGCGCAAATTGCAAAGAATAGCTATAATGTATTTGAATGGTGATCTGAGACTATATTAGACTATGTCCAACTCAACAATATATATTATCATATTCCTGACTGTTATATGCCAGTTGTAAGGCTCGATAATTTAAATTATGTTCTCTCTACTATCCATACATAAGTAGAAATGATTATTTCTATTTTTCAAACGAGATCAAATATCTACATCCTTAGAAAGACCTGGGAAATAGGTAAAGCTAAACAGCATAGGTGGATGAGATTGGTAAAGGGGGGCGAGGGAAACTGCTGGCAGCACAATATAAAGGTTGGAAAAGAAATTGTATTATCTTAACTAGAACTTAACGATATAAAAGGAAGTTATAGTACCTAAAATAATTAACTATTAAGACTCCAAGAGGTTTATTAGAATAAGCTACGCAACTATTAACTATAGAGTTATGACTACCTATTATGTTTCTCTCCCCCTTCGTCCTAGTCGGGATCCTCTATCCATGATTAGGTTCTTTCATACTTGATATTAATTTATTCCGCTTCTACCTAAAACAGTTTAGAGACTATTTATACTTTATTCGGCGGCGGGGGGGGTGGACCATGGCAGGTAAAGGTAATATCCTGTATTGATCGAAAGATACGTACTTTGTATCGCGGTGAAGAGTTGCAACAACAGGTCGTCTTATAGGTACTTGAAACTCATTTCAACGTATTATCAATTCTTTTTAAACATGCCAGAGCGCCATTAATCGCACACTAGTCAGCTATCCAGGCATGGCACACCCTATACTCGTCCCCAATACGTTTGGCGGTATCGTTGAACATCAACCTGAGCCAGAGGGAAAATGTATTGATAATGCTCCAAACCAGTGGTTATTCGATCTATATGCTCAAACCCTGATTTCCGGAGTACCTTTTGGCTTGCGACATTCATCTTTTCCGCCTTACCAAGCACTCGCTCTTTGACTTTGGGCGGAGAATCAGTAGACAATTCTTCTTGACCTCCAGGTCCGTGTATAGTGTCAGGGTGTACTTCGAAGGTTGCAGTACTACGAGGAAGATTCCAATAAAATTGCAAAAGGGCTTGGACAGCCTCAGTCGCGCACCCTTGGCCCCAATACTCTTTTCTGATCATGTAAGCGAGGTTAGGCCAACCTCTACCAAACTGCAAAAATAGTTCCCCAACGAAGTCTCCTTCTTGGCCATCAGGAGATCGACAGAGAACTGAAAAATATAAGTTTGTATCGGACCAAGGTCTCATGCAGTCTACGAGTGCTCCAAAATTCAAGTTTAGGTCATATTGAGGATTAGATCCACCTACATAAGCTAAAGCTGTGACTTCTGGTTGACTGTGAAGGATATTATACCCCTCTATATCTTTTAAACGAAGCGGCCGAATAATAAGGCGATCGGTGACGATAGGGTTAGCCCACGTTTGTACCTCTAAGACGGGAAGGGTCGTCTCTATGGTGATATTAGGGTTTTCTGGTCCGCAGGAGCCACAGAAATAATCCGCCATAACGAAAAAAATAAAAAATAAATCAGGAATCCTAACTAACTGTAGCAAGGTCTGACTGTAGATCGAGCGAGTTAGAGGTATCTTTACAAATCAATGTTGTCTATGTGCTTCGAACACAGGTAATGGGCGAGATTAGATTCGTAGAGGAATAGGGCAATGGCTCCCTTTGTATTTTTTTTTTCTCTTGTTAATCTGATTAACACGATGGTTTGGGCAATTAACTAAACTAGAAAGCGCTAGTATATGTTCTTATAGTAAAGGAAAAAAAATATTATTTTATTGTTTGGAGTGTTTTTAGGCACATTGGGGGTACGCTGGAATAGATTCATAGTTGTGTCTAAACAATGTTATTATATTACGCACCTGAGTATAACAATGGAATTTCTCGCTCTTTAATTCTATGGAACAATATCTTTGGGAATAGCTACGAGCTATGCTATCGATATTGAACAACATGACCCCCCTGGAACGAAGTCATTCGACCTGCATGTTCTTGATCTATAACATCTATTATGTGCCTACTCGATATCATTCGTTTAGGAACCGGACTGCTGTTCTTACACAACACCGGGAATTAGAAAGCTATATATGATGGGACTTATGGCTTCATCTAGAAAATAACTTGACCAGATCATTCGACATCACCTTCGAGATCAAAGAAAAACATCCTGTTGAAAAGCAATTTCTACAGAACACCAGATCTTAACATTCCTACTCTCAATTTAAAACCAACACTACTTGAGTACTCAAACTAAGTGCACAATGACCGCTCTTCTAGGTCCAGTGACAGTTTTCCAAATAGGCAGTGTAGTCTTCAGTTTGACGCCTTGGTTGCTCATCTCAGCCGCAGATGTCATTATCCGCTTTGAAAGTAATGGGTTTCTTAACTCTACAATTCGCTGGGTCATGTTAATGGCGTGCCTCTGGACTATTCGTATGAGATTGTATCCTACAATACGTCGCCGTCGATACCGCAACTGGTTTAGAGACTTATGTACTCACATTATATTCGCTTCTTTTGATGCATTCGCACTCACGATGGCCGATTATCGGATCTTCACCAGCAACTGGTGGGAGGCAGTAAAGGCACTCGCGATCGCCTTTACGTACTTTAAAATATATCACGTTATCGGAAAAGGTCCTACTATCCCAGAGCCTTACGTATTACGGTCCAATGCTGATTCTGGTCGCACTCCGACCCCCATTCCCGCCCCTGTCCCTACCCCTGACAATGTGCCGGCTCCTGCACCAGCTCCAGCTCCAGCACCAGCTCCAGCTCCAGCTCCAGCACCAGCTCCAGCTCCAGCTCCAGCTCCAGCTCCAGCTCCAGCACCTGCACCTGTACCGGCCCCAGCACCGGCTCCAGCACCGGCTCCTGCCCCCGCCCCCACACTTCCTCCTCCCTCACTTGCTCCCTTCCCTGGTCCCTTATCTCCGCTACCTCCCGTGGCGCCTGTTCCCGCTCCCGCTCCCGCTCCCGCTCCCCGACGCCGAGTTCAATTTCAAGACATACCAAAAACCTCGGGTCCGGCTCAGGTACGATACCAGAGCCAGGAGAAAACCAAGTATCATCCTCAAGGCCAGCCCACAACCCAACACACGGCAAACCCCATTCAATGGACGACGGCCGGGCCGTCAACGAAGGCCCCGCCGGCGGCACAGCCTTACCCTGTGCAGCCGGAGATGAAGCGAGCGTGCAACGGATCGTTTCCGGCTAACGCGATACACACCCTAGCGTATCCGAAGAAGAAGTAGTCATCAGAGCTTAAGAGCTAGGGGGATATGTGAATCCTCTGATTTTGTTTTTTTTCCTGCGAGCAGGAGTTGTCTATTAAGTATGAAGAAATAATTTGAAAAAAAAAAAAAAAAGAAGCCAAAGAAAAAAACAAAAAAAAATAGTATTAAGATAGACTAGCAATATGTTTAGATTTGTCTTAATAAAGAGTCCTTGTCGTATACGACCCTGCTTCACTTAACTAAATTGTATCTGAATCGTTAACCTGACTGATGCAAATGAGATTGTATCAACACATGAAACCTATAACCAGCTTATTACGCTTCTTAGTTAGTTTTTATAGTTCTAGTCTTCTTTATATCATGACTTAACATATTAAAATGCCTGTTTTCGAGTTTTCCCTGGTCCCCCTTTTTTCTAGCTTACTTCCCTTCCCCCCACACTACCACCTGATTGGCAAGCAATATAATTGACTAATAGTCAATGACTCCTAAAGTGGTTTGTTGGCTATTTTATTGACTGTTAACTAATATCCTAGGTAATTGATAACCGGGAAGTTATCTTCTTATACCTTACGTTAGGTAATTTCCCATTTTTAATATGGCTTATTGCATATATATATCAATCCATAGTCTGTAGTGATACCTACTACATCTCTATCACCTTTAGCAACACATATTTCATAAAACAAGATGACCTCTTAAAGATACCCTCTTTCTCACCTCAGTTAACCTATATTGCTATCTTAACAATCGTTCATGTGCCCTCTATCTCCATTATGTGATATAGTCTTACTAAATTTTATTTTACTCATTTGTAACTGCTTCACCTTGAGGTATGTGATGCTTATCCGAATACTGATAGCAGTTATCTCATATCTTGCCAAGTCGGAGCCGGCCTATGTTGCACCAACGCAACCATTTTCCCTTGGCTACCATCGTATAATTGGGGAAACATACTATAAATTGCTTTCGCCATATGTCGGGGTCCGGAGTGGGTTATCGCTCCTTACTGGGTTCTTATCTACGTATCCATAAACAGCGGCAAGGCCCGTTGGGTACCGGCAATGTTAAGGTTATATTGCGATGTCGTTATCGATGATCTTCTATCCGTCTGCAGTAACTGTATAGGTTCTATCTACAGGTTACATGCGGTGCATAGTGTGACGATAAAAGGCTCCAATTGCCGCTTGGAGTCACAGAGGGGTATAAATGCCTTGTTACAATGAGTACCGCTAGTCAATGTTTCTTTAATCCTAATATACTACTGTACGGTTCTTTAGCCATAGAGAGAATATGATGCTGCTACTCGTCTACACGGTACTATTTCCTTCTGCGTTTGGCAATGCTATTAGACCACCCCCGATAGGCTATCAGAGACAGATATTATTACCCAAATTTGCCCTGGACAATGATTCATCCAAGACGGCCCCGTGTTCAACATGTTCACTATATGAGCCAGCAGAAAAAGTGACTGCTCCAAAGGCCAATGCCTGGGCTCAAATAGGGCCGGAAGATAATCTGGCTGTCTGGAATCTTCTCCACGACCCTGCTTCCAAATTAAATCTAACAGATCCAGATACGGCAAAGGTGAACGACAATTATGTGTGGTATATAGATACCGTGCCCGTTAATAAATCCGATGTCCTTCCATACCTAGATGGATCCGGGCTAAAGCCCAGTTCGTGGGCTCGAGTCATCATATTCGAAGGCGGCAGACCTGAACCGGTGTCACAGGAGTACATGGTCGGTCCCTTGCCTGTGTCAAATGAGACCGTTATCCAGAAACTGGACTATCCGTTCAATGGCGGGACGGGAGGTGCCGTGCCTTTCAACGGGCGATTTTTCGATAAAAAGCGAAGTGAGGCCGCAGAGCCCCTATTGGTTTCCGTGATGTCTAACCTCACTGATATCACGTCTGCACTCCTCGGTGGTGTTTTCTACGGCTATAATGATCCCAAGTCGACGCTGGTAGCGGCTCCTACCACTCCCACTTCATTTAATGGAAGCCAGGCGTTTCAGGTTATCATGTTTAGGCTTCCTGGGCCTGCTAGTTATCTGAGGCCACTAGATTTCTACGTTATGCTCGACACTACTGGCACAGATGCTTCGCTGTATAAACTCAAGGGGCTGGTGACGAACACGCGATTCTTTCGGACGGTCGCGGAGCTTCGCGCAGCATTCGAAGCAGATGAGCTAGTCGAGGAGTTTTACCAGCCATCCGACTACGACTGGGCGTTGGTTAAGTATAACGCTGCGATGGGGACCCGTGAACTAGAAGATAAGTTCGCGCCGCAGAATCTCGAAGTCGGTGGCAAGCGGTATAAGCTAGACCCGGAGCAGAAATACGTCGAGTACTTGGGATGGTCATTCTACGTCACCCACTCACAAACCCTCGGTATCATGCTTTATGATATTCGTTTCAAAGGCGATCGGGTGCTGTATGAGTTATCGATGCAAGAAGCCGCTGCGCAATATGGGGGTTTCCAGCCAAAGGCCGCTTCGACCCTGTATCACGATACATATTTCCAGTTAGGCGCCGATTTGTTCCCGATGGTTGAGGGGTTTGACTGTCCGTTCGGCTCTACATTCTGGAACGTGACTGTTCATAACGGAAATACATCTACTGTTAATCCGAATTCTATCTGTATTTTTGAGTCAGATGCGGGGTTTCCCCTATCTCGACACCGCGAAGGGGACGTGTCTAATAACTACGGCTTTTCCAACCTTGGTGTCGTAAAAGGATCGTTGTTGACACTACGATCCATCGCCACGGTAGGGAATTATGACTATCTATTCGATTATGGATTCCATATCGATGGCAGTTTGGAGATCACGGTTCGAGCATCGGGGTATCTGCAATCCTCATTTTTCTTCCGCGACCAGGGTGCGTGGGGTCCTCGCATCCAAGAGGCTACGCAAGGATCGCTACACGACCATGTGCTGACCTGGAAAGCCGACTTTGATATCCTCGGCACTGAGAATAACCTGCAAGTGACAGAGCTCAAGACGGTCAACACGACGCAGCCATGGTGGCCAGAGCTTGGCGAGTTCGAACAGATCGCACTGGAAACTTATAATGTCAAAAAAGAGCGAGAATTAAGCTGGGCAAATAATGGACAACTCATGTACGCAGTGAACCACGCCAGCGAGACGAACAAATGGGGTTCGCCGCGCGGATACCGCATCGTGCCAGGTAAATCGAATATCCGACTCAGCACGCTGAAGTCGCCATTCTCACGACACAACACCGCGCTGTCCAAGTCGCATCTAGTCGTAACGCGGCAGCATGATACGGAGCCATGGGGTAATAGTATCCAAAATCTCAACATGCCCTGGAAGCCACAGCAGGACTTCTCCAAGTTTTTAAACGATGAAAGCGTCGAGGGCACGGACCTCGTCATGTGGCTGAACCTGGGCATGCACCACTTTACGCGCAGTGAAGATATCCCTGTAACACTGTACTCCGAAGCCGTCAGCAGCATCATGTTCGCGCCGCAGAACTTCTTCGATCAATCTCAGGACGGCGACCTTAAGAATAGGAGGTGGTATACTGCACCGGAGACAACGGATAATAGCAATGCGACGGAGCTTGTTAGCGAAGCATACGGGATCAATTTGCCGCAATGCAATGTAGCGTTACAAGAGCCTACCGTCGCGCCTATTATACAGCTAGAATAAGTATTTCCTAGCTCTTTAGGAAGGGGTATCCTTAAGCCTTATGTAATTTTGCCGATTCGCGCTCAGAAGTACGAGATAGGATATACTTTAAAACGTATAGCTTCACATTAGCTAACATACTATTCTTTATAATAGTTAATGATCAAAATCTGTCACTTGTTATGCCTATGGCTTAACCCCTATCTTGCCCCACTATAATTCAACGTAGAGATGCGACCTATATAGCACCAAGAGCAAAACCCGGTTTTCCTTCAGAGCTGCTTTTGCTTGGGCGTCTTCGCGATTAGAGCTAGTTGGAGCATCGCTCCAACCTGCATAATATTTGCGAGGTAGGATGCGAAGGAGGACCATATTGTCGGCACAAGTACATACACCGATACCGCAAGAATGGCGCATATACCACCAGCGATAGTAAAGCAACAAGCGTAATTCCAAGCGGTGTTATCGTTGAATAACCTCTGGTGGGCGACAAGCATAGCCGTGGAGAGGCCTAGAAGTTGCAATATTGTGTTTTGGATTTGCAACCAGAAGTCCGAATCTCCGGTAGAGCCTGGCATATTGGTTGATTTATACCAGGCTATACCCATAAAGATGGAACTTATAGCTACTACTATAAAGACGATGAAAATGAGTGTCGACATCTGAAATGTAGGTGGTGATTCCTGATAAATCTCTGGCACTGAGCGAGGCTCTGGTAGTATGGGGTATGCTTCCTCGTACTTCAAGAGCATATCTCTCTTTGCGAGAATAGCTTCGCAGTAATGATCGAACCCGGAAGCCCGAAGCTCTTTTTCGACAAGTTTGAAGCTATTCTCTATCGTGGTTCGGCAATCCTTAAGATCGATAGCTCGGTTCCTAGCCTTTTCTAGATGTTTCGGTGCCTGGTGCTTCCATAAACCCCTCAAATACGCCATGTTCTCAGCAGCCCGCTTCCATATATCGATATAAGACTTTTCGCCCAAGTTCGCCAATAGTTGCCAAGCAACAGATTGATCTAATGAGACGTAGGCTTTCATAACTTCGTCCATTATTTGGATATCATCGTTGCTAAATCTAGTCGACTTCGAATTAGAGCTAGACCGGGGCCGTGACCTGTTTCGCCATCGTAAATATTCATCGACAATAGATTTATATTGCCCGTTCGCATTGTGGACGGCCTGAACTATCGAGACCAGGCCCAGGCGACAGTCATTAGATAAGTTATCGCTGTTCTGGGAGTTGCTTGATGGTGCTACATTTCGAGTTAGTTACAACAGCTGCTAGTCAAGAATAATCGACGTACGTGTCCACCCCTGAGCGCTATTAGGGGATAGTCTCCGCTTTCCTTTCATTCTTTTAGGACGAGTTCCTTGCCCTTGAAGAATGGTTGATCCCAATTGATTGGTAACAAGGATGTTCATTCTGAACTAAAGTTTGTCGTTACAACAGTGATCCGCGTCAAACTGGGGGTTGTCCCTCTCAATGTAGGTGTGTTACACTGCATATACTTGTAGGCTATGATTCGTCCTGTTACCGAACCTATCATCTCCAGAGATGTTCTTTCAAGAAATGGGGATACCTACCTCTTATTAATGATTTTTGAAGGCCGTATGTCTTTGCTAAGCTATTAGGCTAGTTGTGCCTAATAGCCTTCTAATGAAAGTACCTATAATAAGCTTAGAGTGCCAAAGCTCTTAATTTAAAGGTAGTAGTATAAGTAAATCGAGACACAATGAAGGTTAAGGCCCTTGGGAAGATTCAGCAGTCTGTCCTTATTGTATCATGTAGGTCGGTTAGAATTGACTACTGCCGTAAGGAATGTAAGGACTGTTTTATATTGAGATATCTCTCTATATACTGATTAATATACCAATCAAATCCATGTATGACTTCTACCCGCATGGGCTTTGATATTACCATTACCTAGGTACCTAGGTACATATCCACATCACTTCACCTTGTATAGGTGGAGTGGACCCTAGCACCGTGTTCGAACATCGCCATTTCTATTAACACTGTATTAACTACCTGCTAAGTTGAATTTTGAATAGTGGCCCGTACGCTAAACTTGGGTGGTTTATCGCTATAATTATAACGATATCAACTATTATAGCTGAAGTAATACCGTGCGGTTCCTTTTTTACTCATGCATGGATTGCCAAGACCAGGTGAGGCGGAATGCCCCAAACCTTCACACAGAAGCTGCAATAGAGATTGGTCTGTTGCCTACCTAGATACCTAGGTAATCTTCATTGGCCAGGGTTTAGATGCTTCTATGATAGGCTAAAATTATTAGGAGGTACTTAACTAAAAAATATATTTATCATTATGCTCATCATCAAATTAATAGCCGTTTCTGTGTCTAATTGGGTTTTATCAGGAACAATAGAAGTCTCAGTGCGAACAACTCTTTCGAAAGGGTCATTCACATTAACAGACATTAGCCATTTGCGTTGTAATCTAGACATAATTATATACACAAGAGGTTACGAGGCCATATATCCGTTTATGATAAACTTATGCCTCGCCTAAAGCTAGACGGCGAGCTACTAAATATCTAGGAACCCATCTGGTTTATATATGGCAATTGTTTTCCAATATAATTACTGGTCTCCAAAAATCCCCATATAGGTAGATAAAGCGAGTTTACGATCATCTGCGTTTCGTATTATTTATTAATTTAAGTCCAGCGCTCGGAGCTCATAATGTGTTGGCCACACCAGTACTACAACTGATTCTAATATCGCCAAACAAGTATTTGAACGATATATGATGGATGGGTTGAATGCCCCCGTCCATTATTTCCTCTTTCAACTCTAGCTCCCTTTGCTTTATTCCATGACGGCCCATGTTAATTTCTAAACTATGGCTCTGCTCCATTAAATACTCCAAAGCAGAACCATGCTCGACTCTTGAGACAGTGTAGGCCTTTTGGCTTATACAAACGGCAAAATATATATATCCCGTAGAAAGCTCCTTTGGTCTCGAAAATATAAGCACGAATCTTGCTGAACTCCACGAACCGAATCGCAAGACAAGACTGCTGCCATTCGCTGACTTTTTGCTTATCCAGGGTGGATAGAAAGACGAGAGCTCATACCCGGCGGATGTTAGCTCGTCTACATATAGACTCATCGTCTCGTTCTCCCTTTTGTTGGACTTCGGCCAAGATACTCGTGGCGGTGCTGTTAAGGGGTTCTCTCGGATATAGATAGGGGTGGTTGTCGCCTTCGTGACAAAACAGTTCCACAACAATGGCACGCGACTGAGGAAAGATAGACGTCTCGAGTTGTGTATAAGGGAAAAGAGGTGGGCTCTTCGGATATGGAATGGTGGACTGCCTGGTGCCCGACTGTAGTGATTCTTGCTTCCGCCTTTTGTATTAACCAGCGGGACAACCAGATGGTATCGGTGGCCATTTACGGCAAAAGCACATCTAAGAATGGCTATAAATACACCAATTTTGGGATCGATAGGTCGAATGGGAATTGCTGTCTGTATTCCAATATTGGTCATTGCAGAATGAGAGGTTGTTAATGGCACCTGAGGGCTTGTTTCCTCGTTTTCGAGACTTTCGAAACTGTGGCAATGAGTGAAGTCCAAAGGTGATCGAGCGAGGACATTGTCAGAATATATGTTGGGGTGTTCATTATGTCTTAAGCGATAGCCCCATGCTAACAAACTATCGTCATTGCGTGATTTTATGATTTCTTCCTGGAGACGTAGGAAGGCCTTATCTCCTTCGCCGTAAAGCAAAGGCATATTCACTTCTAGGAGACCTAAAAGACTATAGGCCATGTCTTCAACGCGGGTTGTTTTCCTGTTAGCGGCCCATGCTAACCGAGCCGCAGCACAGAACTTCGAAAAATTCCCAGTATCGAGGGCTTTCTTCGGGATATTTGTAATCTCAGAGAGAAGAGCGAGTAGACCTAACCGATTGAGGTACTTTCTTTGGCAAAAAGGCGCATTCAAATCTTGGTCTCGCAATGAGTTTGCGGCTCGAATAAGTCGACCGATTCGAACTTGATTCCAAGTTTTGTCAAAGAATATTAATTCCATAGGCCCGAGTAATTCTTGAAGCGTCCAACCCCTAGTAAACCAGCGACTTCGTCGGAACTCGGAAGATAGCTCGAATGGATCATCTTCTGCAGATACATCGGCTAGGTATACATAGCACACCGTGGACCTTTTATACCACTGGAACATCGAGTTGATACCTTCGGAAAGTTCAGCGCTGCTTGACTTGTCAATGCAACAAGTATCAATCCACACGTAGTGCAGACCATCTTTTGCCGCTTGCCGACAACATCCTTCTATTTTTGCATAGCCATCTAAGATCTTACGACCCCATTTCGAAAGATCTTGAAAGGTTATCTCATGCTTGGACCACGTATGAGACTACAATTTCGTGTTAGTAATAGGTCACTATGCGCATTTCTTACTTGGGTTCATTACCCTTAAGTAAAGCCCAATGGTGTAGCTGGGGCTTTCTGACAGAGATAAACTGGAGTTATACCCACTAGAATAGCATAAGGCGGGATGGAGTCTCCATTGAATTCCTCCAGTCTTCTTGTGTGGACATGGAGAAGCCGCATTGGATTGGATAATATATATTGCACTTGAACAATCGGAAACCAATCTCCTCACACGGGAGGGAAGAAATTAGAGTGGAATATGAACATATTGAACAATTACTGTTTACCACCCTCACTGCCTCACCGAAGTGAATATTCGTGATTGGAGGCTTAGTCGATAGGTGTTCCTGCAACACAGCCACAAAAATAAAGGTGAGATCCTACCACTGCTGTGTGATGATCTTCGTAAACCAATCAGCTCAAGGTTGGCAGAGCTGTCTGAGCTAAAAGTTCCAGGGGTTGTGGTAGGACTGCATATGTATAGGATTCTTGGCCTATGATCTGGTTGATCCCCTCATGGTGGAGTAGGCTGCATGCACTGCATAAAGCTCGAAGATTGGGGGCTTTTATTGGAGGCCCCGGACTCGAGCTTTGAGACAAAAGCCATAGCTTCAAAATATAACACATATATAATAAGTGAATGACACCTGAGTATAGTTGAATATACCTGGCTACATAATAGGGGTAATGCCTCTGTCGAATGAGAATGGATCCGCAAACTCGGGTTATAGATGTAGTAGCTATGAGAGCTTACTAGCAGATATGCCGAGGCAGCCCTCCAAAGATATGAAGTGAAATCAAGCCTTCTTCTTGACCACCAGTAGCACGCCCGCTTCTGCTCTCTTAATAACCTCATTCCCCTTTTCTACACCTGCCTCGTGAAGCAATCGCTCAACCTCCCTTCTCATTATCCTGGTGATATCTTCTTCCGTCCCAGCCTTCTCCTGGTTCGCCTCCCTCCATCTCTTCACCGTGCTCACCGTACCCATCAAGGCCTCCAGCTGATCTAAGTCCACCTCCGGCTCCCCCACCGCAAAAATTTGGTCTCCCGGTAAGGCGCCCTCATTCTCGGTCCCAAATTCTATCCGGGAAAATGATTCCTTGTCAAAATCCGCGACAGGAGGCTTCACACTCCATGGTAATGGTAGATCAACGTATAAGTTATTTGATAGAAAACTCCCAGGGGTCATATGCTTCGCGAGATGTTCCTTCTGGAATGCTTGAACCGCGGCCTGGATTGCTGCGGCATTCGGAACACTATCCGCAATTTTCGCACTCTTGTATGTCCACAACGCCACACTTCCACCCGGCTTCAAAACTTGAGCCGCTCTGACCCAGAATGCCGGCATATTAAACCAATGAGCTGCGGTTGCGGCGGTAAGGAGGTCAATACTACCGTCCGGGATTCCGGAGAGGTCTTCAGCAGCGGAAACTTCGAAACGAATCGGCTCTCCGCTTCCAGACGTCCCGCCAAGTTCCTTCGCGCCTGTAATCATGCCTTCCGAAGGGTCAAAGCCGATGGCATGCTGGAAGCGCGTGCTGAGGGCGCGCACGGCGATGCCTGGCCCACAACCAACATCAAGGAGAGTGTCAAGCTTACCGCCGGTAGATGTATGCCGGCTAAGAATGGTGTTGTATAGCGTGGGGTGATAATCCCGTCGGAATTGAGCATAGTTAGATGCTTCGGCGGGGGTAAAGGACCGGAAGGTGGTCTCCGGGACGGCCTCGGTAGACATTTTAGCGGGCAATGAGCAACGTTTAAAATGAAGAATCTCGAAAAGTTAAGATTTTGAAATTATGCAAAGTGAAAATACTGCGATACAATTTATAATATTCTGTTATCGTTCTATTGAATGATGCGATAATAAATTTCACGGTGAGGAGACTGTTATAACCTCCTTTTGATATAGCTGAACGGCGGCGCTAATGAAATTCTCCGTGAACTCCGGTGGACATTAACTACCTGCCTGCCAGTCAACATAGTACTCTGATCTACGTCTAGATTTTCTGGGTAACTTCGGCTCAAAAGGCGAAACACGGACCCAAAATTCTGCGGGTAAAATTATTGCTAAGTGAAAAGGAAGAATTTGGAAATAAGAATTATGTCACCGGAATGTCGGCGTGCAAGTATATTCTCCGGCACGGCCCTCCGCGCCGCGCCGGAGGACCGCGCTAGTTTATTCTGTGACAAGATATCGAAAAAGAAGACGCGTATCAGTTTTGGCACAATTCTATAATCTAAGAATAGGAAACTTATCAAAGACAAGTTGAAAGAATCTTCAATGCCGACATTACACTTTGATTTTTTTCCCTTTGTTCTTCTATAATATTATTGAATTAGTCTTTCAGGACCGAGTCTTGTAAAACCAGTCAGATGATGTAAAATGGATTCTAAGGCACAAAGTGTCCACAATGACTATTGTAACTTATAGTATCGTATTAAAACACTCTTAAGCTTCCAATATTTGGAATGTTCTTCAGAGCTACCAACTTCGCCATACAGCTAGAGAGGACATACAGCTATAACACAAACCAAAAAAAAATCACCCTCATAATATCTCCGACATTACAGTACATCATGTCCGCCATCGACACCATCAATGCCCTCCATGCTGAGGCGTCGCGAATTATCCATCTGCTCGGTCGAGCCCCTACACGCGCTGAGCGGGGCTTTGCGCTGGAGCTAGCTGACAAGGCTATGGACCTTGCCATCGAGGCCGGCTTCGATGCTCCCGCGATAGAGACCTGTCAAGCCTTCCAGCGCCTTTGCTACGACTCTCTATTACATTCCTACAGCTGGACTGATAACCACGAACGTCGCATGTACGAAAAAAGCGCGTCGAGAACTCCGATAAAGCGTAAGCGCTCGGCCAGGATCTACAATGTCGATAAGGGAGAGCACGTGCTCGAAGCTCTTGAGGCTGTCCATATTGGAAATATGTTGGGTAACCGTGTGTCGGTTGAGCCAAATGCGTGGAATCGCAGGATTCGGTGGGGTGATGAAGTTATGGACCAGCCGATTCGTACGTGGGTTCATTAGCACGGCAGCGTGTGAGCGTACTTGTCGGCATCAAGCCTGGAGCTTGTTGCTTGGCAGGGCGGACAGGTCCTTTTATTAGCCTCCTATACTATATATACTTCATTCAAGGTGGGTTCAGTTTAGTGCGATACAACCGGCTATATAGGAGTCCATTCGATTTGTTTTAAATAGTAATTATTATTTGCAAAATATATACACATGTTAGTAAAATGTGACTTAGACGATGTATACTTATATGTTATAACCATTTTCAAGATCTAATTACTTTTTCCAAGAAAATCTACTATAGCCTACGTGGCAATATACTTGATGCTATACCACTCACTCCTGAGACATCATTGGAGCATGGTTCCAATGATTGCCCTCAATAACACTGCATCGTATTTTATTAGCATGACATCCCACTGGCGCAGCTAAATAAGGATACACCAGAGCCTCACGATGATATCGACGTCGGACGAATTTTGGTCCGTCATCTTCAAAATATGGTCTTGATCCAGTGTCCAACCAATGGGAACCCTGGCTCGATCGCATTCGGTTGATCGCCAAGCGCTGCGCCGTCGGGACTGGACTCTGCTAGAACCAATGGAGAGGCCGGACGGTAGCGGGTGCGAAGAGAATCTGGGGATGGTGATAATTTAGTAATCGACCGCCATAGAATCACTTGAGGGTAACCTCTGAAGAGCCTGTGCCAGGTTTATGGACTCTGGGTTTTGCCTCTCCTGGAATATACGACGGGATTGCCACGCGGCCTGCTGTAAGAAGAAATTCCAACGATGTTTCAACTCTTAGGAGATGTAATAGGGTCAATATTAACTATATTTATAGGTCCAAATCATACGTCTCATCTTTAACTCCCTCTGTTCATAGTTTCTTCTATATATATACCATTTAACTCTTAATTTGTTGCATGTCCGCGACTCAGAACTACCCCCTACACTCCTTATATATTTACTATACCTACATTCGTGTTCAAGTGATCTCAACACTTGCCAAACTTTTCATCCAGACCATAATCATCACATCCTCCATTAGTAAAGAGTATACTCGCATAAAGATACCAGGCAACTGAAGAAATATGTCGACAGGTCTCCCACCAGGCGTACCGCCATACACCAAGATCTTCGGGCCTAGTGCCAACTGTACTCTCGAGATATGTCCCGTGGAGATAAGCGTGTATGGCTACGCGCCTAGTCTCGCTGCTAATGCCGTCTTCCTATGTCTCTACCTCATTTCTGCATGCATACACGTCTACCTGGGGATTCGATGGAAGAGTTGGTTCTTCATGGGATGTATGGTCCTCGGCGCCGTCAATGCTACTTTGGGCTACGCAGCTCGAATTTCCATGCATTACAACCCGTTCAACTTTGCGGCTTTTATGATTCAAATCAGTTCGTCTCTCCTACCCGTATCGTTGTTGCCTCCGTCAAAGTATTAACTAAGATATAATAGTTTGCGTTACTAGTGGTCCGGTCTATTATTCAGCGGCTATCTATGTGACACTTGCAGCAGCGTAAGTAACGGCCCTATGCCTCCCAGTTTCTCTCAAATACAGAAAATCCTGTCGACTGCCTTCAATTAGCTAACTTGCATATAGCATCAAAGATTTCTCTCCTTCACTTTCCCGCTTTAAACCCGACCTTTTCTACTGGGTCTTCATTCCATCCGATGTCGTCTGTTTGATATTCCAAGCGGCCGGCGGCGGTTTATCCACCGCATCCTCTGGCTCGAGTGAGATTGGGGTGGACATGGCGCTTGTTGGTCTTAGTCTGCAAGTAGCAATGATGGTGATCTTCTGTGGCTTCTTTGCAGATTACTTGATCCGCTACTTCCGCTCTGCCCAGTACCAAGCAGACCTAGGAAGAAACATATCCGGTTTGGATTTTGGAACCAGACTGAAGGTCTTCTTCAGCTTTATGACATTGGCTATAATGCTGATTTTGGCTCGATGCACATACCGGCTTGTTGAATTGCGCGAGGGGTATAGTGGTGATCTTATTCGCGACGAGCCCTTATTTATAGGCTTGGAAGGAGTGTACGTCCCCTTTGACGTGATAGTATTATGTATCATGCTAATTATTCTCTGTAGGTTGGTCATATCTGCTGTTTATTGCCTCTTGATTGCCCATCCTGGATTTATCTTCAAGAAAGGTCAGCAGAATTTGTTAAATGCATCTGGTTTGGATGGTTACGAGTTCCAAAAGGTCCCTTCTCAGACGCCCGCATGAACATAGACGATACTTTCAACTGCGAGGTTCGAAGTTCAGACGAGACATATCATCCGCCGATGTCCCAATAGCCGCATCAAACCACGGCTCTCACTTTTCATTTCTATAGATCATATAGTCGTTGTACACCTAGTTTCGCTTATGTTATTTTCGGTTTCATTTAAGTACTACTATTAATAAAACCAAATTCGCATACGCTCAAACAGTATTCAATATGATCCGTTGTGTTATAAGTCAAAATTGGAACGCAAATTTTCATCGTCTGAGAAGCTAAGATTCATCTGATTCTCAATTTCATTCTCGATTGGTCTAGTGGTCAGGATACCTGCTTGTCATCGCACAAGTACGCAGGTGGCCGGGGTTCGATTCCCCGATCGAGAGCATCTTTTTGTTTCTTTAGTATAAGTTTGTGAGGACAACAAGTGTATGTGGGTTTAGATCCCACTATACTTGCCCTAACTTTTCCAACTATTTTAGTCGATATTAGTCAATAACAAGTGTGCGGAACTATCCATTCTACTCGGTGTTCAAGATTTTTCTTTCTTCTTTCTGTCAGTAAAAGTATGATTGACATAATATATATCAATTGTATAAGAATTATGTCTTTTTTTCTTATGATAATCCACTGAGTTTTGACAAACGAGTCTTAAGCCCTTAAACAATCTTTGCCAGTTTATACCTGCGACAAGCTGCATATCCAAATAACATTGGTAGCAATTCAAAGAAATAAATCTATCTATTTAGTAAGGAAGAGTCGTTTCGCTATTATGGCCACTTGAAGCCGCAGAATAGGTAGTCCGTTTTTCGAAAAGCCTCCTATACAATATTTAGTACTTGTTAACCAAGAATTGAATGTGATAAATAGCGGAGTCAAATGCTTATTACCTAGGATCTAAAAATTTGCGCGTTGCTTGGAGCAAGGATACGTTTTTTCCACGGTTCCGGAGGTTCATATAATATTTAAACCCGAAAAATGTCAGGCCTGACAAGCCAAAAGAGATGATAACATAGATCCAGATATAACCAGAGACCACCGGCGACGCCATTTGTTCGTTGGAACCTTCAGGTTCGGTGTCTGGAGAGGATGTGCTTCCACTATACACCGGTCGATATCGCCAATTTCTCCAATCGTTAGACCATTGAAAGATAGGCATAGCGAAAATGGTCTGTCCTGCTGTTAGAATGATACAGCAACACGAACTTCTAAGAACCTACCGCCATGGTTGTCAGGGGTAGATATACCGCAGCCACAAGGGAGATCCCGGTAGCAAATTTTGAGTTTTCAGCACTGATTTGAGCTTCCTTTCTTGATATTTCATTTCTTATCTGAAAGTTGATGAGTGAAATCCATACGGCAGGGGACTCAAACTCTAGAGTGTAGAGAAAGACTTACTATATCTGTTGTAAACATAATACCTTCAACAAACATTCTGCATCTAGCACTTAGACTATCAAGTGTAGAGGTTATATCATTAAATCGCTCCGAAAATAGGCTTGTAGTCTCAGTCATTCTTGCGCTCTTGTCTGGACTTGTGGGAGGTCTGTCTTGGTAATTATTAAGAGTCTCCAAGGCTGAGGAATAAGCTTTTAATAGCTGGCGTTTCGTTGCCTCGACTTCATCTTCAAGCTTTTTGCTGGCCTCTCGAGCCTTCCTAACTTTGTTGATCAACTCCCAACTGAACTGATCTTTGACTTCCTTCTTCCGTTCTGATTCCACTTTTTTCATGAGCTTGTCGTAATTTCCTTGCTCATTATTAACCATGGTAAGAAGATGCTTCAACTGTAGCTCGGTATAGATTCCAACATGAGTAAGGGATGTCCTATGGCATGCTTCGAATTATTTACCCACCTATCAATCATTTCGATTTCCGCATCTGAGCAGCCGAACATTACAGCTAGAGTTGTTTTTCTCGTATTAAAGTAGGTTGCGGCCATGGCAATGGGGTTTTTGTCGAAGTCGGGATTTATGATTGCGGTATGCGTCCACATTTTCTCTAATCTTCCTCCAAATTCGCGTGTGCGAATTATAGAAATTAAAGATGTTTGCTTTCTTATGGAAATCTTCGGGAAATGGCCGGGGGTAGATGAAACGCCTCAACTATCTCCTTCCATGACTCTATCACCTCCTCTCCTTCTAGGGGAATATTCATATAATCGAATGGTACATCCTCATCCTCATCGTCATCGTCGTCCTCATATATCGAATATTTTCCCGCCCGCGGAATGCAGCTATATTATTCAATATGCGTAAGTTTACTATCAATATTGAAATATATTGCTTAGACGCGGGGAGAGATAATATACATACAGAATAGAAAACCCATTGTCAGGTAAGTTTCTAACGTCGAAGGGGATCTTTTTCTCGTCGTTGTTTCGAATGAATCCTAAAGACTTATTGACAAGAAGTGGTCACTAGTCAATACAGAATGGCGAGAAAAAACAGGAGATGGTATAAATTTTAGAATAGGCGCGTATTTACTTGTATCCAATCCTTCCAGTTACCCACGTTCGATAACTCACGTATCTCAGCCGCTTCGGGCTACTCTATAGATTAGTGCTATTGGTTGCAAAGTCCTTACTCCTAATTCACCCACCTGTCTTGAATTCCAGTTTTGAATCACCTTGACCTTTTGCCCAGGGGTTTTAGTTGCAAGGTTGTAGTCGAAAAACCTCAAAAGATTGGGAGCTATAAATAGATCAGGATCGGAAGGCCAATCCATTATTAATATCGCTATACCTCAGAGGTGCAGTACAATGTAAATGAAGTCATCTTAAAATTCGGGGACTTGTAACTATTTATGCTGAGCGCACCATGCAACTGGGAAAAGTTTTTTATTCCATATCCAGTAAGTGTTGCATAATACTCTCTTTCTCTTCAACCCTTCATCCTGCATGAGCTGAGGTACGTGACATGGGCAGTATCTCGAAGGTTCATTGGCCCAGAACATCCGAGCGGTAGGCTGCGGTAATATTACCTCGGGGCTGACTGAGAACGTCGGTGTTATCAGCTTGAGTGTACCGCTACCCAATTTTACCCAAATCTTCTCTCTTACACACCATAAATCTACCAAATCTATCATAATAAACCATAAGCGCAAAAAGAAATTCTGCGATGAGTACAACGAACTGGGCTAAGTTTCCAATTAGTGATAGGTATATCAAGGAGATACAATTAAAAGGATATCTCCAGGAAGAGTTTAAAGACAAGAATAAGTACAAAATTTCGGTACGAATATCGTGAACCGAAAAGGAAACCCAGTGATGAATGAGGCTAACTCTATAATACTTCCACAGATGCAGTCAGATGGATATATCATTAGGACAGAGAAGGAGCTCACCCCAGTAAGTTACTTATAACAAGTACATGCTTTTAATTATTAGTGATTAATGTAATGGCAGGATCAGAAGGCTGGTATCAAGGCATTGTCTGCAAGATTCTCTGCGAGATCGTCACAGTCACAAACCAAGAATGCCACCTCAAGTGGGAACCCCGACGTGACCCCAAAGACTAAGGACCCTCCGACACACAGACCCAAAAGAGCCAGTCCGTCACGGGCCAGTCCACGCCAGAAGCTCCAAAAAAAACTACCATGGAGTCTACTAAAAACCCTACCACAGAGTCTACGACAGAGTCTGCCGCAGAGTCTGCCGAAACCCCTACCAAAGAATCTCCCAAAAAACGTATCAAAAAGCCTGCCAGGCAATCTACCAAAGGGCCGACCGAAGTTGCTCCCCCAGGGGAGGACACAAAACCGAAGAGACACGGTTCATTTATCCCAAGCTTTTGGAGACCCCATGATACACACAACAGCAAATGAGGAATATTAAATTCTATGGGGGCGATACTAGTCGCAATTATAATGCATCATGGTATTAAAAACTCGTCGGCGCTATTTATTTCCTGTTCATATGACGTGAAGCATGACTCCAGATATGTAGACCCATACAAGGTGACTACCTATAATGCTCTTGTGGGATAGTTTAGTTGATGGTGAACTACGTAAATGGAGGGTTCCTAGCTAAATTTGATAGTATACGAGTTAACGTAAATTGATCAACACATCTCTATGTCTACATTTTACATGTATTTCTAGGACATTTATTGTGAAAGACTAAGATCACAACTACTAAGCACAAGGTAATACTCAAGACGTGCAGCAGTGGATAGGTAAGTATTTCAATAACGTCGGAATTTCTTCCAGTCACTGCTTAATGCCTATTTTATGATGCAAATTTAGATGGAGTAGATCTGTAAGGAATGTCCTAAGTCTCCCTCCCTTTTTTCCATTGATGCCACCCTTGGGCCCTGGAACGAGAGATGTCGAAGTAGTGAAGCATGCGTCATCTGATAGCTCTGATGGTTGGCAGTAGTCGATACCGTTCGTACACCGCAAGCGTAGCGCTTCAAGCTTCCGACATATCTCTTCAGCTGTTCGTCTATTAGACCGATCAACAACAAGCATGTCATATTGGATCATGTTCAGAAAGTCTTTCAGATGTTCATTACACGATTTATCGTTACGGAGGTGTTCAACCCAAGCCACGACCTGGGGCTTAAGAAGAACGCTCGTAGAGTCTCCGTGGCGTTGAATCTTGAAGAATGTATCGGCATTGATGCCATAGATGTCGACCTCCATGCGATGTTCAGGGAACTCGACCCGGGCCGATTTACTTCCTTTGAGAAACCAAGTAATAAACTCCAGGAAAGTACACCCTAAGGACCATATATCGATTGCCTGTGATATCGCTTTGGTCGTATCGAATTCTGGAGCCCGGTAAGTCATAGACCTAGGAAGACTTGATGTTCTTGAATTCGTCCTCGAAGTGGCACGGTGGAAATCAGCTAGTCCAAAATCAGATAGGACTAATTTCCCAAGATCACCGGCATGTTTACTCTGCGTATTCGGATACCAAAGAATATTAGACGGTTTTATGTCTCCGTGTCTCCCAAAACAATCTACTGGGTTTATCGAACCGTGAGGATTTCCATGGACGTATGA